ACTCGATACGATTATCTACATGCGTGACCATTACGCGATATCTGCAGACAATTCAATATCGAAATTGAACAGCAGCCTTGTTACAGCCAGTATAACTCTTAATCGGGCAAAGTTTCTGAGAAGAAATATGTACAACAAGTTCAGCGTTAATTCTACAATTATGACGATACATTCATGTATACAGTCTACAAGCTCACAACTTGCAAGTTGTTTATACCCTTATATATAAGGAAGTCGGAATTATATTCAAAACTGAAATTACTTTCACGACAACCAGGAAAATAACCTACCCAGCATAAAATTACAGAGCGAGATATTTCACGGCGGAGGTTTTCGCGCTGATTACCATTAACCTCGGAAACACGGGTCACTCGGATAACTTCGAAGCTACGGCGAAGACCGACGCTTATGCTAATATCAACGACGACAAGAATTTATTCAAGGTGGGTTTTTTCCCGCTACACCGTGACATCACAGCTGGTATTATACAGAATCAAAATGCCTTGTTCTGATTGGACCATGAGGGACAACGACCTACACAGAGGTCGATCTCAATTCACAGTTCAAGACTTACGCCACAAGTGACAACTATATATCAGTGAACGAGCAAGCCTCATTACAGTCCAGTTAACCTGAACATTCATGATTAGACTGCCTTTCTTCAGTTAGAGACCTCCCCTGTCAAGTTAAGACGAGGGATCGCAGTCAGGCGATTTTACATAAAGTTCAACGAGAACAGACACACCTGGTTGTGCACCTACATCGCCAAGGACTTCGCGAGCCAATTACCTAGACGAAGATACAAGTGGATCTAAATCCACAGCGCTTCAGACTACAGCTGAATTTCATCAAGCTTAATTAACACAACTAGATGGTTAGTAAACCTACTAAACTTCTGTTTGGAGAATAAAACGGAAATTTCACTTCAACCTGGGGATATGAATATAGTGTTCCAACACCTCACAAGTGAGGTTTATGAACACGCTTGATGACATACTTGGACCCCATGATAATGCATGATTCTATCAAGTTGGCCAGCAAGAGCACTGTAAATTTATCTCCACCAAACCAAACAGGAGGAAAAATGCAACAGATTATTTCCTCTATCATCAACTTACGCAGAGTGAAGTCTCATGTACTATATCTCCATTTGGATCAGAACTGTCATACTACGCGGCATATGCGGATGGACCTATTCCGACCCTCCATGAGCTTAATACTCATGATATTATAGCTTAACTTCTACAATTGTTCTACACAAATGTGATTAAAATAATGGAGGGTTATTTCTGAACCGATATGGTGGTTGCAAACCATTATCTGAGAGATATCACCACCGAGGACGCCTCAGGTATACACCAATTCGATCCCATGGTCCTCGTGACAACAGCTGACAGTTCTCGAGAAGATAAGTCAATCTAACAGATTTTACTTATCTTATAACAATACTAAATAGCTTCATGCTATGTATAATTTACTTAAGTTCCTTTTATCATCACAGTACTATGATTATTACATCATACAATATATAAGTTAACAACTCTACAGAGTTTGTTATTATATATATTTACCTTAAGTTATTCATATCTTAAGAGTAATACTATGGTTACATGATAAATGCATTAGCTAACAAACTCTACAGAGTTTTTAATATTTTATACATAGCTTAAGTTAATTAAGCTAACAAACTCTACGGAGTTTTACTATTATATAGGTAACTTAAGCTAATTATACCTTAAGCATAGTACTATACTCATATTATTAAAATATATTGGCTAACAAACTCTAAGGAGTTTTGCTATTATATAGGTAGCTTAAGCTTATTCATATCTTAAGCTTAGTACTATGTTTATATCATATAAGTAGATTAGCTAACAAACTCTAAAGAGTTTTTGCTATAAGTATCATCATATTTCTAAGCAATATGGTTATATTATAACATGTATTAGCTAACAAACTCTACAGAGTTTTAGCTATTATATATGTAACTTAAGCTTATTCATATCTTAAGCTTAGTACTATGTTTATATCATATAGGTATATTAGCTATCAAAACTCTAAAAGAGGGTTTTGCTATTATATATTTCTGCTTAAGTTTCATCATATTTTAAGCTTTATGGTTACATTATAACATGTATTAGCTAACAAACTCTACGGAGTTCTTGCTATTATATATGTAGCTTAAGTTTTCCTTCATAAGCTCAATACTAGGTTTATATCATAGCTAACAAACTCTAAAGGGTTGTTTTCAAGCATTATACAATTAGCTTAAGTTTCATCATATCTTAAGCAGTATGTTTACATTATAAAGCAGATAGCTAACAAAACTCGACGGAGTTTTGTTATTATATATATATAGCTTAAGTTTCATCATAACTTAAGCTCAGTACTATGTTTTTAACATAAAAGTATATTAGTTAATAAACTCTAAGGAGTTTATTTTGCTATATACTTTTAGCTTAAGTCTAATCTTATCTTAAGCTTAGTACTATGGTTACACTATAAACATATTAGCTAATAAACTCTACAGAGTTTTTATTATTATATATGTAGCTTAAGTTAATAATATCTTAAGCACAATACTATACTCATATTGTAAAATATATTAGCTAACAAACTCTACGGAGTTTTGCTATTATATATGTAGCTTAAGTTCATTATATCTTAAGCACACTACTATACTCATATTGTAAAATATATTAGCTAACAAACTCTACGGAGTTTTGCTATTATATATGTAGCTTAAGTTAATTATATCTTAAGCACACTACTATACTCATATTGTAAAATATATTAGCTAACAAAACCCTACAGAGTTTTGCTATATATATGTAGCTTAAGTTAATTATATCTTAAGCTCAGTACTATACTAATATTATAAATATATATTAGCTAACAAACTCTACAGAGTTTGGCTATTATATATATGTAGCTTAAGCTAATTATAGCTTAAGCACAGTACTATACTCATATTATAAAAATATATTAGCTAACAAACTCTACAGAGTTTGGCTATTATATATGTAGCTTAAGTTAATTATAGCTTAAGCACAGTACTATACTCATATTATAAAAATATATTAGCTAACAAACTCTACAGAGTTTTTGCTATTATATATGTAGCTAAAGCTTATTCATATCTTAAGCTCAGCATTATATCTATATCATATAAGTATATTAACTAACAAACTCTAAAGAGTTTGCTATTATATAATTAGCTTAAGTTTAATCATATCTTAAGCTTAGTACTATGTTATATCTTAAAGTATTTTAGCTAACAAACTCTAAGGAGTTTATACTAGCATATTAACAAGCTTAAGTCTATTAGTCTTAAGCATTGTATTAATGTTATATATACTTTATCATAATAAGTACATGGTAATAACCTTTTATATGGCAGCTGATAAGTTAGCAGCAGGAATTCATCAGTTCAGTGCCTTTATGAAGTTCCCATAGGGTTATTACAATCATCACAGTTCAAATCACTAATTATTAAAAATCCAAAGTATTAGATATTCCCACCTCCGCTCTGTAGGATGCTACAAGCAAGAAGAGATGAGTCAGGATAAGGAAAAATATGTAATTTTTGGAGTAAAATTGATATTTTATACTTATCCTGACTCATGAGGTCAGCCCTCCCATCCTCCCCAAATAACACTTTGGATTTCCTGTAAATTCAAATGTTGGGCTCAGTATATGAGGAGAGAGTGAGGCACATGGGTAGAGGTGGCGCCCTCGTTCCCGCGCTTGTGGAAAGGAGGTAACTCGTGGTGAATACTAATTAGTGATTTTAAATTGAAGGGAGCTTCAATTAGGGAGATACAAGTGTTCCACTATGTTCGCAAGAAGAAGAAGACAAGCAAAAAGAGCATGAGTCAGGATAAGTATAAAATATCAATTTTACTCCAAAAATTACATCTTTTTATGACCTGAATGTATAGGTCTTCAGTTTGAGTAGTTCGATGATCAAACACCCCGTGTTTGTTTGTCTCACCCTATGTTTGTTTGTCACAAATACAGGTTTGTCTGTCTTACCTTGGGGTTGTCTGTCATACCTATGGGTTTGTCTCTAAACCTGCATTTGTCTGTGCAAGTAGTCAGATAACGTAAGGAGAAAGTCACCTGAAGATTATATCCTCAACTCCAGAATTAGGCAAATGTCATGAATGAGTGAGTGAATGAATGTTGTTTAAAGCTGCTGTCACACCATTTCAAGAAAACTGTTCTGAATGTTATTACCCCCCACCGCGCATTTAGCGCGAAGCGGGGCTATAGTATTAGGCTCCGTCCATCCATCCGTACGTATGTACGTCCGTAAGTATTGGAATATCTTAAGAACCATTGAATAGATTCTTTTCCTATTTGGTACCAAGGTAAGTATTAGGTTCATCACGGTATAAGAAAGGTCCCAGTCAGGTTTGGTGGCTTTAACTTTAACGTTTTACCTTTGTCACCGAGATATCTCAAGAACAGTTCACTGAATTTTCTTCATATTCAACACCAAGCTTTATCTAGGGAAGGCGAAGGGCCCAGTCGATTTTGGTGACCTTCACATTATTTTCAAGGTCACAGTGACACTTTGAAGATTTCAACATATCAAACTGCATGTTAAGATTGTCAGCGAGATATCTCAAGAACGGTTCACTGGATTTTCTTCATAGACTTTCAAGACTTCACTTGAATGTTTTTCAATAAGCAATTTCTTTATTACTATTTTTGCATATTTCATACACTATGACATTCATGTCAAGGTCAAAGTGAGTCTTGAAAATATTTGTGTGTTTGAACAACTAAAGAGCAAGATATCAAGAGAGGTTGACTGGTCATGTTTTTGTTGACATTTAACCTCATCTTAAACTTCGACCTTCACTTTCATTACTTTTTAAGTTTGATTTGATACTTTGCGCCAGAGGATTATGTCACATTTGTGACAATGCTTGTTTTCCTATGATTTCCTTCCATCATCATGGCTCATGACTAATGTTTATGTTCTCTTGCAGACTTCTGGGCCTGACTGGTATAGTTTACAGTGACTGTGCAACATCATGGATGATCCAGTTTCATGACGACATCAAGTGGCCGTATTATGTCAACCCAGGGATTCTCCTGCTTCTGTACTGGGTTCTGGCCTTCGAGACACGACACTACTTCCATGGAACGGTAGGTCAAGGCCATCTTCTGGCAGTGGAACCAATGGACAGTTATTTGATTTCTGGTTGTAATGTCTCTTGTGCTTCTGAGTTAGCGGGCTATACTGATAAAAGCTTTATTTCTATGACAGCACAATGACATTCATAAGTCTATGTTAAAGTATGAGAGTCAAGATCACATTAGCTACTATTGCTTTAAGGCCTTAGAGGGTACATTGTGTGATATGCCCTTCTTGTAAACCATGCAAGGTGTATGTCAGCAAAATGTGTTACAATTTGTAGATACTTACCTGCTTTTAAATTGACTTCTTGTTAATGCATGTTAAATTTTGGAGGGAACTTTTATTTAGAATATGAAGCTGTTGGTCTCATGACACAGTGTTGAAATTATTATGTTGTGATAGATCCAAATTGACAGCAAACTCCCTTGTGTCACTTACATCAGGAGGCCATGATTTATGGAATGGTATCAATCTATCTTTTCCATATTCTGTGTTTTTGTTCTTGAAAGTAAGAGCAATGAAGTGTATGTATACAGAATTATTCACCTACAGGTTACCATGTTTAAAACAATCCAGAATTGTTTGGGAGCACTTGTATATATATATGAATATCTGATCATGTCATGGGAATAACAGGGCAGCACAGATCAGTCTTGTCACAGGAATCTATAAAAATGGTGATTGGATGGCCATAGGAGCATGTAGTGTTGTGTCCCTTAGCTAGCCAACAAATTTCTTTGATAGGCATTTTGGAGGTTGAGGTGATGAAGAATGATGATAATTTTATGGATATACAACTTCTTTTATTCTGTGAAGGCGACATTTCAACATAGATTTTAATCACTTGCTTGACAATGGCATTAAAATCTATGTAGAAACATCGCCTTTCACGGAATAAAGAAGCTGTATATCCATGAAATTATCATCATTCTTTAGCCAACAAATTGTAGATAGTGGTGATGCAAAATTCTGAATAGTCCAAACAGTTTTATTGTAAACAGAGGAAATACAGTTACTAGATTTGACAAGAGGATAAGCTACAAGATACAAGGTTACAATAGTTTTGAGTGCAAGACAATAGGATAAACTGCAAGATACAAGGTTACAATAGTTTTGAGTGCAAGACAAGAGGATAAACTGCAAGACACAAGGTTACAATAGGTTTGAGTGCAAGACAAGAGGATAAACTACAAGATACAAGGTTACAATAGGTTTGAGTGCAAGACAAGAGGATAAACTACAAGATACAAGGTTACAATAGGTTTGAGTGCAAGACAAGAGGATAACCTACAAGATACAAGGTTACAATAGGTTTGAGTGCAAGACAAGAGGATAAACTGCAAGATACAAGGTTACAATAGGTTTGAGTGCAAGACAAGAGGATAAACTGCAAGATACAAGGTTACAATAGGTTTAAATGCAAGACAAGAGGATAAACTGCAAGATACAAGGTTACAATAGGTTTGAGTGCAAGACAAGAGGATAAACTACAAGATACAAGGTTACAATAGGTTTGAGTGCAAGACAAGAGGATAAACTGCATTATCATCTAATGGAGGGTATTATCAGTGCAATAAAGCAATCTGATAAACTTTGTATCCAAATCTGATAACTTGATGCAAATTAGGTCAATCCACGAACTGCTTTCTCAATACTCCATACACGCCATGCGAATCCTAAAACGTTAATATTCATTGATGATGTCGTCTCGAGTTTACATTGTTTGTAAACAAACATGGCTGCCCCCATTCTCAAAATTGGTGATTCTGTAAGAATTGATGACCGAGGTTCTGGAGTCGTTACTGCAGTAATTGACTTTGGAAACATGAAACAGAGTACTTCGTCCAAATTGAACGTACGGATTATGAGGTACGACTGAAAGGCAATCGTCTAAGAAAGGTACCAACCAAGCATTTCGATCTATCGATCACAATAATGACGACGAATCGATTCCATCAGGTATCAGAAACTGATATTGATGAGGTGATTACCCGCAGTGAAAATAGAAACACTGCCAAGAAATCCCTGCCCGATTTTGTTGTTCTTTTTAGATAGAAAGATCTTATTTTAAGCATGAGTTATGTTTGCACTGTATTAGCGACTAGTCACAACTATATGCAGCCGTCATGAACGACCTTCACCTTGGTGTACCGCTAAGTATTCTTACGCAAATGCTTGATTATCTTCATATAAATTCACGTACGATTTGCTTCTATTATTAGAGTAATTTTAAGAATGACATTATATGATAAAGAGATTATTAACCTTCTGTGTTTCCGTATCATTTATATCATATATTAGGAATAATAATTATGTATTATGCTCGCAAAAGGCTCACATAATACAATTTTTATTCCTAATATATGATATTAATGATACGGAAACACACAAGGTTAATAATCTCTATATATACAAGGTCACAATAGGTATGAGTGCAAAACAAGATAATAAACTGCAAGATACAAGGTCACAATAGGTTTGAGTGCACGATAATAGGATAAACTGTATGATAATAGGTTTTATCAATGATATAAGCTCAGCAAACATTTGACTAATGGAAACATGTTCAGAGACCTTTTTGGAGAACATTAAATTTGATTTAGTTTAATTTAATTTTATCCCACCTAAATGGATGTAGAAAAGAATTTCACTATGGTCCTTAGTCCATGTTGGCCTTGGAACAGCAGTGAACATCAACGACATGCATTGCTTTAGACTTGACTTCTATTTCATACACCTGTGGCCTAGGATATGACCTCGCTACACTCATGTGTATCAGTAATCACACAATGTGTCAGTGGTTTGCCTGCTCCAACACTGATAACACTGTGTATCAGACTGTTACAATGCAGCAACTGAGACAGAGCCAACTGCAGTATCATTCAGATGCTCCTTATCTAACCATCAGAGTACTGTGAACAATGGCTACTTGTTAGAAAGTGAGCGTACCTTTCTGATGCTATCAGAGCTGTAATGAAGAGGATGCTATCTTATGTTTTGGCTTACCATGTGCATTTTCTACATCTCCTCTGAAAGAATGAGGTCTGTGAAGTATATAAAAGGTCAATCCCTGCTGAGATCTCCAAATTTATTCACAGAACTCTGTCCAGTTTTACAAATGGCTGCCATTGCAGCCATATTTGAAATATTATCTTTAACCTTAATCCAGATAGTTCCACATATAGCAGTATCAAATGTATGCTGCTTGTGTGTGCTTATGAATAGGTATTTTAAGTGTATTTTAATTTTGACTTTCACCTTCTGTTTCTTCTACATTTGTGCCATATAGAACCCCTTTGAACTTTAGGTTTATGAGACTGAACTTTTGTGTAGGATTCCATAGGGTGTCTGTAAATTTCAGACTTTATTCTGAAACTGGCATTCATCTTTATCCTAATTCTAACCCCATTTTGCTTGTATGTGATGCTGAATTTACAATATTTTTGATAAATTTAGTTGACAGTGCTTTCATTCAAATTACCTCTCAGATGATATTTTCAGACATTGTACTGATGTCGATATATAAAAATACCCTGTTATCAAGACCATTGATCTTTTGGAAGCATATTGCAAACTTTTTATTAAATTTTGATAAGGCATATGGACTGATTGGGTTATCTTTGTAGCTGCTGTGTGTAAATATTGATTTCCGTAGTGATTAGGTATGTATGTGTGCATTCTATATCAGGACCTACTGGGACTTGAGGGGATATTGTGGCTGGCCTCTGCTGAAAATATACATAATAATGATGATTGAAAAGACCTGTTTTTTCCTCAGTGTGTCTGTAACAGACATGAGTGAATTGTTTAGTTTTTATGTTTCTATGAATTGTTCTTTTAAAAATGAGTTTAACAATGCTGTACACCAGACAATAATTTAAACTTGAATTTCCTTCTTAATGACATGGAAATTAGTGTTTTGTATGCTGATGCTTTTTTCTTGAAAAAATGAATTATGTACCTGAATGATTTTTTTGTGTTTTAAAATGAATAATTTCCAAAAGTTGAAACATAATTTGCTGTTTATAGAAACAAGCATTGGCATTTGTGGCTGCCTTTTTCAGTGAAATATGCCTCCCATTTTGTTTGTTGACACAACTTTGCATTAACAATGGAACATTGTCAGAGAGTAGAAAAATGTTTTCTTATAAACTTCTTTTGCTTTCAACAAAGCTTTTATGACTAGTTAATTGTTTTTATAATTCGGCTAATTATTTATACAGGTGGATATAGTGAACAGGGATAAAAATGTTGAACACAAGAAATATTTTGAAAAAAAATAATCACCACAGGTCATAAACCTTGAAATATGTTCTTTTTCAGCATTTAAGATCCTAAACCATTCTAGAGACTCCATCTTTCTCGTAAAATGAGCATTTCTGATAATCAGACAGATTTAATACATTGAGCATTTTAGAGGTGCTTCTTTCATTTATATAAAAAAGTGTATAAGGTGCTTTAATGGTAATGTATATTTAGTACATTCAGCATTTATTAACAGAACAATTAGTTGCTGCTGCTACTGTAATATCATGCCCTAGGGTGATATTGCTGATAACGATTGATGTGACTTTTGCTACCTTTCATTCCATAATGTTAAATACATGTCAGCAGCAATGTTGACATTTGCTTTTGTTCGATCAAATATCTGGAATCGACCTTTAGGGTATTCATAAAGAATTACCAGAGTTGAACAAGGGTTGTTATTGTCCATTTACTGCTGGTTTATACAATGTAATGCTAAATACTATGATTAAGCCTTCACTTAATGATTCATGAGACTATACAGGTCATCACTAGCTTGGCTCCATAATTAGGTTGGTCTTTGTGATTTTGTAATAAATAACATAATGAATATAGTTAGTATGCTATATTCATAATGCTAATGTGTTTGTGGTTTATTTTTGTGTAATTGATTGATAGATCTCATTGTTTTTTTATCTAGAATGGATATTCATTTCCAAGTCTGCTGTTGAAATTTTAATAATATCCCAAATCAGAATTAAAATAAATTTACCATATGTGAAGAAAGTTATTATATAGCTTTGTTTAGAGAACCTGTGTTTCAATAACAACGTAACCAATGAATAGATTTTAATGCATTGTTTTATGTTTTAAACATAGTCTTTAAATAAAATGTCAAATTTCTCTGAATATCAGAAAATGAAAACTTTAAAAAGTTCATTTTTTTGTAAAAATAGCAATTTTGCATGACAGTACACTTACTTCAGAGTCGTCAATAATAGGTACAGGTGCCTGTAATATTGTTTAGTTAGACACACAAAATAATGTTTCTCAGTTTGGTTGTAAATGTAGATACTGGGTCATAAAGCTTTGGAGTTTGTAAGAATTGTATGTCATATGTAGGATGGCAAAATGTTAGCAATGTTATATATACATGTATTTCTATATTTAGAGTCGAGATTATGTGGGGGTTAATGTAAAATTCAAGAATACTTCACTTATATGCAAAAAGCATACACATGTGTTTGGTAACATATACTAGTCCAGCTTTGAATTGGTCTTCAGTAACCCATGCTTGTCGTAAGAGGCGACTAACGACATCAGGTGGTCAGGCTCGCTGACTTGGTTGACACGTGTCATCATATCCCAATTGCGTAGATTGATGCTCATGATGTTGATCACTGGATTGTCTGTTCTAGATTCGATTATTTACAGACAGTGCCATATAGTGCAGCGTTTAACAACGAACGAACCAATCAACTGGACATATGCTAATCTTATAGTAGCCCATGGAGATACCATGCCCACGTGGATGCACTATAGTGACCTGTAATGGTCGGTCCACGTTTCATGTCATAAATGACCAGCATGAGGAAGGGCAAGGTCAAGTGCCATCTATTGACATTTTCTGGTGTGATGAGGTCAACGATGCAAATTGTCTACCTTCCATTCTCTGGGCAGAAGCTCTATCCACTACACCACTGAGATGCTTTTGAGATTTGAAATTCACAAAAGAATTTACATGATATTCCACTTTGGTTTTCTTCTTACAGGACGTTAAACACATTGAGAGTACCGTGTCCCCTAGCCGCGTGAAGAAGGGGCGTGGCAAGAGACGGACTGGCACTGAGCGGGAGGTAGCAGGCGAACAGGATGAGGTTTGGTGGACAACTAGTCATGTGATGTGCTCTGTCTATCGGTAGATTCTAGACTGTTGTTCGTCAGCCTGTGACAAGATATGCCATACTACAATGCCTTCGATGGAAACATAATATATTTTAACAATTGTAGCAGATACGTGTTTGCGGCAAGAATTTACATTACACTATGTACAGATAGCCCCCTCCATAGAAATAGAGATTATCTTTGTGTGTGTAACTATTTGTGTGAAAACCATACATGAAGATCAGGGTAAGAGTTGGTCTTCAGCAGCCAAGTCTTGTCATAAAAGGCGAATAACGGAACCAGGTGGTTAGGTTCGCTGACTTGGTTGATGTATGTCATAGTATCCAAACTGTGTAGATAATGCTGTTAATCACTAGATTGTCTGGTCCAGATTTGATTATTTTCAGACTGCCATCAAATAGCTGGAAAATTGCTGAGTGCAGCATTTCATTTTAATAGGATATAATATGGACAGCTATTTTCTAAGCAAAAGTATGCAATGTACACAAGAAAATGTGGCACTTTAAACAAGTTGTATACTTATTCCAAGAGGGATATCAAGCTGAAATTGGTATCAACTCATCTTGGAACCTCAATTACAGTTAGGCAAATGCTGTTGAGACCTTGGTTAAACCTACTGAGACTTTCTTCCTACCATTATGCTGGTGCTAAATTCTACAGCATGACCAACATAAGCCCACATATTTTCACACATGCAGATGAACTCTTGCATAATGAACTCATTATAGACTGACTAAAAATGTCCAGTTTCCCAGAAGGTGTTGAAGTATGGCTGAGCGTGATTCATGCTGTAGCTTTGCATGGCTTGTTTTAGTAATTTGGTAGACATTCCTATTTGCATGAGAAGTACATGTGGAACGCAACTTTTGGTGATGCATTGCAAATTTGAAATGGTGCAATTAAAACAATCTGATGGTGTTGATTGTTTGACGTTTTGTTACTACTTACTCTGAATAAGTTTGGGGTTCAGTACTGGAAGTCTGAATCACTAACGTGGGATGTCTTTTCTTTTAATGAGATTAAAACTTGGGTTGTTTATACTATTTAACTTTGTCAAACATATTTTTAATGAAGGTCATTGCCTCTGTATAAAGGAGGATAATTTTCTAAGCTTTTTTTATGAATGAATTACTAAAGCATGTGACAGTTTATTCAACTAATTGCACTGGGTAGCAACTTTTTAGACATAGTTAACTGAAGGAATGTCTTTTGCGACATTGTATTATTACCAACTAACTTTTTGTATCAGCTATAATTATATATGATATTAATCCTGACAACAAAAGAAAAAGGGAAATTAGGGTGTTAAAAGACAGTGTTGAAGCACATACCCCAGTGTTCATTCATTCCTGTGTTAGATTCATTTGTCATTGGAGTTTGGGTAGCCCAACTGTCTTATCACTTTAGACACAGAAGGCAAGGTTTGAATCCCTGTTGACGAGTACAGTGGATGGTGCCAGTTGCAATGCAGCTGCAATACTGCTGAGATAAACAAAATCTGTCTCACACACTCAAACCGTTGTGGAGAAGACACGTTTAACATCTGAGTCACTGTCACTTGTTTCATGAAGTCATGTACTTTAAAAAGAAACATATGTACAAACGTCTTCAGATTTTAAAGACACATTTGTTGACAATTTAAGGAATTTGATAATTTTTATGAATCAAAAAATCAATTTTTCGGGAATATCTTAGGTCATGGAAGGGGTGGTGGGGTAGCCTAGTGGTTAAAGCCGAAGACCCAGGTTCGAATGTGTGAAGCCCATTTCTGGTGTCCCCAGCCGTGATGTTGCTGGAATATTGCTAAAAGCGGCGTAAAACCAAACTCAGTAGGTCATGGAATTCTTATTTAATTTATGAATATAATATCATTAACAATGTCATGGCTATAATAATGATAGGCTTTCATGTTGACCATCATCATCATCATCATCATCATCATCATCATCATCACAATCATTACCATCATCACCATCATCGTCACTTTGCATTAGTCATCAGTTTTGTCACCTGTGCAGCTCGCTCGCAGTCTGCAGTTTTTCTTGTTGTTGTGCGATACAAAACATGTTTCACTCTGTAATGCACAGCATTGTTAGAACTAACTTGTCTCATTTACAGCTGTCAGAACGGAGTTGTCTCCCTGTACGTCAATGTTAGAGCATAGTTGTCTCCCTTGATTTCAGTTCAGTTCTTGATGTTATGATGTTGATTATCTGTCTGATTGGTGTTCTGTTGCTGTTTGATGTCGCTAAGATAACTACAACCCAAGGAATGTAATTATAAGACTAAGACACAAGGAGTTAACATAGAAGCAAAACATGTTGACAAGATTGCATTTGATCATTCAGTATTTGAGCTAGATCAAATCAAGATATGGTCCCAGGGCCCCGTTCCACAAGGCGATCGAAGCGCTAAATGATCGTAACTCCCATACTTTATCATAGACTTACGATTGTCTTAGTGCTACTATTGCTTTGAGGAACGGGGCCCTGTATTTATTCAGTTGCAGATGGGTGTAGAAGAAATGAGATATTATCAGATTTATCATCCAAGTGGCCTTCTGAAATAGATATTGCTCAGGTCAAATCATGTGATATCTCTTAGGTTATATTTTGATGATACCACTTATCTCTTTCAAATGTAATGAAACCGTAGCTACAATTTACCTTCAAAATACTTTTTAATACTGTTTACTTACAAGAAAGTTTTAGGAATGATTTTTGGAAAATATATTAGGTCTTCTATGCTCACATGGATCAAGACTCATTGATAAACTTAAATATGGCTCCAGTAACCTTTTATCCACTCTTTGATATATTTTATGTCGGAAGATACAAGTGTTCTCTATATCAGAAACTTATGGGGGTAGTGGTGAATTTTAGTGGTCATGGCTTTGTCCTCTTGTCGTATAGGCCCTTGCCTATTTGTCTTGCCCAATTCTAGTGCCATGGTTGACCTGGGAAGATTGTTTTATGCATCATCAAACAGCACTCACTTACTCAAACCTTCATTGTGACAATGTTCAGTGTGTTGTTGATTATGTATTCTCTATGTGTCCTGTAAAGGGTATTCATTAGCCATCATTTAACATTGATCACTGATAGAAGACGATGATGTTTATAGTGAAATATAACATGTCAATTAGTAGCTATAATGCTATTGCTTCCCGTGATTAATCCACATGCTTTCTACTAACCTTCTGCAACCCCTCTGGGGGCTTCTAATACCTGGTACACAGCTTTTCTACAACTTTGAGGGTGTTGTTCACAGAACTAACTGATGTGATATTAACATGCATTGTCATATGTTCATGAAAACTGTAAATGTCAGAAATAGTGTAGAACTAATGATTTTCCATTTGGTAAGATGAATCCTTTTGGCAAGTTTAACATCATCATTATTAGCTATGAATATCATCGTTATGAAAGCAAATACATAGGAACATTAATTTTGCATTTTACACAATAATGTAGAAATGAATTAGTAATGGAATTTGATCTGGAACCATTCTTTTTTGACATCTTGTTGACAAGCAGAAGATGGACGGCATCTTGTATATCAGCTATGAGGTTTCATTCACTGTTCAGCCATAATGGCAATGAAAACTATGTTTGAATGTCTGCTGAGTGAAGAGATACCTTCCCATCAGTGACCTAGCTCAAAATACCCAGATATCTACAATGAATAGTTAAATATAATACAAAATATTTTATTACCCATTTATAGTAATATATCACTTGATCAATGTGTGGAGATGAGTAGGCTGAACCATTTATGATAATATATGCTCTTGAAAGCAGGATATTATAAGAATGCTTGTATATGTAACAGTTCGTAGTTAACTTCCTTACAATATTTTCAAACAAAAAGAAGGTCATGAATGAACAGTTAGTATTATGTTGAAATCTTTACTCATGCACCGACCAGGGCAGATTGAGTACTAGTTGTGATGTACATAACTCTGTAGTCACTGTGTAGTCGTGTCTGTAGATGTATTTAGAGTTTAGAGTTACCTCCCTTAGGCATGCCCAGATCCAGTAACCTAGGGTTCGAATCCCAGTTCACTCTTGTTTGTAAGTACTAGGACTAAAATCATGGGTTTTACCAAAGTTATAACATCTAGGACCTGCCTCCCTTTGGTATTCCTCCCACATATGCAATGAAAGGACAGAAGTACTTTTCTACAGCCTTAAAACCAAACCCGGAACGTAATTTCATGAACAGTCATCAGAATTATGTGTTTTATGACAGGTATAGGTGCAACATATTGTCATCCCCTACAGCAATCAGTTGATCATCAGCATGACATTTTGTAGCATCATGGATTAGCTTTCATGTGGATGTGTTTACTTTTGTGGGATACCCTTTTTCCCTATGGTTACCATAGAAACATCTAATGGGTGCATGATTTCAGTTTTGCTGAGGACCTAACCTACATGTAGTTGAGTTCGAACACTTTGTTTGCTAAATGTTGTGAAGTATTCATATTGTAGAGAGGACTGTTCCTCTGTTAAATGTCAGTATTGCCCGTTATGATTATCTTTGAGCATTTGCTTGCAATTCTATAAAAATGTCAATATATGTTATGTATCAATTATACAATTTTAAGATTATATTAAATCAATGCTTGATGAATTCTTTCAAGATAAATATGTAAATGAAGTTTGATTTTTGTTAGCTTGCTGGTAATTCTTTCTCTCAGTTGGTAACTGATGGTATTTGTTCAAAAATAGCAAGGTACCCAAAAGGATATGACGAATATTCAGTTTTAAAACAACAATGACAATCATGGTTATTTGTTCAATCATCGTATTGTGATTACGTTTCCTCCCATGCAGACCGGCAGTGTTATGTTTTCGGGGTCGGCTTATGGTGAACCAGACGACCTTGATGAAAAGGTAGGTGAAGGTCATACATCAAGGTCATCCACTTTGTGGTAACTCATGGTTCAGAGAGTCGTGAATGTACCGACGAATCATATGGTGCCAAGTCAGTAGTCTCCTCTTAGATAAGCATGAAAAGCATGTATCATGTATCATGTATCATGTATCTGTATCAAGCAACCAACTAGTCACAGTTTCGGTTTATGAGAAGTGTGATGCCTTAGCTATCCCGTTAAACAAGTTTATTTATGTTCTGGCTAAAATATCTAGGATACACGTTTCAGGTTTTAGAAGGTTCAAGTATCCAGTTCTGTAAAATATGACATTTTGTAGGATGCTTGTCTGTCACCTTCCACTGAATCTAGAAAATTCTTCCGAAAACTTTGCAGAGTATAGTAGGTTCAATAAAGTATCCTGTTCTGGTTTAAATATGACATTTTTTAGGATACATGGTGATCATTTTCCACTGAAAGAAAGCTGTTCTTCCCATAAATTCAAAGAGCATTTAAGAAATATTTTTGAGCAGTTGGCTCATGCATATGTTTGAGTTTATAGCACTTGTGAACTATCAAACGATCTAGCTTGGAGTGGTTGTTGAGTTAGCTAAGTAGCCAGCTGTCACACACTCAGCGTAGTGAGATATTATACAGAAGGAGCGAGTCCATGTGACTGGTTAGAGTAGGTGTCTTTGTGCACTACAAATGACTTACAGCAGAGATTATCTAGAAAGTTTGATTAAGTTGTTACAGCGCCAGTTTGTTTGTAGCTTAGGTCCCCTTTGAAATATCAACTACACATAAAATAATATTCACAAGTCAAATAGTTGTCTTCATTGAAGTGTATAGAAGAACTGCAAATGGTGTAAGTAAGAATTTCCATACTGAATGGGTTAGGAAACCAAAAATCTGTATCCTGCATCTGTATCCCTATCAAATATTGGGTAGTATATTTCTATGTATGAAGCAGATCAGGTCAATCTGGTTTATCCAGTATGCATGGGTTTGGACCCTACAATTTGAATTCGATTATACAACTCAGTGAAATAGTCATCAAAGGGTAGATAACTTTCGTGAATTTGAAGGTGTTTAGGTAATGATATTGATAATGTCAATTTGTTCAAGGCTGGTTCATATGGTAAGTGTGTTTCATACCCGTAGGACAGCATTAATATCATCATTAATATCTCCTGCATTTTATCTCCATTCTATTACAATAATTACCCTGGACCCTTTCACCACCATGGTGTCATTGCCGGAGTAGTGTCACCAATTCCATCACTGTGATCAGTAACTTAACACAGTATTTCCTTTGCTTATGAGACTCATTTGATTGGATAGCTGTCATTCCAGTTATCAGGCTCATATTGAAGCTTGAGCTGCTTTACCCTGCGAGTTCAGGTTCACATCCTGGATGGGACTCAACCATAAAGAAGTACTAGGATCTATACCTTATTGAAAAAAAGTTAATTCCAAAATGTAACATTAGTTATTGAAGCTGTGATAGGTCTAGGTCTAGGGTATTTATCATGATAGTATGGAGATGTTTCACTCTGGATTATACAGGATAAAAGTGTTAGTTGAGCAATAACCACAGTCAGCTGTTTAGCAGTGACATGAGACTATTGCCATTTCTATTCAAAGTATGTAAGACACAGGGGAATGGTTTATATAGCAAAGTGCGCATAATTTAGACATTTGGTCAAACTGTTTGGGATGACGTCTTCTGGATAGAATGTTTCACAGAATTTTTATGGTGAAATTTTAAAGCCTGCTTTAAAATGTGTATAGAGGAACTATCTTAAGAAGGTCAGCATGACCTAGTTACGGAGGTTTCCTTAGTGCATATTTCACATACCACTCACTTTAAATATCTTCCTACTAGGCAGCATAACTGACAATTTAACCCAGTATAATCAACAAATAAAATATGTAGGAGCTTCTTTTGCCTCATAGACTATTTACATAGAAGCTTTACACTCAGGTAACTCTTGTTAAAATATAGATTCCTGGTCTTGTAGTGTCAGTTTCATATTTCAAATATTTTGAATAAAACATAAATCGTCTTGTTTCAGACTATACTTAAGGTAGATATACTGAATGGTTGTCGTGGCTGTTGTTATCAACTTATTTAGGAACAATATGCCAGATGTGTTCCACATGTACTCATTTGTATTTATTTAACTGAATTATTTCCAAATTATGAATGAAATTATGTTAAACATGAAAGTTATTAACATCACATTACTCCATAACTCCACCACACCTTAGTGTTCATATGTTACATAACAATATCTATGTATATGATATATATGGAAATTACATTACCCGGTATATATGTTTTACATGATTTACGTAATTAAAGGCAAATTTAAATTTTTGTCAAAAATGATCCCAAAGTCAGATCTGTATTTAATCCCAAGTCAAAGGTTTAGATGCCATTACTGTTTCCACATCTAATTTGTATTTCACATTTATAAAAGTCACGGTCAGAAAATATACTACTAAAACAAGTTAAGGAGCACCCTACTCTTTCATATTTCTGTGTTGATTTGTCATGTCTTGGCAGTTTATATACAGATACGGGGAGAATAAGGTGTTTTTAGCGTTAGTAGTATTTACTGAAGAAAATGCCTTTGATTACATATTAATATATAAGTTATTAACTGATTAGTGTTTTTATGAGTTATGTGATATGTATATATTAACACAAAAGTAGCGATATTATCCCATAAAGGGGTTATTTGAAAATATGTATTGCCTTCATGTGTATGTACTGTTACCGTACTTATTATATTTACTGTATTTATTACTGGGACTAATTTATTATTAACTTCATCTTTTATCTGTGTTGTATGCTACAATATAATTTTCTAAGCACTTTTTTCAAGATTTTTTTCCCCAAAGATTTGCATCATACAGTTGTGAAATGTTATTTTCATTCTTTTGAAAAAAGATGGTTCAGATTGAAATATATACATTTCTGTGATGTGAGCTGGTGTACATTTCTACAAGTCAATCTCATTAAAGTTAGATTGTTCACTCTAATTTGATATTTCTGTGGCACTTGAAAAGAATAAGGCATATAAATTATCCACAACAATATAATGTTTCTGCTTTAATTATTTACATTTGGAACTTATGGGTCAGTTTCAATTATGAGATGCTGAAATGAGATATCTGCTTGATTGTAATGCTAGAAGTTGGTGTATAAATCAGTGATATACATCTTGATGGAGAACAACATCTGTTTTATTGTTTCCAACAACATTTACATGTAGATTCTATGAAAATAATCAAATAAAGATGCTACTTTGTATTGCTGATTGAATGCCCCTTAGAAGGTTCTGTTAATGCAAGTGATTCATCTTGATGGAGAACAACATCTGTTATATTGTTTTTAGCAACATTTAGGTGTATATTCTTGAATGTGTGGCTTATTGAATGCTCCTTAGAAAGTTCTGCTAATGAACTTGGCTTGCGCAGGTGTGAAATCTTAATGCAGAGATGTATCCTATTGGAGTTAAAGATCTGATTTTAATGAGATTGAACAACTGAATGCTGCCTTTAGATCATAGTTAAGATAAGTATGTATAGAAACATGGAAATTGATTTCATGTGAGATAGTGGCCTTTAAGTCAGTAGAAAGTCATGAGATTTGGGACCACTTAGTGTCTCTGACAAGACTTTGCTACACTATATTGGTCAGAGACTTTGGGGAATTATTTAGGTACTAACGAAGAAAGAGTTCTCTTGTAGCTTCTTGTTGACGATGCTGAAAATACCGGCTACAGCACTATCGAACCCATCAACGCTGATGGTACACCCAAAGCATCGACGTCCCGGGATGACGAGGAGACAGATGAGGAGGTCGTGGCTGATGCCCCGAGGAAGGAGAAGGAACAGAAGAGGACGGCAATGGTGTCCATGTTTGTCTATGTCATGAAGCAGAGCTATGTCCTCACTCTCATCGCCATGATGGTAGGAACTGGAAGAAGACGTGTCTAGTTGTTATTACCATGTGTTTACTGTGGTGGATTTGGAGTGAATGGGGGAAGTTGTCATGGGGACTTCTTTGGAAAATGACACTCTAGTGAAATTAACAAATATAGGGTACCATTGTTTTGTTCAAAATTTAAACATCCCCGCTGAATGTGAGAATCCTCAAGTTGTACCCGTTTTAAAATTTAAATCAACCTGACCTCTTATGACTGTGAAATTGTTAGAGTATATTCTTTCTCACATCAGGGTATACATTTTCACAGTGAGAAAATTTTATTACTTTACGAAAATATGATAATTCAGGGTTGACAGCAAACTGGAGACACAGAAAAAATTAGGACAGCCAAAGATATATCAGAGTATAATATCTTAAGATTTTCATCAGAGGTGCTCCTCACTGAAATTGTACAAGTAATTTGAATATTGCTGACCTGGATGTATCTGATGAATACAGTGAAATGAGTTTTACAGGACCACTGGAAGCAGTGTGTCACACTCACTTCCTCTGTATTCTGCCCCTAGGCGTGGAGCATCACCTTCCACAGTTGGTTGACGTTCGTACTCCTCCTGGCTGCCTGTATCCTCTGGATGATCCCCAAGTCCCGCCGCGCCTGCCTCGTCATGTCACCCGTCATCGTCTTCTATGCTGAGGCCCTCCTTGTCATCCAGTTCATCTATGGCATGAACCTACCCACGGAGCTGCCTGTCGATGCGGGCCCCGTCACATACAACGAGATTGGTCTCAAGAGATATGAAATCCCTTGCTTGTATCTAGCCGCACAGGTATGGTGACATTAGGGCCACATCGTCGAGTAATTTAGATTCAATTCTGTGGCTGGTATACTTTGATAAAACAATTCAGTGCAGTTTTGTTCGACATCATTCCACCCAAACACAAGCCAAAATTAGTATCAGGTTCATTTTAGTAAAGGTAAAGAGGCTGATCTGGATTGGGGATGTTTTGGAGGTTCATGTTTTAGCATTAATGTTTTTCTAGATCTGTGTGGCAGTGGCATCAATCGATTTATATCAATCCTACATTAAGTAGGCTTGTTGTATTAGATGACACCAATGGGATAGGGTTATCCAAATTGTGTCTTGACACAAATATACCTCTAAATGTCGATATCTTGAGATTTCTTGTCACAGTAGTTGTCATTGCTTCTTGTGTTCCATGCCCTGCAGGCGGTGGGGTAGCCTAGTGGTTAAAGCGTATGCTTGTCATGCTGAAGACCCGGGTTCGATTCCCCAAATGGGTAGAATGTGTGAAGCCATTTCTGGTGTCCTTTGGCTTAATATTGCTGGAATATTGCTCAAATTCGAGTCCCCAAATGGGTAGAATGTGTGAAGCCCATTACTGATGTCTGCTACCGATATAGTGACTGACTCATGTCACAGTAGGTGTGATTGCCTTTCCTGCTGTTCCTCAGGTGTTGTTCACGTTGTTCTTCTGGCTGACTCTGAGACAGTTCATGAGGGAGAGGCAGACGACCCAGGAGCAGAACCCAGGGATGCCTCTGGAACCCGTGGATGGATCAGCAACCAAGAAGAAGTCTTTCACGGACTTCCTGAGTGAGTGGGGGATCAGGGGTCTGACGTGGCTGACCACTGCAGTTTGATGTAGGAATGTCTGGTATCAGCGGTATTGGTACAAACAGAAAAATTCTTCAGAGACAAAAGTATTCAGTTAGAGCTTCAGTCCAGGTGTTTGTATTGCTATGACTGTCGTAACTCTGTAGGTTCATATAAACTTACGATGGATGTTGGGCAGATAGTAGTTTGAGGACAATTTTGGCCTGACATTTTGTATTTTGGATCTTACTGGAAACAAGCAACAGAAAATTCAAAATAATGGTTTGTTCAGTACAGAACAGAAAAGTAAACATATGCATATTTTATTTTAACATAATTCTTGAATTGAAATATACAAGAAGGTTGTACCACAAGCTTGTCATTTAAGATTACAAAAATGAATGAAAACATTGATAATTTTGGCATGCTTGCTATCAAGAAAGTTATTCCCAATGCACAACTCTGTCTGGCACCACATTGAATTGCACGATGATCATGCAGTTGAACAGTTGTTTACAGGTAGTCATAGTAAAGTGTGACATGATTTCTGTAGTTAGGTATTTGTTCAGATGTTTTCTCCTGCTTAGCAAATATTCAGTCCCTACATTGTGATTTAAATGTTCTATGGAAAATAACTATTTTAAGTTTTAGCATTAGCATCACTAAAGCTAATTGTGATCAAATACTAAAAAATATCCCATACTAATTCTGTGATAAGATTTGTGGCACTTGTAAAAATACATTTCATAAGACATAGAAAACACGTTTAATGCATCAATATGAAGATTGCAGTTGTCACAGGTGTAGCTAATCAGAGCTCATCAATTAATTATTCTAGTTGTATTTATGTGTCACAAGCCTTTACCATCTGTGATGTATGATATGAGCCTCATATATCATGTCCTGTGATTGTATAAGCAGTTTATCCAACCTGCAGCCCCCTTGTGTGATGATTTCCTCATTCATCTGTGTTGTACTCATAATATCATATCACCACCCTTGTTGCGTATCAATGCTAAATGTCATCCCAGTTGTCAATCATCTGTCATCAAGCCACTTTAGTTTTTCACCCTTTCCCGATAATCATTTTGTATTTTGCTTGATTTACACAATGCTTACCGCTGATTAATAATTCACGACATTTGGGTCTGACATTTGCTAATGGTGCTTTCAGAAGCAGAAGCATCTATAATGGCGTTTGATGATGTAATAAGCATACTGATTCACAATACTGTTTCAGTATGTAAGGATAACGAGGGTTCTGATTAAGGGTTGTCTTATACTGGGAGTTTTATACTAGGCTTGTATCACAGGTTGTTACCCATATGGGAAGGAGGACACAGGGTAATATGTCTCCTGTAAGTCCCAAGGGAGGTTACACCTTTTGGTGAACTTTGATTGGCTGTTTCAGAAAATAAAACAGCCAATCAACGCGTGTAGGGGTATGGGGATTCCCCCACATCACAGGTTTCCTTATAGAGATTGATAGACTCTAGAAGAAGCTCTTTCATCTTTAGGTGGATAACATCAGCATTAATACAATAATCCTTGTTCTTGATGCATCATGCTCTTGTTGCAATTAAGGTTCTGGCAATGCTGTGGTTCACATAGTAAAATCTGTGCCCAAATTGTAGTGGCCACTTGCCCATACTTGGCTCTTGGCACTATTTTCATCACATGTTAGTGTTACCATACACAGTTTCAGTAATTATCTTTCTAGACCAAACAGAATTTTACTAGACCCTGGCTTCAGGCCAGTTGCTAAAACTGCAGGTTGACATTATTTTATTTTTTTAATCTATCGGTTAAGATTTTAAAATTGTTAGGGTTGTCTGGCTCTGCTTCTGACCTGATAAATAACGCTCCCATAGCCTGCAGCTCACTTTTCAAGTGCTTTTCAATGTGCTGACTAAGCAACTTTCACCCTCATCCTAATGTCATGTGCTTTTATCATGGTCGTCTCTCTTTGTGAAATTAGTTGGCAGTTTCAGCATTATATACTTTGCATTTCTAACTGCCCATTTCCGACATCCACAACCTGATATTGCTGTAATATTGCTAAAAGCAGCGTAAAATCATACTCTCTCTCTTGCACTTTTTCATCATGAAAAATGTTTGTCAAGCCACTCACACATTTCTAACTGACAATGTGTTTGTTTAATCAATGAATTTGGTTAAGTATAAATCTATAGATTAAGAGAGACAATCATGCACCTTCTGAATGAATTGACTTATTGCTTTCGATGGTTCATGTTTTTGTGTTTGCTTTTGTGTTGCTTTTGTGTTGTGTCCCTCATATCATCATTAACTCATCACCGTCATCACTGACACCATCACCTCAACCTCCACTACCATCATCACTATCACCACCATCATTGTCATTATATTTCACTTTATGTATCCCTCACACACCCATCATCATCATCATCATCATCATAAACAAAACTTACCTCCTTTCACTCATCATCATGATGATCTAAAAAAGTCATAATACCCCCATTCACCGATTAACAAAATCACATCGTCATCATCATCATCATCATCATCATCATCATCATCATCATCATAAATATGTAACACAATAACCCTATAACATACCTTATACTAACAGCACCAGTTGTTATTTAGATAGATGATTTAATGATGGTCATATTGGCAGATTCAGATATCTGTGGAAACCCTGTCTGAATATCATCACTGTATTGAGCAGTCTTGTAACAAAAAGAGTGAGTTTCTGTAAAATCAGGGCTCTGTTGCATAAAGATGTCTCGTAAGTCCCATACTTACGATAAGCGTAGTACTACGCTGGCTCTGTGTATGTAAGCCCTGCACAGCAACTACCAAGTCCAGTGTTTCACAGGGCTCCAATTCATGGGATGCAGAGAGAAAACACACATCTATACTGAACAAATAAAGTTAGTGCTCATGATTATTTTGGGGATATTATTATGAAGTTGTATGCTCCATCTTCACTACGTATCCGTGGTGTCGCCTCAAATATTCATAATCCCTAACCTTTTGTTTGGTATATATGGTCTGTGAGCCTTAGATGGTAGTTATAAACATTTGTGAAATCATCTTTATCGCCTTAACAGCATATGGTAGCCTATTTCTGCATTACTGATTTCAGAAGGCAAATTTGTCACTTTTTAGTAGTAGTCATATTATATCTCTCTATTTGTCAGTCACAAGGTTATGCTGTGAAATTTGATGAAAATAATGATGAGTGATTAATTCATTATTAAAAATTATAATTGAGATGAAAATGCTATTTGATAAAAGTGATCACGGAAACAATTACCATGATTTAAGTAATGTTAAAGAAGCAGCTATTACTCGTAAAGCAGGTTTCATTAGGGTTTATGTTCTGAAAAAGTATCGATTCCTGCTAACTGTCATCCTTTACTGGTGGTCATCCTTGGATCTATTTCAAATACTGATGTTAAGTGGAACTGACTTATCATCAGAGTTAACTCCCTTCAGTCTTGATTCAAACTGCTCGTTTTGTCTGAATCTGTCAACTCTCGTGTGATTGCACTGCCTGGTTTCTCAGGTCTTGTGGTGTTGGGTTGATCACTGAAACAGCTGTGTTGAAAAGTTGAACTGCTATTCTGCCTATCAAAGTCCCTTTTGTTTTGATTAAAAGAAAAAGATCTAGAGCCTTTCATCATTGTGACCCCACCACGTTGATGAAATGTGCTTTATTTGAAAATTCTGTTGTTCTAAAGTCTGTTCGACTTGTCACAGCTATGGCCTCTGTGCTCAAAACTTGAATATTTTTTAAAACAAAAGGTCCCCATGAACAGGTACCATCCATGTCCTCAGAGTCCAGTGGCTTCCAGGGCAGAATCAAACCCTTGCTTGTTGTACAAGCTGACTAGCAAGGGCTGAGTCATCACATTGTGTGACCCAGCTGATTGCACCTTGATGGCCTACATTGTCGCTAACCATCAGCTCTCTTGGTGAAGACTTTGGGATTTGGTTGTTAGTATGGTCAATCATGTCTTACCGTTACAATATCAATCAACTTCCGGAGCTGTGACACCGCTGATTACAGAGTAAAACAATATTCACTCACTCACTCTGAAGCGATCATGACTGTAGGTGCCGTGGTGATGTTCAGGCCTGAGGTACGTACTTAGTGGTATTTCTTTGCGCATGCTTGTTCCTCACTTTCGGATATCTTTACGTTGCATGGCTTGCAGATCTTCCTCTAGAGACGGACATGGTCGATGGATATGATAGCAATTCCACCAAGATGATAGGTAGGCCAATGCCAAGGTTCTTGTTTGTGCCTCTTCTCACCCTCATTTCTATAATGGTATGATCCTTGACATTGTGTTTAGTATAGGATCGGGTTGTACCATCACAGAACTGAGGGTGTTTGGGTTGGTTTTTGCTTACCTTTACTATTGTTCTGCTTTCAGAAATGTTGATGCTTTTTGATTGTTGTTATTGGGGGGTTGTGATTGTGTTTGAATTTACAAATTTTATAAAATATACATGTGTTGAATCTTTTTCTCTTTTTTAAATAGTATAATATATATTTTGTTTATTTTCTAGAAATATATGGTTTGTTTTTCCGATGTAGCTCTGACATCTGATCTAAATTAGGTTATGAAGGTATATGTCGTCTTTAGAGATCATTTTTACTGAAAATATGGGGTTTTTTTCACTTTTGACAGTGTAAATTTGGAAAAAAACAACTCACTGTTTATATTCTTGAATCACCCAAAAAATAATGATATCACTCAAAACAGGGCAAGAAAGGACTGCCTTTCATCATTTGAGATTCATGTTTATAAACGTTTGATCAGACGCATAAACATCCTCAGCTTAGACGTACAAAATTACAATTCTGAGGCTCATTCCACGCATGAATGTTAGCACTAAGATGTTCATAATACCCATGCTTTAAAGACTGCTTATGGTTGCAACATCCATGTGTGGATTAGGGTCTTCATCTTCCGTTATTGTGACTAAGGTGAACATTTGTTCACTCTGACAAAATAAATTATGACCAGATGTGATTGTCAGGTATTAGGCTTGAACATTCACAATGCTTTGTACCTGGCATTTGAATGTTTTATATAGCTTTGAAATATCACATAACTTCCATTTTATTTTTATTATAAAATCTATAATTTCCTGATTTTTATATATTTTTACACTTATTACTATATTGTAATCACCTTCCATTTATTAAGTATATATTTGGAATAACCCTACATATGGCATATGTCTCGTAAATATGTGTACTTCATCTATATATGCCCCTAAAATATAAACTGTAAATATACAAAATATAAACCCCAGTTTATTAACAAAATATATTCTCTCATGATCCCTATCATAATATTTGGATTCATTATCATATCTACATCCAAACATTAAGTTAATTAAGCTATTGCCTTAAAACTACCTATACGTGGTGGTGATCTAGAGTTACTCCCCTTTAGGTAACTACCTGAAGGTCCTACTGTGCAAGTACTGGATCTTCGCTTGCGCCACCATCATGTTGGTCATCGCTATCCAGGACGTCGTCGTCTACCGCATCATCTACATGTTCCTGTTCCTGCTCTTTGTTGTCGCCTTCCAGGTACTGTACCATGTTAACCACAGGGAGATACCTGGAGACTGGCCGATTTGTGTGTTTTCTCCCTTACTAGTGCCAGGATCTGGTACCTATGTTTCAAATCACAAATTCTTGTCATTAACTGTTCTGTTTAGTAGATTTGCTGCACTTAAGGCCTTGTTTGCTCAGACGTGCTCTGACATAAATGCAATGCTATTCAATGTGTGTTTAAGCCTTATCTCATGCCCTGTGTCCCTTACCTAATGCATAATGTAAGGATTATGTTTACTAAATGTTTCAAAATACAATTTTACTGAAATAGTGCTCTGTGAAATTACTCCCTGTTCTTTGCCGTCAATCAACTGATGTAACCTGGAAAATGAAACCTTGTAGGAGTGATTAGTCTCTTCCATTGCAGTTGATAACTGCAAGAATCTGAAATTCATTCAAATATCACTAAAAGGACTAAACTGATATTAGAAGACATCTTCAGGATGCTTTCACGATTAGTGAACTATCTTTTATCCCTCAATTAGTGATGACCAAGGAAATTCAGCAGCTCGTGTCAGTCTGTTCCTTCTGTTCCGCATCATGATGTCAATGGTGGATGCTATAGATCCATCTTGTCCTCATGTTGTATCCATCATTGGTTCCTGCCATTGTACATGGGTTGCCAGGCATCTTGGAGGTTTTTTTGCAAATGTAGGAGAGTTTTAAATTCCCTGCCCACTAAGTATTGTTTCATTATTTAAAATCCTTAGAAAATTAGAATGTTGCAAGTTGTTAAATTCTGTCCATTGTGTCTTAATCATCATCAGTGATGACGTATTGTTTAACCAAGAACTAATGTTGATGTATACTTGTAGCTGTCATTCACGGTGTGGCGAGGGGTGATGTACATCTTCTGGTGGGTGGTGACGGTCTACTCCATGGCAGTCCTCATCATCATCTACACCTACCAGTTCAAGCAGTTCCCTGCCTACTGGAGTAACAGCACTGGACTGTCCGATCAGACGTAAGACAATGATTGAATCTTGCTTGTTTATACAGCTGTATGGCTGCAAGGGTCATTGTCGGTGGCTGCAAGGGTCATTGTCGGTGGCTGCAAGGGTCATTGTCGGTATGGTTTCTACAGATATGTACCTCAGGCAGATTTTTGTATGCAGAAATGAAACCCTAGAATGTTTCATTAGGAACTATCGATTCTGCCTTCTACAATGCTCGTAACTGGTTCTGTAACCTTGAGCAAATAAAGTTTCTGGATCTGAATAATCAGACTGTTGTCATTCCAGTGTGCTACATAAATAATGCAAGCATACACAGTGAGGTACATACTGTCTTATATTCCACAATACACAGCGTGATCCAGCTAATCCACTCACAATCAGGCACACTGGAACTACAACATGAACCTTTTCGGTTCCAGTTTGAGGAATATGGATTAGTCTACCACGTAGGGTACCAGATACAGTTTCATATTCTTACTTTTGCTAGGGTGCATTTCTGCATACTGAACCATATCTGTGGTACATATCTGTAAGCCTTGCAGACAATGCTGATGCATGTAACAGGGTATGGAGCCATCACTTTAGAACTATTTTACTCCAGATTAGGATTTTTAAATTTAAAAAGAAACAGGATATGTCATTAATATTCATGTTTCTGCTTTCTGTGTTTAGACTGAAGGACCTTGGTTTGGAGCTGTATGACACGGCTGGTCTGTTCATCAAACTGCTGACGCCAACCAGTTTCCTGATTGTCGTCATCCTTCAAGTCCATTACTTCCACAGTCCCTTCCTCAAGATGTCTTCTCTGGACAGATACAAGTGAGTCACGTTGATTCAGATATCATAGCTACAGACGGAACATACTGACTTAAGTAATTCCAAATGTATGTAAAAACATACATCATCTGCATAGATGGTGCTGTCTGATTTTGAAGAGATAGTGAGTAAGCATATGTGACAAGGGCCCCGATAGGTAAACATCCTTTGGAGCACACCACAAAACAGCTGGACAAAGTGAACGATCCACATTTTAGGTTTCGCACAGTATTTTGTAGTTTTTGTGGAAATTTTATTAATTGCTGGCAGCGTGGAGAATAGTTTTACTGCAGGCAAAGATAATAAAAAGCTTCACGTCAAACTAGAACACTGCTATGATCCGTGAAGATCCGGGTTAGAATTGGTCTTCAGTAACCCATGCTTGTCATAGAGGCGAGTAACGAGATCGGGTGGTCAGGCTCACTGACTTGGTTGACCCATGTCATTTTATCCCAATTGCGTAGATCTATGCCCATGTTGTTGATCACTGGATTGTCATATAGCTGGAATACTGCTGGGTGCGGCGTTAAGCAACAACCAACTAACCAAGCCAATGGTTACCATCTGTGAATAAAGCGACAGTATACAGCTTCCTCTGTTAGATGGACATGCAAGTAAATTGTACTGTTGTTTATACCAGCTGATTGGTATATATATAAACTGTGTATGGAAGTGTTATCAGCTGGAGTCTATGATTTCCTGAACCATGTTTGTCTGGACAGACATGAGGACCAGACGGACTCAACTCCGGCAGACTACACGACTGATGAGGCAGGTGGCACCACAGACACGGAGTCTGAAATCAGCAAGAAATCCAGACGTAAGTGTCCCAGAGAACAGCTGTTTACTTTACGTAACTGTAAAGCATGTACTTTAAAGCATGGTTGGTTTAGCCGTCTAATGCGCCCTTTCTGTGGAGGGTTGTGTCTCTTCATTTATCAAGGGTTCGAATTCAATTATACGTTTACAGCACAATTCGTTTGTCATGGAATTCATCAAAGTGGTAAACTCCTTACTGTAATACAGAACAACACTGCCTCCCCCATTGTTTCTTGATGTGACCTGAGTGGTTCACTGTTGCAGATTGGCGCCGACGATTGACACTACTGTTCTACAGTCTGTGGAATAAAGCCAGCAGTGTCTGGTGCTCTGTCTCAACATTCCTCTGGAGGCTCACGGAGATACACATCTTTAAGCTCGTCGTATTTATCATCATGATCGTTGCAGCCAATGAGGTATGGTCCAATATTTTATTCCATGTTCATTATTGATTTTTTGGTATAGTAACAAAACCAGTACAGTTGTTGAGCCTTGATATGTATAGAAAATATAGCCACATTATAGTTACATGATTTAATTATTCCTTCATTCACAGGTTTCAAATACAATTTTGAGAGTGAATGCTGAGTATATCTCCACCAATTGTATTGATACTTGTTTAATATTCTGCAGACTTTTGTCTGAGCAACTTACGGATCTGGGTTTTGTTGTTTCATAACACCATCATGTGAGTTTGCCAGTACAGTGTGTGTTGTTTAATAAATTAGACATACTGACCTCTATACCGTAAAGATCTGGGTTAGAATTGGTCTTCAGTAACCCATGCTTGTCGTAAGAGGCGGACTAAAAGCATCGGGTGGTTGGACTTGGTTAACACATGTCATAGTATCCCAATTGTGTAGATCGATGCTCATGCTGTTGATTACTGGATTGTCTGATCCAGACTCGATTATTTACTGATTGCCGCCATATAGTTGGAATATTGCTGAGTGTGGCGTTAAACAACAAACCAACATAATGACCTCACCATGTCGTATCGCCATCAAGGCACCTTATGCAAACCTGCAGTCTTGTTTTGCTAAGATAATGTAATTGTACAGAGGATTGTTTGTTGAAACAAACTTAGCCTGATTTGCACAAATCAATCAGGCCCTCTCATCGGTGAAATACTTGTGACAACTCTTAAGTGTTTCCAAGGCATGATTTTGTCATTTGAAGGTGTCAGCAATCAGCGCGGTGTACATCATCCTGATGGCGGCCATTTTGCCCATCTCTCGTATCCACATCGTGCTATCCCATGTGACCATGATCTGGACGTCTCTGGTGATCCTAGCCAAAATGATGTACCAGTTAAATATTGTCAAGACCGAGTTCTGGATCACTAGCTGCACTGTAAGTACACTGTATACAATCAAGTTGTGGGAGAAAATCTGTCATGGCGTATTTTGAAAAATCCTTGTAGGCAGGTTCTCTGTGACTTTCTTTTTAAAGTTGTAGTAATGATAGAAGTTAATGTTCATTGTGAAAAGAATGAATTTTGGACAGTATCTTTTAATAGCTTGATTATGTATTAATCAGTATCAAATATATTACCTATGGGCTACTGTGTCAGATTTATATTTCCCATGTACAAGGGGAATGTGGCAGATATGTTTTGGATGTACCAGGTGATTGTGTCAGATATGTTTTGAATGTACCAGGTGACTCTGTCAGATATGTTTTGGATGTACCAGGTGATTGTGTCAGATATGTTTTGGATGTACCAGGTGATTGTGTCAGATATGTTTTGGATGTACCAGGTGACTCTGTCAGATATGTTTTGGATGTACCAGGTGATTGTGTCAGATATGTTTTGGATGTACCAGGTGATTGTGTCAGATATGTTTTGGATGTACCAGGTGATTGTGTCAGATATGTTTTGGATGTACCAGGTGATTGTGTCAGATATGTTTTGGATGTACCAGGTGATTGTGTCAGATATGTTTTGGATGTACCAGGTGATTGTGTCAGATATGTTTTGGATGTACCAGGTGATTGTGTCAGATATGTTTTGGATGTACCAGATATGTTTTGGATGTACCAGGTGATTGTCTGTCAGATATGTTTTGGATGTACCAGGTGATTGTGTCAGATATGTTTTGGATGTGTACCAGGTGATTGTGTCAGATATGTTTTGGATGTACCAGGTGAGTTGTGTCAGATATGTTTTGGATGTACCAGGTGATTGTGTCAGATATGTTTTGGATGTACCAGGTGATTGTGTCAGATATGTTTTGGATGTACCAGGTGATTGTGTCAGATATATTTTGGATGTGACCAGGTGATTGTGTCAGATATGTTTTGGATGTGACCTGTCAGGTTTTGATTGTGACTCTGTCAGATATGTTTTGGATGTACCAGGTGATTGTGTCAGATATATTTTGGATGTACCAGGTGATTGTGTCAGATATGTTTTTTGGTTGTACCAGGTGATTGTGTCAGATATGTTTTGGATGTACCAGGTGATTGTGTCAGATATGTTTTGGATGTACCAGGTGATTGTGTCAGATATGTTTTGGATGTACCAGGTGATTGTGTCAGATATGTTTTGGATGTACCAGGTGATTGTGTCAGATATATTTTGGATGTACCAGGTGATTGTGTCAGATATGTTTTTTGGTTGTACCAGGTGATTGTGTCAGATATGTTTTTTGGATGTACCAGGTGATTGTGTCAGATACGCTTGCCATGTGCCAATTTAACCTGACTGAGCGGAATGAACTAACTCTGACAACACTTCATGCATCTTCTTCTCCTGTCTCTTGTGAAGACTTTACACTTCACTACAGCTGCATTATACTGCCGATATGTGAAGAACTTCTAGGAGGGATTATGTCCATTCAACACGACATGATATACTGACAGAAATTCATCAGTATACAATAGTTTCTTACTTGTACACTCTGTAAGACTTAATTGCTGAATTACTTTGATAAATTGAAAATCTAAATTGCTGTTGCATTTGAAAGACATAATCCTTTGTAGAATATTGTGACTGTTTCTCTTCTCATCGGTGACTTCTTGATTTCTATTTAAAAGGGAATGTCTAGACCCTTGTCTCTGTGTTGCATTTTCTAATGATATATAAGTACTTGTGAAGTGATATATTTGCTTCACAAATACAAAGGTAACAAATCCCTTCTTTCCAGTGATGTGTAGATGCCTTTTAGGAAACTTTAAAAAAAAATTATATTACTTTATTCATATCTGCGTGCAGTGGTAGTAAATATGTCAATCTTGGTCCACAAGGGATTTAAAGCTTGTATGAAGGATCCCCTCTCAAATATCATTTGGATTTCTTCTGTTTGTATGTATCCAGTGTTGACATCTTCTGTCTTGATGTATATTACCAGTTCTCTCTAACAACTTGCACTTTCAGTTGGATGAAAATGGCACTTTTGTCCCCAATGTAAGCTATGTCTCTGCCAGAGGGCAGCCGTATCTGTTGTTTTGGCTTTGCATGTGCCATTTCTGTAGATGTGTTTTACCTGTAAACACATGTTTACATGTTCATTTGTGTAGCACTTACATATTGTCTACGTTTGACATGACTAAATATGATCTGTGGAGTATTATAGCTTGTAGTCTTGGTTGAAAAACAACAATGCTTTGGCTTCAAGTAAGACTTAATTGACATTGATATAATTTAGATTATTTACCATGTTTATGGTTGAATTGGTTTTGTTTGTTCAATCAAATGTAGTATTTATCATTATGTTGAAGTTATGACCACAGTTAGAAATCTTATCCAATCAAATCAGATCTTTTACTGCCTCCGTTAGGACCTGACAAAACCTTCCACTGCAGATCATGACATGTGACTTTTCGATTCAGCCAATCAGTGTGTCTTTCAAAACAAACTTGAACAGGCAGTCCTGAATGATGGATAACAATGACCACACTTTGTTGTGGATATGTTACACCCTGTTCTTTGTTAAATGAGTCGCCACAAATAGCTGCTGATATGGCGTTAAGCAATATGTACTCACTCACTCACTCACTCACTCACTCACTGTGCGTTGAGGCATTTGCGCCTTTAATGATGTACTGTCGAAGGAGCATTTGTTATTTTTCTGGTTGTTTATGTTTGTTCTGTCTGAAATATTCAGTCTTGATTCTAAAAGTTATAACATTTTATGCTCACAGAGTTATATTATAAAGCTGACCACTGATTGTGTTAAACTCTGATGCATCCTTGATTGGCCACTACATGGTTTGCCTCCTCAAGAGGGTTTGTCAGGTTTTGACACAGTATTAACAAACTGGAGTAAAACATCTGATTTTATTGAGATTTTCACAAACCATACTCCACCAATAAACCTTTCAGTTAGATGTGATTTGTCCGAGACCTTCAGCATGAACTAATCACCTGGTCAGCATAAGACTAACACCATGACATACTGACTCCACCTGCACTAACACATACCAGGTGTAGGGTCTCGTAGATGTGGCATTCTGTACAGGAAATCGGAAGTGACCCTGTGTCACTGTCTTACTCATCTGTTGATGGTTAAACCTTAACATCCATAGAATTAATTAGTTTTGGCCACTATATTCCAGCTATATCACTGTGGCACACTATAAGCCAGTGGTTGACAGCATGAAAGAAGACCATATGTTGTCGAGAGCACACAGTTTGCCTTACATGATTACACCTGATCACCACAGGGTGGGTCGTTTTGGGTGTTTCACTTAATCTGTTATAGATTTTGTAAGCTGATTCCCCAGGGAAAGAGAAGACTATTCTGCTCCAATAAATCTTCAGGGTTGTTCATTATTGGTTAGATAGAATCTTTCCTTGTCAAGCTGAAGACATCAGTATGATGTGTGAAGTGTCGTCTGCTCTGATATAGCTGGATTTTCAGTAACATTAAAGACACTAGTTCCAGTATTAGCTTTGGTTCATTTGGACCTGGAAAAAAAAAAATGAAAATGAGCCGAGAGCTTCACTAACTGTTTGTCCATTGATGACTCAGGACAAGACTACCAGGATGTGCATGGTTGTGATTATGTTGAGAGCTACATTGTGTAGTAACGTGTAGATTGTGAAACTAGTGTCCGGATGAGATGTAATAAGAGTGACAGGTACACTCACACCATACTGCATGCAAGCTTGTTCACAGTGTCACATGTGACAGACTAACATTTCAGCAGCTGGACGATGTTGTGTGTTGCGTCCAGCTGTAGACAACAGGGCTCGATTTAAGTAACCAGAAATAGTTTGCATCTGGTGCATGTCGACATCAAAACCTAATTGCACCAGATTGAAACAGGTTGCACTTGTTTTCAGGTTGCACACAATACCTATTTACTCTAGATGTGTATAATTGGGATATTTATTAGAATTCAGAAATTCCATGTTTTTGTTTCACTGACATCACTGCAGATGAAATCACTGAAACATCTGAAAGTTTCTCATGCTCACTCATTATGTTTAAGATTAACCAAAATGTATGCCCTGTGTCTGTGACAGAAGCTGAATGAACTGTTGGGCATGGTTAAAAATGTCGTTATTGACTTTTGTTTCTTCAATTTGCTTGTCATGATTAATTTTCATGATATATAACCAAACTTGATGAACCAAGTATGTGGGCTGGTCTGCTTTTTACAAAATTAAAAACATATTGCTGTAAAACATCACAGACTAGTTATATGGGTTATCACGAAATGCCCACAGTTTGATGACATCAAGCCCAAGGAACCAGTACAAATTACACATAAAATGGGGACAAGTAAATGTGGTTTGGTAAATACAGTGTATTGAGTTTTAGATCATTGTGATGTACACTTGCTTAGTCAGGCAGTTGCAAAGTTTGACATGCCCTGGTTGCATGTAGAAATAAGTGATGAGACCCATTTTCAATATTACCGTGTAGAGGGGGCAAGGACCCTGAACTGATGATGAGCCTTACCAGCCTGACTGTGCCAGGATCACCCAAACCCTCTTTGCTGCATTTTTTTCTTAATCTGTAAAACATAATAATGATAATAATATTTAGTCCATATATATTGCACCAAATCCATGACGACAGAATGCTCTTAGCGCAGACAGTTAATTATTACCCCGGATAACCCAAGCTGCCTGTGAGGCGCCAGAAGGTTATAGTCACATGACTTATCCCACCGGGTACCCATTTTCTGCATGTTTTATGTTTTTAAATCGAGCCCTGGATATTGATATAACAGACTAATATACACTATCAATATATGTATTATGAATCATAAAATTCATAACATAGGAAAATGTTCTGTATAAATATAGGCTCATTAGGAGTCACTTGTATTCATATCTAGTTGGAGTAAACTTTGATGCATGATCAATACACACTTGCATATTGTTAGTATCACCAAGGGGGCGGTGGGGTAGCCTAGTGGTTAAAGCATTCGCTCGTTATGCCGAAGACCCAGGTTCAATTCCCCACATGGGTGCAATGTGTGAAGCCCATTTCTGGTGTCCCCTGCCGCGTTATTGCTGGAATATTGCTAAAAGCGGCATAAAACCATACTCACTCACTCACTCAGTATCACCAAGTACTGTTGTAGTAGACGTAACACCAAGGAATCATTTGTACTATACTAATGCTGAGTTACCATCGTGTTAACAGTCTGTCAGTTACTAACTGAGTAATAATAAGCTTTATGTTTCCTATTGATGCCTTGCAATCTTTCATTAACTGGTCATGTCAGGAGGGCGGGTGTTAACAATGTACATCACTGGATGTAAACAATACTGTTTCCGAGATAGTACGACATCCATGTCAAGTGGTGGTGGAGTTTGATGTCTTGTCACATTAGTAACACTTTCAGATTTTAAAAAAATGTACGCCATTAAAGTGTCATTTGCAAATTTTATATAATATAATACCAAAACAATAATATGGAAAAAAGTCTGCCGTATTGTAACTTTAGTATGTACCAGCTTGATGGATGAGTCTCTCTGAAACCGTTTTGGTTGAGTCCTGTGATACTACATGTTGTCTTAGCAAGTGTTATAATAATGTTTTGTTCTACAGAACGGCGTTGACTTTGGCAACACAAGCATCGTTGTCAACAGCACTGGGAACGTCACCGAAGTGGACAATGCAATATGGGTGGGGTTGGCAAAGATTAGCACCCTCAAAGTGACCATCGCCTACTATATCAGAGTGAGTAACTTTGAATGATTTAAATGAATTATTCTCTATGGATTCATGTGTGCTGTACATACACTCACAATTGTCCTTTGGGGGAACACCTAATAGTAAACCTATTAGTTATTAGTGACCCGTGAAGATCCTGGTTAGAACTGATTTTCAGTAACCCATGCTTGTCGTAAGAGGCGACTAACGGGATCGGGTGGTCAGGCTCGCTGACTTGGTTGACACATGTCATTGTATCCCAATTGTGTAGATCAATGCTCATGCTGTTGATCACTGAATTGTCTGGTCCAGCCTTGATTATTTACAGACCGCCATCATATAGCTGGAATATTGCTGAGTGCAGCATAAAACTAAAGTCACTCACTCACTATTAGTGTTTGTTTTGTGACTTGTTAAACTGTACAACCACCATTACCCTCTATCAGTATAATTCAATGTTCGATGAATGATTTTATCAACATGTGCACAACATGAAACATGTAGTGTTCACAACTTATAACGCAGTGTGTAATTTTAACACAGATTATTTCATTAATTCTGTGTCTATTGCAGAACTACTTGCTCATCCTGATTGTTGTCGCGTTCGAGAGCATCACACGCTACCACCAGATCCAGCACTACAACAAGCCCAACGTAGACCGCCCTCGGCCTGGCATCATCTTCCAGGACATCAAGCGACCCGAAGCCGACAAGAACATCTCCTCCTGTCTCAAATACTTTGCCAATTACCTCTTCTACAAGTTTGGTCTGGAAGTGAGTATGACAGAGCAGACATTAGCACAATATCAACTCGCATATCTTTGAGTGACATTTTAGAAGCTGGGAAGTACAACATAGACAAACTTTATGAATAGCAACTTCTTTATTTCATGATTGCAACATTTCAATACAGATTCTTGTACCATTGTCCATAAAGTTTGTCTATATCATATCAACTCTAGTTCAACTGAGTAGAAACTGCACTATACTGAGTATGTGTGATAACAAATCTAACATCTGTTACATTTGACCACTTTCTAAAAGGCATTGTATATTGATAGCTTTCATAGTTCTAAGTAGTTGGAATGGTTGAGGTTTTGAGAAAGCAATACCTGACAATAGATGTAAATAACGAGTTTACTTGTCTTGTATAGCAAGGGATTCAATTTCAAATAAGATACCGTATTTCCTCAAATAAGCGCTGGGTCTGTGCCGGGGGTAAAGCCGCGGTTTAAGAAATAAGCGTTGGGCCTCTAATAAGCGGGTAGGTTCTTTATAAATGTATTCTCCCTTGATCCAAAAATAAATTTATTCAGGAATGCTCCCTAACTTTGATGTGACGCTTACTAACAATTAATTACGGTACACCCTGTAAGCGCAATAAGCACCTGGTCTCCAATAATTGCTGGGCCTCTAATAATCGCTGGGCCTGGAAGTCCGTTTAAAAAAAAAAGCAGGCACTTATTAGAGGAAATACGGTAATATTAATCAAGAGTTAGGTGTGTGTTAATTAAGAATTTTTAGTTGTACAAATGGCATTAATTGTGTGGCACAAAGACACAAAAGGATTGACTGTACACTGTTTCAATTATGCTTGCTTCTTGAAAGTGAAAAACGTAAACATGAAGTGACTATCTGCAGTTATTAAAAAGACATGTATTAATTGTGAAATGCAACTCTTTCAGATCTGTTACATCATGTCCGCAGTCACCATCTGCATCCGCGTGGATGCCTACGCCGTCATCTATGCCATCTTAATGGGCATATTGCTGTTCATGAGTCGGCGTAACAATGCACGTGTCTGGCCCCTCTATGTGATCGTTCTCACAATACTTCTTCCTGTACAGTTCATGTCTTGTGTCGGATTCCCGTTTGGACTTTGTATCAGTAAGTCTGCCAAATACCCAAGTCCTTTTCATCACTGTCAAATCACAATGGCGGTTTACTTAAACTTGATAAAAGTTCAACTAGGGTTATAGTTTAAGAGCTGAACATTTTCTCAGCTGAGATGAGAATTTTATGATTTCAGTTGATGATGCAAAATATTTTGCCATTGAACTTTAAACTGGAGATAGCCCTTACACTAATGAAAGGGAAATAACCATGTGTGTATTTTCAGACTACCCCTGGCACATGACATCTCAAATCACTGATTCTAACTTGGAGCAGTGGCTGTTCCTACCGGACTATGTCAAGCCCCCGCATGCCCTCAAACTTGTTGGTGAGTCCATCAACGATATTGAAACCTTAATCACATCATCATTGCTGTGAAAAGACGTATTTACATATGCAGTATCAAAAATATGCATCCAAGTCTAACTTTATATATAAAAACTCAAAAAGAAATATTCTTTGTATAATAGAGAATCTCACCCGAGTGTCTTTTGATGTCAAATATATCACCACGAGTTGATAAAGTTGATATCCAAGGCTTGCTGAGGATATTATTACTTTTATCAACGAGTGTTGATATATTTGATATCAGAAGACACAGGGTGAGATTCTATTTATCATCAAAAATCACTCTTCATTAGTTTTCAATGATAAATGTACATCTCTGCACACGGTTCTGCCATTAGACTTGCAGTGCAGCGATGTCATAGCATTGTGACGTCATCAAGTACATGACGTCATAACATTGTCAGGGCATTGTACAAAATCTACGGTCAAAGTGAAACTCCAAGGAGATATCGTTTGATCTCACACAAGCAACATCTCCTGTGGAACACACTTTTAGATGATAAAATCACATATCAACAAAATAATAAACTAAACAGTTTCAATCACAAATGGAGCCTTCTCTCCAAACTGTATCAGTCTGTACCTGACATCATCTGTTTGTTTAATGATTTATGCGTGTATATGAAGAATTGAATTATTGATGACATACCTGTACATCATGCATCTGTATTACTATAAGCCGTACGCATCACAGCTTCGTGTATCTGTGACATTGTATTCTTGGGAACCAATCAAATTTTTTTAAAAAACCTATTGGCACAAGGTGTAAGCTTATTTAGTTCAAGTGAGCGTATGTTCTTTGCAGATGAATCATCACATGGATGATCCAGAATAGTATCTCTGTTATGTTCTTGCATAACTCTCGAAGTAATACCATATGATCCCTGCATGGTGTAGTGGTTAGAGCCTCAACCAGCTAAAGTCTGGTCTAGTACAAGCAGCCGCACATACACATACACCTGCGCATGCACGCCGTCATATGAGCCGAGTGAATATTCCATATCAAAGTGATACCATATTGAAAACATAACATGTAAAATGAAGGCATTTATGCAGTAGTGAGTGAGTGAGTGTGGTGTTTGGCCCGTTTTAGCAATATTCCAGCAATATCACTGCAGGGGACACCAGGATTGGGCTTTAATCATTGTACTGATGTTGGGAATTGAACCTGAGTCTATGACGTGACATACAAGTGCTTTAACCACTAGGCTACCCAATGTAAGCAGTAAGTGTTATGGGGTGGTGGGGTAGCCTAGTGGTTATAGTGTTTGCTTGTCAGACCAAAGATGTGGGTTTGATTCCTCACAAGGGTACAATGTGTAAAGCCCCAGATCTTGTGTCCCCAGAGGTGATATTGCTGGAATATTTTGCTAAAAACAGCATAACACCATACTCACTCACTCAGTATGTGTTATTTACCAGTATATGTACTGCATTTTGATGTACATTGAGGAATTTAGCTAAATGTATTGTCCTTGTATCACTGTGTTTGCATTATGAACAGTATGAGAATGCAAATCTGACCCTCTTGTTTTCCATTTATCGATGAGTCGATATGTTTTGTATGAAAAATGTTTCTCTTTGCGGTTTCAGCGGACTTCTTTCAACTGTTGTTCGCATGTCTCCAATGGCGAGTGTTCAGTGTTGAGCGTGGCCCTGACAGCGAGGCTTACGGAGGAGGAGACAACCAGGACATACTCCCTGAAGTGGAGGCCAACATGGAGATCCCTGTCCCCGACTTCACCACCTCGTCCAAGTATGTACATCATTTATTTATTTAGGATTTATAGATGTATACAGTTTTAACTCTCATCTGTGGAGCAACTTCATGAATCGGAGGCTTCCTCAGCTCCTGTGTATCTGATGTTGAGGATTACTGTACTGAAGTATCTGTAGAAAAGTCTTTGAACAGGAACGATTGAATACCAGAATATGGCTGATACAAATATAATATACAGTTAAACAACATTGTGGGACCTTTATAAATACTTTGTGTAGTCTGAGATTTTACACAACTGTAAATAATGACTAAATAGAAATATGCAGGGACAGAGCTTGTAATTCCAGACAACTGTCAGAGTTGGACACAATGGTGTTTCACTGTTAACATCCGGGTTAGAATTGGTCTTCAGCAACCCATGTTTGTCATAAGAGGTGACTAGCAGCTTCGGGTGGTCAGGCTCGCTGATTTGGTTGACACTTGTCATCATATCCCAATTGTGTAGATCGGTGCTTATGCTGTTGATCACTGGATTGTCTGGTCCAGACTCTATTATTTACAGAGCGACGACATATAGCTGGAATATTGCTGAGTGCAGCATAAAGCTAAAGTCCCTCACTCACTATTAGTGTTAAAACAACAAACAAACACTGTTTATTACTTGTTTCATTAGAACATCACAAGAGGCAATTCTGATAATGAAGATATTTCTGTTGAATTTGCCTGCCTTCCCATTGTCCAGCCTTTGGTAATCACTGACCAGCACAGGTTGTATCATGTACTGAAACTATTGGTAGTAATATCGTCCTGTTGTTGCCAGATCCTACCTGGATGTTGTCAAGTATGCAGTGTTTGAGTACATGTTCTGGGTGACCCTGGCCATCGTCTTCATCACCGGTACAGCTCGTATCAACCTGTTCAGTATGGGATATGTCATTGGGGTATTCTGCTTCATGTGGTATGGCCAGGACTTGCTTATCAAACCCCTGAGGAAGCTGCTGAAAATGTGAGTATCTCTGTGGAGAGAATAAGTATCTGTATATCTCAGTGGGTTAGATGACTGACTTTGTGTGCTGGCGATTAGGTGTCTGACTGAGGGTGTGGTTTCAAATCCCGCATGGGACTCAACCCTACAAGAGTACTGGAATCTGTACTTTTCTGAGAAAGTGTAATACCAAATAAAATGTGTGTTACATTTGACCATTTTCTAAATTTCATTGTGTGTTCATGGTGCTGTGTAAATCTGTACTTTAACATGTTTTGGGGGTGGTGGGGTGGCCTAGTGGTTAAAGCGGTCGCTCATCAGGGGGAAGACCTGGGTTTGATTCCCCTCAGGGGTAAAATGTGTGAAGCCCATTTCTGGTGTCCCCCAGCCGTGATATTGTTGGAATATTGCTAAAAGTGGCATAAAACTAAACTCACTCAATTAAGATGTTTTTCAGAAACCATTAGAATTTGTTATGGTAAATGTTACATAGAAAACACGTACTATTTGTCTGAGTTGTTGGGCATGATGTGGAGTTTTAACCACAATTGGTTCTTTCTTTTCAGGTGGGATTTCTTAGTCGGTTACACATTCTTTGTGCTGTTCTGCAAAGCTTGCCTACAGGTAAATATTACATTGTACTGACTTACCAATTTGTGTCTCACTAATACAGATGTGTCTGACTTTATAGGTCACCACTGCTATATCACTAACAAAAGGCATAATTTGATCAGTCTAAAGTAGAGCAGGAAATATATCTACCTCTGGAGTTGGAACAACAGCTAATATATCTATTGGTTAGATCTGTGCAGTTGTCTAGTTGGCATTGTAATTCATGCTACCTAATCCAAACACTACTGACAAATCGTCTCACTCCACTCCAATCTGCCATGGTTTCATTGTTTTGTGTTCCAGCTAGTAGGGTGTGTGTACATTGACCGACTGGTGGTCAACGAGTGCTGGCTGATTCAACTACTGGGTGTCAACTGTCTGTCCTCAACCATCGACATGCCTTGTGAGTCTTCCACTAGTCTATGCTACATGTTCTCCAGTACAATCCCCTTTTGTGTAGTAGTACTGTCATTTGTTTCAAGTTGTCTTGTGCTTTCTTTCCCATTGGGGATGTCAAATAAATAATCTGTGTTGTTTCAGCTGCTGGGACCTGTACTATCGAGGAGGACAACACCGGCCTCACCTGGGACGTCATCTGCTTCGTCTTCCTCCTGCTGCAGCGCCGCATCTACAGCAGCCACTACTTCAGACATGTTGTGTCGGAACTGGAGGCCCAGAACAGACTGGCATCCAGGTAATTCTTGCCCATACCTCAGGCATTGGACTGTGAAATTTCATGTATTTCATGTATAACATCATTTGAGCCTTCAGGACAGTTTGTGTCCCAAATCCTGTTATAATGCCATGGAAGCCCCAATCCTCCCCTGTAACAGCACAAATGGACTAGTTAGGAGCCTATATATCTGATTCATATCACCCCTTCGGAACTTCAGTGGCAAATAAGTTTATGCCAACTCTCTTGGTTACAGCCCAAAGGCTTTTCAGTACCACAAAATCTATGTTGTCTAGACAAAGTAACATAACTCTATGTTGTCTAGACAAAGTAACATGTGCATACTATTTACATGACTTAGTTCCCAACAGAGACTTGTCAATCTAGCACCAGTTAACAGAGTTTCTTCTCGTATCTTTACACAGAGGTGCAGAGCTCATCAACAGAATCATGATCCGAGAGGTGGCTCTCCAGAACGCCCAGGAAGCTGAAATTCTCCAGAACATCAAGAAGAAAATGAAGAACCTGCAGGCAAAGCAGGCCAAGCTCAAGAAGAACTTCCGGGAACCACAGGACCATTTTGATGGTGAGACTGTGTTTGTTGCCGTCTGCCACTGTGTCTGCTCATGCAGGGTGTATATAAGAGTGATATGTTCTTGCAGGATGCAGCCAGGCCGTTGAGAAAATTCCAATGACTTCCGTTTTTCTACTGTTTTGTTTTGTTTATTTTTCAGAAAATAATTCCAATATTTCACATGATGAAGGTATATTATTATTTGAAATATTTTTGCCCAGTTTATATTTCTGCTTGCGTATTAGCTGTAGCAACATACAATGAATGGTAATCTTGTGTGTGAGTTCATCACACCTATAGTATCCATCCCAAACTCCAAACCTCAAGTTTGTGCAACCAATCCAGTCAGAGTGTATCATAGCAACATTATTCATACCCTCATAATCAAGGGCAAATGTGCTTGTAGGCCCTTTATATATTTTGCAATTTGATGTTGAGCAATATTTTGTATTAAGTTTCAGTAATCTCTCATTTGTACTTTTGTAATTTTGAGGGTAATAGATTTGTGTGTAATGACAGAGGTCAGCACACATTGTCGTGAGTTCTGGAGTACAGTATGCTTCAGTAAGGTGCATGGGAGGCTCTCCGGAGTTGTTTCCCTTAGCTGGGCCCCACATCACAGGTTGTTTGACTTGAATTCTTGAACGTGGACTGATTCATGAAATGAAGCACAATACCTCTATTGATGGTTATCATATGACCTGTTTTCCCGCTCTCAAGCTGACACACTCTGATATGGCTGAAATACTGTTCGAAGGAGGATTAAATGCCCATCAACAATGATGAATTGTATGGACAGCAGCCTGTGTTACTTTGTTACACTTCATATGACAATTCTGGGGTACAGGTGGCCAAGTTATCTCAGTCATGCAGAGTTGTGACCCTTAGTCAAATCAGGATCTGCATAATGTGCATATGAATCCTAGATTCATTATAATAGGAATCCAACCGATCATGACTACTAGCTTATTGAATCACATGACAGATATTTCCTATGTTAATTCAGGTTTGTCATGCAATGATCTGTATATCGTCTTGTTGATTTAAAGAAACATGTTAACATGCCCCTAATATATGACTAAAACAATTTCTTTTTAAGTAGTAAGCTTTTTTATGCCAAATATGAACTATGTTGTATATTTGTTTTATTAGTTACAAGCTTTTAGTTAGTACTGCTACTATTCTAAGGTTCATTCTTATGTGTTATCATGTGACAACAAACCGATGACTTTTACTGAGTTTTACTCAGTCATAGTGTGTACATGATATATCATCATACACATGTCATCATGGCTGCAAGGCAATATTATGCTGTAGACCATTTCATCTGCATGGTGTGAATGTGAGAACTGCAAGCTTGTAGATGATTCCATTATCCTGCGTTTGCTTCAAGGAGAGTGAGCAAAGTATGCAAGCCTCATCTTCTTGTTTGTAAGACTCAGATCCATGGGGGGACTCAAATCCAAGGCAGATTTGTGTCCCGACTTTCATACATTCAGTCTAAAAAATTTAGGAGGTCCTGGGGCTGTTGAGGATACTTCTGCAATCACTGAATCTTATTTATCCCCTAAATTTTAAAATCTTTAAGGTTATAACAAGGATAGCTTGACCTTTCCTATTTGCAAACACTGCTTTCTATGTTTCTATAAATATGATGAATATTCTCGCTTGGATTTCTGTAAATGTCTCCATTATCAATCCTAAAGGTAAATATGTGTACCCTAGGGTTACAATAGCAATCTTGATACAAAACAGTGAAGCAGCTGCCTGTGTTCCTAAGTTAGATCTAGTTGACATCACAGCATGAATTACGTCATAATATGATGAAGGGGTGTACATTTCTGTCCCAACCACCTGCCACAGACCCCATGGATCTGACCCTTATGTGTATTCATCCCAACCCTCCTGCTCCATAGTGTCACACTACACAACAGTAAGCAGTAGAGATTCCTGCATCTTTTATTACGAGTTCTCCAGACTGAAGTGTGAACTTAGAATGTGTCACTTGCCCTACATAACACATAGTTGAAGTTTTGACAAAAATATTGGCACTTTTCTCCATAATTATAGATGTTTTTCAGTTTGAATTGCTAACATGAAGATTGTCACTTTTCCCTGAGATTATATAACTGTTTTCCTTTTTGAATGGCTAATGCAAAGATGGTCACTTTCCCACTAACTATATAACGATCTGGGAATGTATAGACAGATTCCTAACAAGGCCTAACAATTTTTAGGGATAGTCATTGTGTTTATCTTAAGATGTAGTGGTAACATTTTGATGTGGGTTTTCGGACACCTTGTGGAACGTTAAAGTCAAATACCCAAAATTTATTTTCTGCACACTGACAGATTTGTCAGTCAGTATGTCTTTCTGTCATATATATTTTAACTAGGTGCCTTGCAAGCACACAAGTGTCAGATATGAATAATTGTGTATGTTCGAAAACCCATGACCTGAAAGGGATAGGTAGGATATTAATTATTTGCCATACTAACTCGTAATGTGGTCGTGTCCTGGAAGGGCCACTGTTTACATGAACTACAGAAGTGTTTCTCTGTGTGACAGCTATACGGTCAGGTGACTACTACCTGTTTGACGATGACTCCGAGGACGAGGCGCCGGATCAGGCTGACCCCATCACCTTCGGACAGGACACGGATGACACTGGCGCCAAGATGGGACCGTTACAGGTGGGTGCTGTACTGTCTGGGAAATGAGCAATAAAGTTGTTATTTTGGTCTTGCTAACCTGGCGACAAGACAAACTTGTTTCCATCCTGCTGACCTACAGCTCAAAGTCCTAATAATGATAATAATAAGAGTATTTGTATAGTGCTCAAGGACAATGCTCAAAGCGCTGACAAGTGACAGCTGACATGTACAAGAAAATACGAGGATTTATGAAACAAAGCATTGAAAGAGGTGTGTTTTGAGTCTGTAGTTTGAAGAGTAGCAGAGTTAGTATTAGTTTTAGGTCAGAGAGTTCCAAAAGATAGCAGCTGCATACTGAAAGGACTTGGCACCTCTTATTTGCTTGGGCTATATGTGCTGCTCAAGAGAAGTTAAGGACACACAATTCTTTCTCACTACTGCAGTTGGTGTCATGGCAGAACAGTTTAACTATACTCATTTTGAAGAATAGGGTTTTATAGCGTAACTCGAAAACAGTTGTATTTAAACGAATATTTTTGTGTGAAACTTGCTGTACAGATCAATCTCATGATGAACTGGTGCCTTTTGATGATTTGGGATATTGAAGAATACTAAACAGCATTAAGTTATTTTCACTCAAAGGAAGGTATCCAATGGCAATGAACCAATTTTGGATAGAAGTAATCATGTGACAGGCACTATCAGTATCAGTTAGTAGATAGTGAAGCAGCATAAATCCTCACTCACACAAACACACAGTGTTAAATGTTAAAGTAGATCACTTTGTAAATGGCAACAAAATTCTTTTCAATTCTGCATTCCTGGTTCTGAAAGTGCTTTAGTTATTATTCCCAGACCTATCAGCTGTTATGTCTGTGTGAGGTATAACAAGACACTGTATAACTAAGGGCCTGTTTGTCGCTGTTTGCAGATGATCTCAACAGCCATGGACTCAGGGACTGATGCTGCTGTACAGAAGGCCAAGGACCTCGAGGAATCCCAAGGAGGTGAGTCTGGCAGGGGTACACGCTGGCTTATATGGTACTGTGAGTCTGGCAGGGGTACACGCTGGCTTATATGGTACTGTGAGTCTGGCAGGGGTACACGGTGGCATATGGTACCGCTTGGCTTATATGGTACTGTGAGTCTGGCAGGGGTACATATGGTACTGCTGGCAGGGGTACACGCTATATGGTACTGTGAGTCTGGCAGGGGTACACGCTGGCTTATATGGTACTGTGAGTCTGGCAGGGGTACACGCTGGCTTATATGGTACTGTGAGTCTGGCAGGGGTACACGCTGGCTTATATGGTACTGTGAGTCTGGCAGGGGTACACGCTGGCTTATATGGTGTGAGTCTGGCGGGGGTACTGGCTGAGTCTGGCAGGGGTACACGCTGGCTTATATGGTACTGTGAGTCTGGCAGGGGTACACGCTGGCTTATATGGTACTGTGAGTCTGGCAGGGGTACACGCTGGCTTATATGGTACTGTGAGTCTGTTAGGTTGTGGAGCCTCATCAGCTTGAGTCAGTGAGTCAGTGAGTGAGTTGCGTTTACGCCACTTTTAGTAATATTCCAGCAATATCACAGCCAGGGACACCAGAAATGGGCTTCACACATTGTACCCATGTGGGGAATAGAACCTGGGCCTTCAGGGAGACAAGCATACGCTTTAACCTCTAGGCTGCCCCACCGCCTGCAGGGGGATGAAACACAGGTTTACACTCCTGTTCATACTGTGACTCTGTTAGGTTGTGGAGCCCCATCAGGTCCCATTGAACTAGTTACTTGCCACTATTGAATCATGGTTATGTAGTAAAAAAGTTTTTCATTTCTGGCGGAAGATGTCACAGGTTTCAGAGGATCTGATCTCCTGTGGTAACCTGTTCCACAGAGTTGGTGAAGCTACAGAAGAGGCTTTGCTAGCCAGTTTAGTTCTTGTAAAAGGAAGTGAAAGTTGTTGTTGAGATGAGTGAAGATTGCGTGTCGGGAGATGTGGAGTCAGAATTTTTTTTAGATAAACAGGAGCTGAGTCGGAGTGGAGTGCAGAGTAGGTCAGACTGAGGATCTTGAAGGTGATGCGCTGTTTGATAGGAAGCCAGTGGAGCTGTCTCAGTACTGGGGTGATGTGTTCGCGCTATCTGGTAGGGTGATGATACGGGCTGCTTTGTTTTGTACACGCTGAAGAAGAGAAACAGAACCAGATGACACATGTCATCGTATCCCAGACCTGATTATTTACAGACCGCTGCCATATAGTTTGGAATATTGCTGACTCACTCACTCACTCACTCACTCACCTATATCGTATTCTAAGGAGTTATAGATATATTTAAGGATGGTTGTTAATCTGTGGTTGTTTTGTTCCAGGGTGAACGTTCTCCAACAAGCCCAACAGGTCCTAAGGCTGGCCCCAGCAGTGACGCGGATGCTAAGACTGAAGGCGAGAGTGAAGAGGGGGCTCCAGAGAAAGGCAAGTCCATAGTGTGTCTGTGTGTCCGTTTCATATATTGACTGTGTTTATTCTTATAGACACAGTTTCTAAAGTCCTTCAACACCCTGTGCATAGATTATTCTGTTAGCACACCAGAAACGGGTTTGGATTCCAAGCAGCATTATACCCAACTCTTTAACCTTAAGAGATCCCCACTCCCCTCACCTCAATACCATGCATTTAACAGATCGTTTAATGTTTATGTGTTTACTGTTTATGAATTTGTCAGGAACAGTTAGTGAGTGAGTGAGTTTAGTTTTACTCTGCTTTTAACAGTGTACCAGCAATATCACGCTTGGGGACACCAGAAATGGGCTTCACACATTGTACCCATGTGGGGTACGTCTTTGGCGTGACTAGCGAACGCTTTAACCACTAGGCTACCCCACTGCCCTTTTGTCGGAAACAGAATGAAATAAGTCGTAAGGCATTAAGATGTGTGAAGTGTTTATAGCAGGGGAGTTCTGTAATAGTTCTTTGGTTCACATCTGTTCCCTGTTGACTGTCTGTTTATGATGATGTTGACATTTTCAGCATTTGGAAAGGCCAAGCGTCTGACTATGTTCATCCTGGCATTCTTGGGCAGCATTGCTGATTGGCTGATCAATTTATTCAACAAAATTTCCAAGAACTACCGCCGTGTTGCTAGGCAACTGGAAAAGGAGATGATCCTGGAGAAGGAGAAGATTCAAGCAGAGAAAAAGGAGTTGATAATGAAGGAGAAACGACCCAGCAGCATTCTTTTTCAGAGAGATGCGTCCTTGGGGTACATATTATGCATTTTCCGGCTGTAAAATGTCCTGTGACAGTTGTATCAATGTTTTTGAATAAAAGATTGTACAATAAATAAACTCTTTTACTTATTATCACGGACCCTACCTCACGGAGTTACCTCCCTTAAGCATGCTTTCCAACTGGGTAGGCTCCTAGACCCGTATCATCATTCCTTCTGCTGTCCACGGCCCTGAACAGGCGTTAGATTTGTGATTACCTTTCATGAGCCGTGCGGTAGCTGTATTTTAAGATGTCTGAGACACCACCTGTATGTTTGGTTTTATTTGTCTAAAACAATAACAGTAAAAAGCCTTACAGTGGTTGTTTCATAATTGTGACTTTGTATAAGTACTATCAAAATCACATAAACTTTCCGTGGTTTCACGCCAAGTTTGCTCTGCCATGGCGGGAAGTTTAAGCGTGCGGCGTGGTGCGTAATATTGCGTTTTAAAACCAACTATTACTTTCCGTGGTAACCTTCCGCGTATTTTTTTCAATGTTTTCTCGTGTTTCTCTGCTTCTGGCCACAAGTTAACTAACATGTTTACGTGTTTGTTTCAGGCTTTACCTGTTGTTAGGTCTGTGGGGAAGTATTCCCGGGCTGACAGTCACTCCCAATCGTGGCCTGTCTGGAGAAGGCGGGCCATGTGGCTGATACATGTTCAATTTGTCTGGCCTTTTCCCCGGGCACAGAAGAGGCGGCCCGACACCCTGTTTTACCTTGAGAGATCGTGGTGGGGAGGGACCTGGCGCAGGGTTCCCCGTCAAAATCTAAGCGAGCGTCCAAAAGGAAAAAATCCCGTGGCCCTTCCCCTCTCCTACCGCCCAGTGGTTTGACATGTCTCTAATGGAGTCGATGTTTCAGAAGCAGATGGACTCAATGAAGTCCTTCGTTCGAGTCGGTTGGAGGTCTCCGCCAGGAGTTCCTCGCCCACTCGGGCGGAGGGCGGAGAGTCGAGGTGGGATCGCCCGGCCTCGGCTAGATCCCTCAGCCTTGGCGTCTGTCGATCCGTTGCCTCTGGCCGGGTCGGGCGCCTCGGCTGCTCGGAGAGGGAGGTGCTCCCAGTCCCCTCTCCGGAGCTTGCGCTGGGCGTTGAGTATTCCTGGTATTCCGGTCCCTGCGCACACCCGCCCATGAGGCGGAGGCACCAGTTCTGCCTGGCCTGCCTCCTGCGTCTGGGACGGGAGTCCCGCGCCGCGCCCGGCTGGCGCTGGCGTGGAGCAGTCGGTCTGTTCCTCCCTTCCTGTGGTGCCCAGCTAGGCAGTCCACGGGTGGGGTTAGGGTCCTCTTCACGGAGGGCCCAGCCTCTGACTTCGGGCTCCGGACGCCGAGGCAATGGAGCTTCGGGGAGGTCGAGGAGCATGGCGGCAGCTTCCGTTTTGCCGACCTTGCGGGGGGTCCGGCAGAGAATTGCCGAGGGCCTACCCCAGGCAGCGGTGCCTGCTGGTTGCGTGGACTCGACTGAGTTCCGCTTGCCTGGTGAGGCGTTTGCCCCTAGGCAACCCTCACAGGCGCAGCTCTCGCATTCTGCCATCGTTGGTGGCGGGCGTGGTGATCCCCTCTTGTCTGGTACCCGAGTCAGGTTTGACTTACCTGAACTTCGTCTTGGCTACCAGCAGGGGAGGATTCCCTGTTAAATCGTACCCGATGCGTGGGCGAGTGTGTTTTCACTTCCGTTAAGCCCTGGGGGCTCGGCTTCCTCGGAGCAGCTCCGGCTGCTTTCGGCAAAGGCGCCTCACTCCACCTTTGCCCTGGCGCGGCATCCCCTGCGACGCAGCGTGCGGACCTCTGGAGGGTCTGCGGAGCGCGATGCAGCAGGTGCGGAATGGTGGTCCATGAGGCCTACCTCTCCCTCGATACAGAGGTCGGCCCTGGAAGGCGGAGGGCATGCTGGCGGCGATGTCGCCGCGCATGTCGTGCTACTCCGTCAGCTGTCGGAAGTTCAGGCTCACCTGCGCGACTCTTTGCGGTCTGCTGCGTCGGCGGTGATGTCGCGTCATCATGGGGATCGCGGGCTGTGGCTGTCGGCGTCTAGGTACTTTCGGCAGCAACACAGCAGACCTTGCTGGCTCTCCCTTTCCGTCTGGGGCGACCCTCTTTCCGGGGCACAGCAGGTCATGCGGGGAGGCTGCGCTGCAGCTACCTCCTTCAAGGATTCTAAGGCCTTGTTGGAGCACCCAGCGGTGTCTGCGCCCAGCTCCGTGCCACCTTCCTCCGCCCGGTGCAGCCTACACCCGAGTCTGCCGGCTGGCCGGCGCTTGGTAGGGGTAGGCGGGAGGGGTCCGCCAAGGGTAGGGGCAAGGAGCAGTCCTCGACTAGCTCCCAGCCTTTTCAGCGGTAGCGGGAGGTCTGCCCGACCTCCGTTAACCCAACAGGCTGCCGCTCAAGCCGTGTGTCACACCCAGTCAGCTCCGCTACTAGGGTCCGCGCCGCAGCGCTCCTACCCCATATCCCAGTGGGAGGCCGCCTCTCTCTATTCCTGCGGAATGGGAGAAGGCTACCAACAACTTGGGTGCTGGCCACGGTCAGCATAGGCCATCTCCCACTGTGGGCGAGATCCGCCCGACTTCACCGGCATCTGGCGCACTCGGTGCCGTCATGCCAAGCCAGAGGCGGACATATTGCGCGACGAAGTTCAGGCTCTGCTGGACAAGTCCGCCAATCGGCGCATTCCACGGAGAGAGGAACAGGCGGGATTTTTACTCCGCGTACTTCCTCGTCGAAGAAAGGCGGCGGGTTCCGTCCGATTCTCAACCTCAAGGGGTTGAATCGCATGCTTTCAGTACCATCCTTCAAGATGGAGACACTGCGCTCGGTGATCTCATCTGTTCAGCCCGGCGATTGGCTCCGTCAATCGACCTAAAGGATCGCGTATCTGCATGTACCCATACATCCCTCGTTCAAGCAGTACCTCCGGTTCTCTTCACGGCCGGGATGTATTACCAATTCAGGGTGCTCCCCTTGACATATCGACTGCCCCAAGGGTGTTCACCAAGCTCATGTTAGTCCCAGCTACCCTAGCTGCGCTCGCCAAGGAAGGCGTTGTTACCCTTACCTAGGCGACTGGTTGCTCGGAGCACTAACACAGCCAGCGAGTCAAGATGCTACTCACACAGTGATAGACATTCTAACTTCGACTGGGGTGGATCATCAACCTCAAGAAATCCGACCTGGTACCCACCCAGGACTTGGTTTTCTTGGGCGCGATTCAAGCGAACAAGGATCTCGTTTCCTTGTCGCCCGACCGGGTCACCAGAGTTGGGAGATGGTATCTTCATTCCTCTCCCAGCCCCAGGCACCAGCACGGACTTGGCTCCGTCTACTGGAGCCATATGGCGGCGACGATCTCTGTAGTGTGGCGGTAGCGGTTGAGATCGTCCCATACAGCAAGCTTTGGCTGGGCTGTGGACTCACCGCGGAGGATCTGGGCGCAGTCTCACAGTCCCAGTGGTTGACACCTCACCTTCAGTGGTGGACAAATGTCGGGAATCTCACCAGGGGTTCCCCTTGGAAATCCGGCGCCAGCTCTCACAGTTCAGACAGATCGTCCCTCACGGGCTGGGGCGTTCTGGGCAGTCTGTCGGCTTCGGACTCTGGTCGAAGCGAAGCTCACTTTCACATCAGCGTGTTGGAGCTGAGAGCTGTCGCGGTTGGTATTGGCTTCAGAGAGCATGTCCGTGGCCAGGTAGTCCGTCTTCAGTTAGACAACCAGGCGGCCATGTCGTACATCCTGAAGCAGGGAGGCCGCGGTGTCCCCAAGCTCCTCGGGAAGCGTGGGACTTTCTCCTCTGGAAGCGACCAATGCGATTGTCAGGTACTCCCTGTTTATCTCCGGGGCTGGAGAGCGTCGCGAGCAGATCGCTCTCTCGCGGATCCTGGCCCTTGCAGTGGATGCTTTCGACAGGCAGATATTCACAGTAATCTCCCAGTTATGCGGGTTGGTTCGAGGTGGATCTGTTTGCGTCGGCGGGGCGCATCAGACACCGATGTTCTGCTCGGATACGGACCAGAGGCGTTGGCTGCCGGCGCCTTCCTGCTGGATTGGGCGGGCAAAGTGCTCTGGGCGTTCCGCCGTTACCACTCATTCCCGTGTCCTTTCACAGCTGTCCACCCAGCCAGCTCGGCTACTTGTGCTACTGGCACGCTTTGGCGTCACAGAGCTGGTTTCGGTAATTCTCAGGTTTCTGGCTCAGCCTCCTGTTCTATTACCTTTGCGCGACGGACATTCTCACTCAGAGCGGGCCCCACCCAAATCCGCAGATTCAGTGGGTGGCTTGGCCTCTGTCAGGTCTAACCTCGAGGCCGCGAATTCCTGCAGCAGTTGCAGACACAATTCTGGCCGGTGGGATTAGACAAAGCGTTCAGTATGAGGATAGGTGGTCGCTATGCGGCGCTGGTGTTCAGATAGGGGCATTGCAGATCCCTTTTCTGCGGTTTAGTCCGGTATTGGAGTTTTGCAAGCTCGTTTGGAAGAAGGCCTGGCGGCCCCGACCATTAAGTGGCTACTCCACGCTATTTCCACTTTTCACACCTGTCGATGGTGCTCTTCTGGGGCAGCACCCTCTCGTGCAAGCGCTTTCTAGCTGGCGGCGGCGGATTCGACCTGCTCTCAGGCGAACCAGTCCACCTTAGGATTTGTCGATGGAGTGCTTTCGATTGGCTGTCGGTCCCACTTTCTCACACCTATCGGCTATTTCCATTCAGTTGTTGACCTGGAAAGCTGTGTTTCTGGTGGCGGTAACATCTGGTGAAGAGTCGGCGATATACATGCTATGTCGTCCGACCGGCTGACTGTGTTTCACCGCGGATCGTGTCAGCATTAAGCCTCCCAGATACTTACCGACCGAAGGTCGATCCGCTTTCCATGTGACAGCTCCTATCGAACTTCCTACTCTTACCCAGCCTTCCACATCGGGACCACTCCTCTGAGCACTCACCCGTTGGATGTCCGTAAGGCGCTCAAAGTCTATATCAAGCGAGCGCGGGGGATCCGTGCGGGTACCCAGCTGTTCTGTTATTACGGTGGCGGGAAGGCTGGTCTGCCAGCGAGCAAGCAAACTTTGTCTCGCTGGCTTGTTTCGTATAATATTTGTGCGGCTTATCAGGCTAAGGGCAAGCCTCCCCTGAGGGGTTGAAGGCTCACTTTCGGTCAGGGCAGTAGCAGCATCAAAAGCTTTGCAGCGGCACTCCCCATTGAAGAGATCTGCTCTGCGCTATTTGGAGCCGGCCAAGCACTTTTATCGCCATTATCAGCTCGATACACATTCAGCAATGTCGTCGCGAGCTTTGGTCGTTACCGTTCTCTCCAGTGGACAGTGTCCTGCCACCCTGACCAAGTGAGTCTTGGTTTATTGGTTTGTGTTGGCGCTCCTGTACAATGATTCCATTATTGACATGTCTGCTCTGAGCACTCAGAGAACCTGTACCCCTTCGATTCTCTAAGGAGTTCACGATATCGTTAGTGAGTGGTATTTTTGTTTTCCCCTCGGTGCTCTCCGCGAAGAAGCCACTTAGTGGGTCGGTTTCACTGACATTAGCACTCGTGCAATGTCTCATTATGCTAGAGGTAGATCTTTGAGCACAAATCCTCCCTGTCAGTTCCCCTCCCATAATGCCTCTGGCGAGGCGAAACTGGGTCAGTGACAGGTGAGTGTTATGGCGTCTGTTCAATTTTTTTCCATGATCACGATCGCTATATTTTGTGTGTGCTTGGACAGAATTCCCTCCTCCCTGGCCTCCGGTCTTTGGGAGTCTGTGTTTATGCATAATATGTACCCCAAGGGCGATCTCTCTGAAAAGAATTTTCCAAACCTGCAGAGGTTTTCAATTCTTTGAAGAGAGTCGTCCTTGGGGTAGAACCCCCCACCTCCCGCATTCTGTTCACTGATGAGAATTCAGCAGAAGGAATGATGATCGGGTCTAGGAGCCTACCCAGTTGAGTGCGCATCGCTAAGGAGAGGTAACTCCGTGAGGTAGAGGTCCGTTATAATAAATAAAGAGTTTATTTATTGTACAATCTTTTTATTCAAAAACATTGATACAACTGTCACAGGACATTTTACAGCGGAAAATGCATAATATGTACCCCAAGGGCGACTCTCTTCAAAGAATTGAAAACCTCTGCAGGTTTGGAAGTTCCGTCAGGTGAGTGTCAAGGGACATCAACTCCGTAATTAGATCTTTCCTTAGGCAGTAATTAATTTGCAATGTTTCAATCTGTGCTCACTTTATGTCTCATGAGTTTATTACCATGATGGACTTTGTGACCACTTGCCCGTTAGATTAATAAAGTACTAATAATCACAAAATATTCGAGTATATATTCATACTGGATAAATGTCAAGTCTCAAAGTAGAGATGCACAATGTTTTTCTGTAACAGATGTGGTTGTTAGGTTTGCTTATTTGTTGTTTAATGCTGCAGTTGAGTCATGGATGTAGTTGTAAAATAACAGACATGTTGATTAACGGATGTGTCGGGTAAAAGATATGGTTGTAACAGTTGATGATTGGATGTGGTTGGTGTGTAACAGATATGGTAGCAACAGAGTTGAACAGTTGATTAACGGATGTGTGGGGTAAAAGATATGGTTGTAACAGTTGATGATTGGATGTGGTTGGTGTGTAACAGATATGGTAGCAACAGAGTTGAACAGTTGATTAACGGATGTGTGGGGTAACAGATATGGTTGTAACAGTTGATGATTGGATGTGGTTGGTGTGTAACAGATATGGTAGCAACAGAGTTGAACAGTTGATTAACGGATGTGTGGGGTAAAAGATATGGTTGTAACAGTTGATGATTGGATGTGGTTGGTGTGTAACAGATATGGTAGCAACAGAGTTGAACAGTTGATTAACGGATGTGTCGGGTAAAAGATATGGTTGTAACAGTTGATGATTGGATGTGGTTGGTGTGTAACAGATATGGTAGCAACAGAGTTGAACAGTTGATTAACGGATGTGTGGGGTAACAGATATGGTTGTAACAGTTGATGATTGGATGTGGTTGGTGTGTAACAGATATGGTAGCAACAGAGTTGAACAGTTGATTAACGGATGTGTGGGGTAACAGATATGGTTGTAACAGTTGATGATTGGATGTGGTTGGTGTGTAACAGATATGGTAGCAACAGAGTTGAACAGTTGATTAACGGATGTGTCGGGTAAAAGATATGGTTGTAACAGTTGATGATTGGATGTGGTTGGTGTGTAACAGATATGGTAGCAACAGAGTTGAACAGTTGATTAACGGATGTGTGGGGTAAAAGATATGGTTGTAACAGTTGATGATTGGATGTGGTTGGTGTGTAACAGATATGGTAGCAACAGAGTTGAAAAGTTCATTAACAGATGTGTCGGGTAAAAGATATGGTTGTAACAGTTGATGATTGGATGTGGTAGGTGTGTAACAGATATGGTAGCAACAGAGTTGAACAGTTGATTAACAGATGTGTCGGGTAACAGATATGGTTGTAACAGTTGATGATTGGATGTGGTTGGTGTGTAACAGATATGGTAGCAACAGAGTTGAAAAGTTCATTAACGGATGTGTTGGGTAACAGATATGGTTGTAACAGTTGATGATTGGATGTGGTTGGTGTGTAACAGATATGGTAGCAACAGAGTTGAACAGTTGATTAACAGATGTGTCGGGTAACAGATATGGTTGTAACAGTTGATGATTGGATGTGGTAGGTGTGTAACAGATATGGTAGCAACAGAGTTGAACAGTTGATTAACGGATGTGTCGGGTAACAGATATGGTTGTAACAGTTGATGATTGGATGTGGTAGGTGTGTAACAGATGTGGTAGCAACAGAGTTGAACAGTTGATTAACGGATGTGTCGGGTAACAGATATGGTTGTAACAGTTGATGATTGGATGTGGTTGGTGTATAACAGATATGGTAGCAACAGAGTTGAACAGTTGATTAACGGATGTGTGGGGTAACATATGGTTGTAACAGTTGATGATTGGATGTGGTTGTGTTGTTTTCAGTCTCTCGGACTGGGAAGAGAGAGAGAAGGAGGAGGAGGAGTTTGAGAAGAGTCAGCCACGCGTGTACCGCCTACTGGTCGCCACGTACTACATGCTGGTGTCTCGGTCAGAGCTGCTTTGTTACTTCCTGATGATCCTGAACCAGATGATCTACGCCTCGCTGCTTGCCCTGCCCCTGCCTCTCATGGTGTTCCTGTGGGGGATGTTGTCCGTGCCACGCCCATCCAAGTCCTTCTGGATCACCGTTATTACCTATGTTGAGGTACTGTCATAAGCATGGACAGCTGTGTGTGCTGTCAATTGCTGTTTGAACCTCACACTTACAACTATACAACACTCTAAGGTTAAGAGAGAGACATTTGGGATTTTATTTCAACTTTTTCTTTTGAAAACATAAAAGAAACAACATTTTGTTAGCTGGGAAAAAAAAGAGCAACTCAGTCACGAGTTTTTCAGTCACCATTGCCTATGAACTGAATGTTTATTCAAGCCAAATTAGGATTGTTTGATTGAAGTATTCCCTACGTTGTTTTGACCTGCATATCAAATGTTTAAACTCAGTAATGTGCTAACTCGAATTATGGAGGTCAAGGGGTTGACATTCATTCAAAGAGCAAATGAAAAATTGTCGGTTACCATGGTTACAATACCTGCAAATTGAATGGTTAGAATCTGCTTACTCAAATTATGGAGGTCAAGGGGTTGACATTGATTCAGAGAGCAAATAAAAAATTGTCTGTTACCATGGTTACAATTATTGAATTTGGTTTTGAGGCACAATAGTGTTTCGTTTTTTTTACATTCCCTGCCATGATTTGACAACAAGATGGCTTAATCTTTTCATTGTTTACCACGGTTAAGAGTCTAGTGTGAGTCAGAGAGTCTTTGCTTCAGGCTATGCAGAGTGTTTGTACAAAGTGTCTTTGTTTCAGGCTGTCGTGGTGGTGAAGTACCTGTTCCAGTTCAGCTTCTTCCCGTGGAATGACGGCACGGTTCGTGAGAGTCCCTTCTGGCCGCCACGTATCCTGGGTATCGAGAAACAGTCCAACTACGCTGCAGCCGACCTTGCCCTCCTGCTAGCCCTCTTCATACATCGGTCACTTCTTAAGGTAAGCTGGTTGGTGGAGTACCCAAGACGTCTGTTCATCATACCAAAGACTTTGGAACATCGTGTGAAGCCCAGTTTCAGTGATGTCCATTGTGGTTGTGCTGAAATATTGCTACCAAATGGTGTAAAACCATAATTATTGATTCCATGACAATTGACTTAAGGCTGAGGAGATTTTTTTTGCAGTTTGGTGACAGTATCTAGGTGATGAAACTGTTATTAAACAAACACAGCATATAAATTGAATGCTAATTTAGTGATATTAAAGAACCACTAAACTTTGTTTTTTGTTACTCTTTTAACCATTACATATGAAAGATTTGTGGTTAGTCTTATGCGGAACACCAAATTTATTCTTTAAAAACTTGTGGTTAATTAATACCGAGCGATTAAAAGTGGCCAAAAAGTCGCCTGCTTCCCTCTCGCCATGCCAAGCGAAACCCCAGACAAGTTACGTAACTCTGTCGCCAGAGCACTGCAGTGACGTCATATGAGGAACGATTTTCAGTTAGTTGTATAGAAAATGTGTAGCACGCTCATCATTTTGATGATTTCTCGACATCAACGAAGACATGCGAATCGTTGCTTTGTCGTCAATTGCTCCTAGGGGTCGGGCGATGGTGTCCCCATGCACAGATTTCCACAGGACCCGCGGTTAAATGCTAAATGGGTTATGTTTGTGAGTCTTGGCGGCGTTGTGGAAGCCTGAAGCGATATCTTACTTGTGTTCAGATCGCTTCCGCGGAAGTTAAAGAATCAAAACTACTTACTAGTTGTAATAAAATATGCATATGATTGATGACCATAAAGATTTTCCATGACACAACTTGTAACATAGCGATTTCTTCCTCGAGGCGAGGTTGTGGTCGAGTAACAATAATATTGTAAGTAGTATTATATTGACACCCACCTGCAGCTGCCAGGAGAGAAATTGTTATGTTATCACGCTATATCATGCAAAATCCTATTGGCCATCAATAAAATACATATTTTACTACCAGTAGAAAGTAGTTTTGATTTTGTAACTTCGGTGAAAACAAACCTAAATACCATTTATCCTCAGACTGGCGGATGTTCCCGACAGAGCGCCGCCATTTTAAAAATAAAAAAATCTGTTAGAATTAATGAGATTATAGTTTGTTTTCATCAAGTTAGAAAATCAAGACTACTTTCTACTTTCGTAGTTAAATATGTATTGGAATCATAACCAAACGGATTTTGCATGACACAACTTATAACATAACGATTTCTTCCGCAGGCGAGGTGGGGTCGAAGTCACAATACTGCGCGATAAATTTCTTGCTACATTCCCATGGTTAATGTCCACTCACCAGTATGTAGATACTAGTCAATGTGCGTCTTTATATTTGGTCTTATAATCCTAATTAAATACTTGTATGCATTTTGAAACTAAATAAAAAGCAGGCGATCTGCTGAATACTTATAGTGAATTTATAACAGAACTGTAATATCTAGACATTATATAGTTTGCCAATGTGAATCATAATTCGCACACACACCCTAGTGCATGTTGTCTGTCTCATTACACTTCACGGTGAAAACAATGATTCTGTTGATATGCTACGACAAATGAATAAAAACAAAATGCAAATATTAAAATTAAAACAGATTAAAGTTATAGGAACAATATCAGGCCATTACCTTGTTAGGAATGTATCCATCAATATCCACAAAACTGTTCCAAATGATGTGTCTTTTAACAGTTTAATATACGAAAAAGTGATAAATCTTTTCAGGTATTGGTGTATAGTCTCATTGGTCACCCAAGATAGCACACCTGGCAACTAATTGCATAATGTCCGCCTTTCTTTAAAAACAGTAATTTAGTTAGCCAATAATGGGCAATCAATCAATGTATTGCGGTTAATCCTTTGAAAGAAGGGCGTTGTTTTTACGCATGACACCGACCACGACAGAGTGTATTCAGTATAGATTAGTAAATCTACATACATAAACACTACCTTTTGACAATTCCGGCTGTGTAAGATAAAAGTAATTAATCAATCAGCGTGTTATCGGTTAATCCTTTGATCGATGTTTATAATGTTGAATATTTACTCCAGACACAAGAAATGCCAAATGGGAACCTTTGTCGGGGTAATCTAAGTGTGTTACCACTAATTATACCTGTTATAAATTCATTAACTGACCATCAAGTGAATGATGACAAATAACATATGTAGGTATATACCACCTAACACGGGTTACAACAAGGGAGTATTAATTGCTGTATTGCATGTGAAAACTTATGGGCCGACACTGTTTTGAGAATACAAACAGATTTTTACATGACATGATTAAATATCGAGGTAAAAAAAACACAGAAATGGGATCAATTTGAATCAGTCATTATGCAAATAGGGCCCTACTGACATCAATCGATTTTGACAGAATCGTCTATGAAAACAAGTTGTAACTCGGAAACTAGGCAAAGCAGGAGACAAAACTAAATGACAGTAGATTGTGAGAACATATAGCTTTCATTTTCCACAACAATAGTCACGATTTCAGGTTTATACAAGCCTGTAAACAAGATAATTTAACCCCTAAAATGTAGATGAATTCTGCATCGGCCCTCAAAGCTATTCCTCATATGACGTCACAGATGCGCGCCGCTCTGATTGGTTGAAATTTCGTTCGCGGGTGAGAATTGTGCACTGTTGTCAAAAAGGTCGATTTAAGTCAATTAAAGGTCGAAATGAGTAGTTTTAATGACGGGGTTTCATTTATAACGATGCCAGTTAGTGATTTATGTATTTTTACCCCCTAGGGTTTATGTGACCTTTAAGGGAACATGATCCTGCTAAATTGTTTCTGAATACAGTACTGGATGCACTGTTATGTTCTATTTTATCACCGACTGAACTTAATATTACAGAGATACGGACTATGGAGGGACACTGATGACATCTCTGCTGACTTGGCAAAGGCTGGAGAGAAGGAGTTGTCTCCCCCCTTGTTCTCCTGCCCCAGAGGTAAGATGTTCAGCTTTGACCATGTTTAGTTTGGAAGGTATTTGACAAATATCCAGTGCAGTTTTGCTGAATTTTGATGAAAATTTTGGTTTTCCTGTAGGTTTTTAGAAGATACAGATTTTGTTTGCGTATTTGTTTGCAGTCAGTGACATTTAACGGAGTGATTGTGAGACTATCAACAAAATACCTGTGTGGGGTTTAATTTCCAATATAGGTATATGTGTTTGTTAATTACTATCATGAAATGTGATATAACATTGGCATGTTGCTGCGTGTTTAGTCATGGGACACTCACTGACCCATGTCTTTTCTGTAAAGGGAGACAACACTACCCATGCCATGGAGTCTGCAGAGATGGGAGAGTCTGGAGCCGCATCTGATGGTCAGCTGCAGTCTTCATCAGAAGAGGAAGGCAAGAAAAAGCCCAGCAAGGTCAAAGCAGGGTATGTCAAATTGCCCCAAAATAATCTGGGGCCAAGAGTGGCCCTTATGTTGAAGGCACCACATTTTTCTGTGCAGAGTTATGCCCCTTCAGTGTGCCAGAAGCCTATGATCTTGAGCCTAACTTGACACTTTGAATCAGTATCAAAATGGTATGTTCCATATACAAGCCAATCTCTTTAAAAAACAAATTAGAACTGAACATGTAAATAATCTTGTCTAGTGATGTTTAAATGCAAATTTGACGTCTTTTGTTTGTTCACGCGATGCCGTTTTATTTTACCCCCTGAAAAAAAGTTTGTCGAAAGTGTAACCCATAGATAAGCTGACCCCCTTCTACAGACTGCTATTTTTGGGGTCCTCAAAATTCAGCTTAACTACGGTAATATAGTTTGAGCATCAGTTTGGTCTTTCTTCCACATCTAACTTAAACACCATTCAAAGGGCATTCAACCAAGCTCAACAATAACCCTTTAGAAGTGCTTCAAATTACAACTGAGTGTTTGAAAGACTTTGGGAAACATTTTCTTGAAAGCAGTGTGTTTGACTCAGAGATCAAATCATTCATATGTCCCACCTGAGACTCGTGTTTGCAACCCCACACAGGTAAATTGGGTGGTGCTTCCAATGATACACCTGAGACTCGTGTTTGCAACCCCAGACAGGTAAATTGGGTGGTGCTTCCAATGATACAGCTGAGACTCGTGTTTGCAACCCCACACAGGTAAATTGGGTGGTGCTTCCAGTGATACACCTGAAACTCGTGTTTGCAACCCCACACAGGTAAATTGGGTGGTGCTCCCAGTGATACACCTGAGACTCGTGTTTGATACACCTGAAACTTGTGTTTGCAACCCCACACAGGTAAATTGGGTGGTGCTCCCAGTGATACACCTGAAACTCGTGTTTGCAACCCCACACAGGTAAATGGGGTGGTGCTCCCAGTGATACACCTGAAAAAGTTTAATAGTGGGCATTTGTGTGGATTATATGTATGTTTAAGTCATGTTTATGTATGACTTTGAAAAAAGGAGTGAGACCTGCGAGTCATGTGCTAGATTCTGTTGACAAGAAGAGTAGTCCGTGTATGATGTCTCTGTTCACACATTGTGTCATTGTCCCCACAGGTTAAAGAAGTGTCTAGCTCCGTTCACGAACTTCTTCAAGCAGGTGACAGGAGCAACGTACAACGCCACTGTCGACGTCTATGCCCCCATGTTCTGCTGCGACTTCATTACATTCATCATCGTCGTGTTTGGGTATTGGGCCTTCGGACCATCTGTAAGTACTAGAATACAGTTGTTGTCTCTTTCCCTCATCACATCCAGTACACAGGTGCTTTAAATCCTTATTCTTGGTTTTAAAGTACAAAGATACTATGGTGAAGCTTTGTTGGTTATGTATCATTGTGTTCAGATATTTGTCAATATGAAAAGAAAGGGTTTCTCAAGACAGAACTGTAGCTAAATCATACGATCTTTGTTTTCCAGCAAACAGCCAGTGGTGACGTAACAAGCTACATCTCTGAAAACAGGGTAAGTCAGGAGAGTGCAGTCGTGTTACATGTTACAGGAATCTGAGGGACAGTCTCAAAAGTATTTGGTCAGTTAAGGGGGCTGTGATGACAAAGTGTACAGATAAGTGCTTGCAAGTTTGAATACTAGTCGACTAGTATGTATGTAAGTATGGTTGCCCTGTTTTACAGGTTCCTGTTCCGTTCTTGGTAATGCTGATCTGCCAGTTCGCTCTCATCATCATCGACCGTGCTCTGTTCTTGAGGAAGAACGTCCTCGGCAAGTTCATGTTCCAGATCATCTTGGTGATCCTCATCCACATCTGGATGTTCTTCGTGCTTCCGGCTGTCACTGATAGGTCAGTTCTGGTCATGTGACTTTGACATGTCTTTAAGGGAGATAACCCAGAATGCATTTCCTGTTTAATTGCATTATCGTTAGTCATCTTTCATGACATTTTCAGCTAATAAACACTACCTGTATTCCAAACATTATGCATTTTTCTTCTCAAAACACATTACATATGTCACCTTTGGAAGAATCTGTGAACTATTGCTATGTCTAGCATGAGGAACATTATAAGGAATTGTTTTCAGGGTGTAGCTACCATTATAAGAAAAAGCCTGGGCTTACTCATGATTTTTGCTAAAGATCATATGAAAATTGGGCAAGTTGTCAATACTATCTAAATATAAAGCTTTGCAACCTATAGGGCTTACAAGAAAGAATTGGCTTGCTACGCGCTTGTTTTAACCATTGGTATTTCTGCCTTACAGGAGTTTCAACAAAAACATCCCAGCTCTGCTATGGTACTTTGTCAAGTGTATCTACTTCGGGCTGTCTGCGTACCAGATCAGGTGTGGCTACCCAACAAGAATCCTTGGCAACTTCCTCACCAAGAAGTACAACTATCTGAACCTGTTCCTCTTCAAGGGGTACGTTCATCTTGTTGGTACAGGCTTCACTCATAACCTTTCATGAAGGAAGCCACATATTGATGTAAGCTATGGTAGATAAAATACCTCTAGGAGTCAAACAAGAAGGTTTCAAATGTGTTACACATACTGAAGCCAACATTTTCTACTGATGTGGATAATAAATCAGAAGTATTTAATTGTGATTTGATCACTCTGACTGTCCAGTCAGAATAGTTTTCCACAAAGTCATGGTTTAATGTGTATTATACCCTTGCTGGTTTTGAAGACTCAATGGAAAGAAGGTTTCCTGAAATATTTATCACCTGTCACAAATTAAAAATCTTTCTGAGGCAGGAAAGAGCTGCTTGTGTCTGTCCATTATGTATCATCCCCTGTCTTGGAATTGGTTAAAGAAATCCTGGCTTGGTTCCAGATTCCTGGCTATTCCGTTCCTGCTGGAGTTGAGGGCCCTGATGGACTGGATCTGGACGGACACCACTCTGGCCATCGGCTCCTGGCTACAGATGGAGGACATCTACGCCAACATCTTCGTCCTCAAGTGCTGGAGGAGAGCAGAGGCGGTAGGTCCCTCCACTCAGTTCACCAAAACAGATTCTTTCATTTGGGCATTGCTTGTATCCAGAGATTCTGCAAGTCTCAAGTGACCCATGTTTGTCTTGAAAATTGATGAAAATTGGGGCAGTGGGGTAGCCTTGTGGTTAAAGCATTCGCTTGTCACTCCAAAAACCCAGGTTCAATTCCCCACATTGGTACAATGTGTGAAGCCAATTTCTGGTGTCCCCTGCCATGCTGTTGCTGGAATATTGCTAAAAGTGGCGTAAAACCATACTCACTCTGATTAGAATATTACTTAAACTGTATACTGAAGTTGCATTGAATGGATATGAAACTGATCAGCCATGTTATAATTCTTGTGTGTGTGGACTTTTGACTGAACTTAGATTTACAACTATATGAAGTCACCATGTGCATTATATAGTTATAAGGTGTGTGTATTTTTTTGAAAAAACCCACTGATCTGTGGCAGTATCCTAATTCTATGTGACTCCCTGTTGCAGACATACCCGACCCCACGTGCCATGAAGCGGAAGGCCCTCATCAAGTATGGCGTTGGCGGCCTGCTGCTTCTCGTCATCATCTTCATCATCTGGTTCCCGCTTGTACTCTTCTCCTTCGCGAACACTGTGTTCGAGCAGAACCCACCCTTCGAGTCCACCGTCACCATTACCCTTGGAGGGTACCAGCCAATCTTCAAGATGACCGCACAGCAACAGAACATTGAACATCTGACTCCCACCCAGTTTAACATCCTGCAGAGTCGCTACAGCAAAGACAGGGTAGGTAGTAGCAGCCTTGTTGGCACCAAATATGGTCTGTGGTAATAATGCAATAGCTGGATATGGGATAGCAGCTTAAATACTTATAATGCTGTTACTATGCATGTGGAGATAAGACGTAATGTATTTCTCCCTCATTCACTCTCTCTCTCTCTCTCTCTCTCTCTCTCTCTCTCTCTCTCTCTCTCTCTCTCTCTCTCTCTCTCTTTCACTCTCTCTCTCTCTCTCTCCTCTCTCTCTCTCTCTCTCCCTCTCTCTCTCTCTCTCTCTCCCTCATTCTCTCTCTCTCTCTCTCTCTCTCTCTCTCTCTCCCTCATCTCTCTCTCCCTCATTCTCTCTCTCTCTCTCCCTCATTCTCTCTCTCTCTCTCTCTCTGTACCTCTGCCTCTCTCTACCGCTTCCTCTACATCTCCCTCTTCCTCTACATCTTCCTCTCTCTTCCTCTACATCTGTATTCTTCCTCTACTGTTTCCTCTACATCAACATCTTCTTCTACATCTACATCTTCCTCTACATCTACATCTACCACCCCCTCTAAATTTTCCTCTTCCTCTTCATCTACATCTCCTCTACCTCTACATCGTCCTCTTCCTCTACATCTTCCTCTACTACTCTCTACCTCTACCTCTCTCACTCTACCTCTCTACCTGTATGCTGCAATTATGACAATTGGTTCATTCCCTGTTGTTCCCAGAATGCCATGGGCTTCCTGTCCAACTACGAGGCCATTGATGTAACCAAGGTGACACTGGTAGGCAAGTCCACATCCCTGTGGGGCATCAGTCCCCCGAGTCAGGCTGACCTTGTCACATCTCTGCAGAATAATAGAAACATGAAGCTGGAGTTCTTCATCAGCTTTGTCAGGTGAGACTTTTACTGTGGCTCCATGGATAAATTTAGATTATTCTTATCAACAGAACATCATCTGCCACTGTTGATCATGAATGCATCATCTGTTTAGACCCATCTTTTTCAGACAACCAGACATATAGTCAAGCAATGTATTGAATACATTGAGCATGTTTTCATCCCTTGTTTTGGTTGCTTCTGCAGGGACCCGTCTGGAGGCCAGTCGGGCAGTATCAGCAACGACTTCACCATGTTGCTAGACGATCCGACCAAGAAGCAGCTAATAGGTATCATCAATGGGACATCCAATTCTACAGTGTAAGTTTTACTGGCTTTGTGCTTTTACAGTCTCTGCATAATCCAAATAGGACTGTATACTAAAGTACAGGTGAAATTATGTTTCAGTTTTTCTAAAATACACTGTACAAAGAGTTTGATGGTAAATTTGTTAAAAATGGATATTGTGATGAATTTTTGGGAATTCTTGAAGATTCTCTCCAATTGTTCTTAAAAAAACCCCAACTTTTTCAACTTGCAGGAATATATCTGGGGTTTTCCCGAGATTTATGCGCCTGGCCTTGGAGGGGCGACCAACAGGCATCAAACCATTGCTATATGGTAGGTATTTCACTCACTTGTTAGCCACAAATACAAGACTTGATTGCCAATATGTTTTTATTATTATAGGATATTTATATAACGCACATATCCATGCACTAGTGCATGCTCAAGGCGCTGGTATTTCTTCCCTCAATCATTGGATGTCAATCTCAACGGCACATCGCATTATCAATCTCAACTGATTGCCAGTATGTTTCCACATTTGGTTGTACATAAAATGAATGAGGCCTCTTGGACATAGAGGTCTATGTTGTACTGCAAACTACATGTGGATATAGGCGTCTGCTCAGCTTCCCTTAGTGTCAGAAGTTGATATTGTCCAATTAGGAATTTATAAGGGATAAATGTGGAATTATTTCAAATCCTATACAGACTTTCAAGACTCATCCTTGTAGAGTGATTTGTCGGTAAAGGGAGGCACATCTTCATTAATAATACAACACAGTACTCGGGATAATATGTATGGTTGGATACAAAGAGCTGTGGTAGACTTCCTCATTCAGATTGGGAAGTATGACATAATTTAACTGAACATAAATATAAGTTTGTTAAGTGTTGGGCCATAGAGGCCTTTTCAGGCCCAAGGTCGCCCTAAAACCTTACCTACCTACAAATTTGTTTTCCTTTATAGGTGATTTTGGTGTGGGCATGAGCAACATATCAATGGGTTTGTTCCGGGACTCTGACGCTGGTTCGTTGTCTGAGTACATCCAGTGGTGGCAGATAAAGGAGCTTATCAAGGGGGATGATATACTGGAATATGACCCTGCGAAAAAAGCCCATGAAGTAGATCAACTCACCATTTTCACCTTCAATGACAGGAAAGCGCCAGCAGGTTTCTCGGTTATCACTGGATATGGGTAAGTCATTTCACTGCTTTCATATGTTAACATGAATTGTTATATATAAAGATATTCTGGTTATAATTTTGGTATTGTTTAATTGTATAAGTTTCATAGTCAAATATTGATTCTAGTTTATAGCAAACAGATTGCAATTGTTTTATGAATATACTGTTTCTTGATCATGTCTTCATAATTGTGAAAGTCACATGAAATAGTTGTTGAAGCTTTTGATATGACCCTGTTTTAATGTTGTGTAGTTAGTGTGTTCAACCTCATCACATCATGCTGTCATCTTGCAAGAATGATTTTGTCTTTGCCCTTGATGTGTGTCAATTGATTAGTATAAAGCTTGCTGCAAATGAGATTTCACTTTTGAAAAAGATGTTTTCTTAAATTCCAAGATATGGTTTTGTTGGGGTGCACTTAATTTACATTTTCAATCAGTTGTGTTAGGATCAACTGTACAACTTTTGTCTTGGCGAACTGAATTGGAGAACTGCAAGAGAATATCTCAAAACTGCAGCAGGTTTATGGGTGTACCAAATAAACCAGTGACATCAAGAGTGTACTACCAGGACAGTTTGTTGGGACACTAATTATAAGTCATCACTGACACAGAATTTCTTATTTAAAATTTGGAGTTTCCCTCAACATGTTTAATCTAAAAGTTCAGGACAAATGAACTTCGTTTCCAGAATTTATTTTCTGGGATTTTTGTTTAGTTTTTGTTTTGTGGATTTATTAAAGTAACAGCCCCACTGAATATCAACTGGGTTACAGTTCTTTATTGATTTTGAAGTTTTGAGAAATAACAAAGGAATACAAAACTAGAAAACTAGAGTTTGTTGTGTTCCTGTGTAGAATCTCTGGGTGTTCTAGTCAGCATGACATGACCTGCATGACGCATGGAGTGATACTCTAGCATTTCACTTGGGGGATATAAAGCTATATATCCTTCTATGGGGATATAAAGCTATATATCCTTGCTTGAGCATCTAGTTGCCTAGTTACTAACAGATTTGCTTTTAATAGCAGGATGTGTTTTGTATGTAGTAGTAGTAGTTGTAAAACTAGTAGCAGTAGCAGCAGCAGTAGTAGTAGTAGTTGTTGTTAATATCTTTGCCTGAAATGCTTAGCTGTTCAAGACACATATGTTCTGTGATTGACTTGTCTGATGATAGTGTTGTATGTATAATACTGATACTGTTATACCTGACAATGTAATGTTGTAATATGTCTGTGTTGTAACCTGTGATAGACATGTTGTCAATGAAGATGAAATGTGTACATATTTTCAATGATGTGCAAGCTCTCAACTTCCCAACTTGATCTCTGTCTCAGAGGGAATTTATGCTTGATGCAGGATATATATAAACTTTATATATATAAACTCAGTGATCAGTTGTAGCACAGTATGAGTAACATCTTGTGTCATGGACATTTATTGGAAGATAACAGAAGACAAAGTACACTCATTTATGGATAATAACAAGTTTATTGAACTGTGATAGCAACATTTCAGTACAGATCTCGACTCACTAACAAGAAACACTAGCTTGACAAAGGTGTGAGGATGTTTTCTGACTTGTCCCTACAGTATGTAATAGACAAGTTGTCATCCATAACCAAGTTGTTATCCAAAAGCAAGTTGTTATCCATAAGTTGTTATCCATAAAGTTTAGACACAGGAATGTAGGGCCTGTACACAATAATACTTGAAAATTTATGATTTAATTGTTTTGGCTAAAGATGGGATAATTTGTGCATTGACCTACGACAGAGACCATTGGCATCTGAAGTTGTGGTGCTGAATTCTAAAGGTGTTCCCAGCTCTGGAGTTGATTAGACAAATATATGACATTTGTTGGATCAAAATATGCTTAGTTCTGCTGGTGTTGTGACCTTGACGGGGTCAAGTTGGGAGCTGATGTTGATGATGCATGATGCGTGCAGTCATTCATCTGTCGAGGTATGTCCGAGGTGAAGTCATGGTGTGGAAAACATTTTCTGAATTTACTTTGACAATTCTGCCATGAAACATTTTACTGCAATGGTTCTTTACAACTAAACAGCAGTACAAGTTTATCAGAGACTCTCCTTTCGGGGAATCAAAGCAGAATCAGTGTCCAGTTCAAGATGAAGTGATTTTAGCGCTACGCTATCATGTTATTTATCACATGGTAGTCCTGGTGCTAGGACAGAGTTCCTGATTGGACTTAAGTTAGTTACAGCTTGTACTGTAAGCATTACACACATGCCTTCACCTCGGTCATGTCTGATATTGAATTCTGTTGGGATGAAAGTCTGTACATTGAGAAGCCCAGTAACACCTCATAATGTGTTTCCTTGATTAAACACCAAGCATTGAATAAGCGCTGGGGTCTTAGTTAAACAATGGGCATTGAATAAACGCTGGGGTCTCAATTATACTCTGGGTAGTGTTTATGAAAACTGAGTCTGGAAGAAATATATCCTTGGGCATTCAATCCAAGAAATGCAGTAGTAGTTTACTGTCCACAAACATCAAGCTATATGCTTATAGTGCCGTCTAATTACTCACATCTGAGGCCTCTCAATGTACTGATCTAAAACATTTGCAGATTTTCTTAAGATCACTACAGAATGTGTAACAATGTGTTGTGCAATGTTGCTGTTTTGGCAGGACTTTGCATTGTGGAGCATGAATCTGTGTTGTGGGTGCTAACCAATCCAGCTAAGGAGTGTGACTACTCACAATACTATTGTCAGCCATGACGGCCATTCATCACAAAGACTGGTATTGTCAAAATAGTGCAGTAACATGTCTGATGATTTAAAACTAATTCCGTACATGGTATTCCATGATTCCTTTGACCTACTGATATTAAAATAACCTGAACCAATCAAAAGACATATCAACCTTTATGTATCCTATTCATGGCACAAACAGGTATAATGACCTGGTATATAAATATGTAAATTTATTTGAAGAAGAGTCTCATGTGTTGCTGCACTAATGACTATTCATGAGATATTCATATTTTATCAGCGTGGACGAAAGCTCTAATATCTTTGTTTCTATTTGGGAACTTTTAAAATGTTATGACAGAATACGAGCATGCAAAGCATGAAAGTCCAGTCAGGTCCTGGTACAAAAACACTGGGTTTCAAATAAACCCCAGGTTGCTGTGCTATTGTCTTTCTGACATGCTAAGCTTCTACTGAAAGCCTTACGCTGTGCATCATGGCTCTGTCTGTGCAGCTCGTCTGCATGTTTCTTTCCTGCTCATACTGATTAAGCTTTGTGCTGAGGCTTTGTGAGGTAACATTGACTGGCATACACTGTCATGAAATCAAAACCTGGACATTTATCATCTGAATCTCTGTTGATTCATCTGAATCCAATCTATAAACTATCCTCAATGAAGCCCTTCATTTACTTTCTGTATCAACAACCTTCACATGCCTACTTGATTTACACTTTCGTGTCAACACTCTACACATGCCTACTTGATTTACACTTTCGTGTCAACACTCTACACATGCCTACTTGATTTACACTTGTCAACCTTACACATGCCTACTTGATTTACACTTTCGTGTCAACACTTTTGTGTCAACACTCTACACATGCCTACTTGATTTACACTTTCTGTGTCAACACTCTACACATGCCTACTTGATTTACACTTTTGTGTCAACATACACATGTCTACATTCCTACTTGATTTACACTTTCAACACTCTTGCCTACTTGACACTGCAACACTCGACACATGCCTACTTGATTTACACTTTCGTGTCAACACTACACATGCCTACTTGATTTACACTTTCTGAATCAACAACTTACACATGCCTACTTGATTTACTGTCAGTATATGTCAAAATTCAACTCGTGCCTACACTTTCAGATTGAACACATGCTTACTTTAGCATCACTTTGTCAAGACTGAATACATGCCTTCTTAACCGACACTTTGTCAAGATTTAACACATGCCTACTTATAACTTACCATTGCAAGACCTGCTTGCCTACACTTTCATGTAATTGTTCAGGTATGCCTACTTAACACTTTTTAGTTAAGATTTAACACATGCCTACTTAACAATTTCTAGTCAAGATTTCACACATGCCTACTTAACAATTTCTAGTCAAGATTTAACACATGCCTACTTAACACTTTATAGTCAAGATTTAATACATGCCTACTTAACACTTTATAGTCAGGATTTCACACATGCCTACTTAACACTTCCTAGTCAAGATTTAACACATGCCTGCCTGATTAACCCATTGATTACAGTTCATCACAATCTTAATTAACACTTGACCCCATCCCACTGTACATGCCACCACTTGTATTCCCTTCTCCTCAAACCCTTCACCCCCTGGTCTGTTATTTCAGTATAATGGGTCTGTATGTGTCGTTCATCCTGTTGATCGGCCGTATCCTGCGTCTGAGCACCACAGGCCTGTACCAGAGCATCATGTTCCTGCACTACCCGTACGTGGACCGGGTACTGCAACTGTGCCTTAACATCTACCTGGTACGCGAGATGAAGGAGTTTGTGCTGGAGGAGGATCTGTTTGCCAAGCTGCTCTTCTTCTACCGCTCGCCCGAGACCGCCATCAAGTGGACGCGCAAGCCCAACAAGAAAGACGATTAGGGGGATGAAAGTATTAACGATTGTTGTGAACTTCTATTTCAGATGAATCAGTTTTACAAGACAATATTATTTGTATGAGGAGAATATATTGTATTTTCTTAAATTGAATCTGAACACACTATCTGACTGAAATTTGATTTGATTTATGAATTGCAATACAGTACAGCAGCACTCCATCCCAGACTAATGTTTATGGATGTTGAGAATATGATTCACCATATTTGAATTCAAGAGAGTATATTCTGATGATTGAATGGCATGAATTAAATACAGAAAATAATTTTCTGATATACATATATACTGTATACATTTTTAGTTGAACACATTTTCTTGCATACCTGGCACTAAGTTTCCTTCTTGCAATAATGTTGGCGAAGCTAAGATAACTGAATAATGTGTGTGTGTTATGGTTAACAGAATATGCCATGCTTGTCCATTGCAACTACCTATACTTTCCTGGAGTGTATTGCCTGTCTTCTCTCATGGGCTTAAAGCTTGTGCGAGATTGAACATTTTCTGATCTCAGACTGTGACCTCGGTATTAATGAGATCACATGCTGTTGTGGATGTCCTGGTTCACAGTACAAATCAGATACTCTTTCAAATATTTTCATGTTTTAGTAATATATGAAAAATATTCCGTTAGAATTCAGCATGTCTGTTAACATTGACAGCTTTCCAGTAAACACATATTGATATCAAATTTTATTTCTGTCATGTAAGAATTTAAGACAGGGTTATGAACCTTGGTAAAGGCTGTACCTGGTTAGTCGTGAATCAGGATGCCTCATGTATCCCAATACTCAATAAAGTTGTGATGACAACTGTTTATTTTCTTAGCAGTCAGTGTATACATGTTGTATTGTACATACATGTATTTACTATGTTGTCAACTGTACAGTTTCTTACCTTTTTACATACTGTAACATGTAGAACCTGTGTCGAAGCTGATGAAACTACCCTGGTACAACTGCGATATTATCAAACCTTACATCATAGACGTGATGCCAAAATTTGATAAAATATTAGCATAACATTAAGGCATGCAGGATTTAGATGGTATGAATATGTAATGGTTAAATCTGAGTTGAATTTTACAGTGTATGAAAATTAAGGGGAGATAATTCACATTTTACCAGGTGTACAATTTCATCAGTTTGAATTCTCCAAGAGGGTAAATGATTTGATAAATGGTTGTCAAGTAGCTAGTTTTTCAAGGTGTTTCTTTGGTCCAATTGGTTTGTTTGTGTTTATGTTCACTTCAGGGTAAGTATGGCATTTGTAAAATGTGGGTTAATAATATGCCTGTATTATGTGAAACTTCTATACACATGATTTTAATCTGATATGGCATTGCTTCACTTGCTCATTGTACGTGATAGTTAGATAACTATATTGCTGAATGCACAGGTGAGTAGTTTCTCTGCAACTCCAACCACAGTCTGTTCTAATGATGACCTTGTTCTCTTCCTTGCAGCATCATTGGTCTGTATGTGTCATTGGTGTTAGTCATTGGCCGCTTTTTTAGAGTGACATTTTTCACGGGGTCATCGTACCGCATCATGTTCGAGGAGCTTCCGGATGTGGACAATGTCCTTCACCTATGTCTCGACATCTACATGGTGAGAGAGAGTCGGGACTATCTCCTCGAGGAGGATCTCTTCTCTAAGCTTCTGTTCTTGTACCGCTCCCCGGAGACGCTCATCAAGTGGACGAAGCGGAAGATCAAGGAGGACTAAGGGTTGTGTAATTCATGGGTGTCATCTCCACACTTGTTCAGGAAAATGTTTTTAAAATTTAAAAAAAATAGTTTTCAGATACATATACATGTAGTTTGTTTGTTTTTAAAGGTGGTAGAAATAATGTGGAATTTGTAGGGATTCAGACTTCAGTTGTAATTTAATTTGAATAATGTTACATAAAATCACAAAAGACAATTTGTGGATTTATTTAATCTATTGCTTCCCTTTTGACATTATTCTGGATTTGAAGACAAACACTTGAAATTATGGTGTCAGTTATGTGATTGTTAACTGGGAGTTGCCAAGATGATTGTATGAGAATTATTTTAAGTATTCTATAATAGCTGAACATTTATGTGGAGATAGACGCACATGATCTCAATATGGTGCTTGAGTGTATTCTGTGGCATTTCATGGAGAAGTGTAAACTAATGTTTATAGAACCTTGGCTGGAACTCAAGGAAAAGGTTACAAGTCAGTCTGTTTATACTGACACAAGATGTATACAACTTTTGAAATATTGTACATTTGGGGACAAAATTGGCATGCTTACAGTTAAGGTCAAGTTAACAAGCTATCTGTCACAGTCTCATTCAAATCTGATCTTTCTGCTTGATACACTACCTCTCTGCTTGAAGATCTGAGGTTAAATATTGAAGAGGTTGAGAGGGAACTGAAAGTCTATTTACATCATGATACATGGATTTTTCAGCCATGTTTACCACTTCAGTTTTGTAGTTTTGTTGTAGCAAAAGAAACAATACATAGCTATACCCTTGGGGGTTTGGAGGATGGGGTTAGCTTAGTGGTTGTAATGTTTGCTCGTCACACACGGGTTCAGTTCCCCACGAGAGATTGCCATTTCTGGTGTTGTCTGTCGTGATATTGCTGGAATATTTCTAAAATGGCATAAAACTAACTTTATTTTGGATGTAGATACTATGGTGCTGAGAAAAGATAGTACTGATCCACTACAGCAGAGTTTTATTTTTGGGCATTTGCATCTCTGTGAGTGTAGTCATTGCCAAGATACAGAAGTAAGGTATGCTTGTCTTAATGCTTTACTGACTCATACTGAGAATTTAGGAGCTGTGACCCTGGTACAAAAGTACATCTTATTCAAGCTCCATTGAAGGTGTCTCATATCTTCAGGCAGACAGGTATTGTATAAATATGTAAACGATCTGATTTGAATGAGATTTTTAGCTAGAGTAGTGATGTTGTGTACATGCATCTACAGTTTCAGTGGTATATATCATCCTCATTTCATATTCTAGTCACATAATCATCATCATCAACAACCTTTACATACTGCACATGTTGTGGAGCTTGTGCTGAAACTGTTGTTCAGTGGGATTAATTTCTACACTTCTCTCAGGGCTCAACTGTATCACCCGTATTTTCACAGAGGGGAGAACACGTTATGTCTAAATATCTTTGCTTCCTCACAAATCTTTGTATATTTAAACTGTAATTTAGAGTTTCCAATGTCTTAAGAAGGCTATACAAATCCTGAATAGTTTACCTTGCTATGCACAAACAGTGAATGTGACATTTATGAAATATGTCAGTATCGATATGTTCCATTTTGGTTTTTATTGGCAAATGATTGTGTATGTGCTATTTCTGTATATACAATGAATTTTAAATTCTGTTGTATGTATCACTAATTTTGAACTGTTTGATGTTGGAAATGTGTTTCCATGGTGACATGTAGAATCAACAGGTCAGTAAGTTGAAAACAGTATTTTGTGGCAGTTGATTTTGACGTGTTGAGTTGCATATAGCTCCGTCGTGTGTTACCTATATACATGTATCCTTGTGTTACAGTCAGTTATTAATGCCAGTGCTACATATTTATTCCACCCTAAGTGCTTCATACAATACATAACACAAAGTGCAAATTTGATTTCCAACACATTGGATGAACACGGATATGAACATCCTAAATATTCATCCCAGTAAAGGAATGAAGTAGTGATTCAACTTAAAGCAATATTCAAACCCTTTAACATTTTATACCTATAGCTTTGCACAGGCAAACAATGCTAGCTGTCGACTTCAATACTATACCCCCAATAACAAGCTAGATATAACATATTACTTGTAACACCTGAGCATTTTCAAGCGTTAGGTGATTATATATATCATATCATTATTATATTAATAATTATCACCTCAGGGTATGGAGATCAATGTGTACATGCTTTGCTTTAAAATTCAGTAGTAATTATGAAAACTAATGTGCCAGATTTTCATAAGCTTACTTGAAAACACATAACCCAGAATGCATCTGGTTATGAAAGCTACCAGTAGTTGGTAGGGTTGTGCTTTGGTGTAAAGGATTTTGTCACGTGTGCATCTATATATATGTATTTAAAGTCACATTTGTAGAGAAGCATGATATAAATAGCTTAATTTGTGATACCAATACTGATATGATGAAGGATACAAATGTATGGATACAACTTCTTGTTTACAGCATATGGTGGCGTTTAAATGAAGATTCGGAAGTGCTTTAGTGTGATAGCGGTCTAAGAATCTACATCGAAACATCACTATATGCAATAGACAAGAAGTTGTTGTCCTAAAGTTGTATGCTTCGTTATTTACTCTTCAAATTGTAGATGATCAAACAATTGATGCTGCATTGTTTTACATTAGGGACAAATGCCTTATTTTCTAAACTAAGTGCTTTACTGTATGGGGTAGAATGGGTTGAGGCAGAGGTCACTGTTGAATGTCATTTAAGTATTTCATGTGTTGTTAATTCTAAACATGATCAAAACCATACTGTTATAATAAAACTAATTTAGGGCAAAATGATCAAAATTAAATTATTTTCTTTGATTAAAAAATAAATATTTTCCTTCTATTCAATGCATTAGGGGAAGAGCCAGTCGTGCATAGACTGTTCTGTTAAAGGTATGGGCATTGTATCTGTCAAGTGCTTCCACACAGCCCGCCACTATCATGTTACAACTGTAATTGTATGTTAATCTTTTAATGATGAAAATGGTGAAATCCAGAATTATGAGAATAATTGTAAATCAATTTGAGTTAGATGAATATTTATATTTTTCAAGACTTTCTGGTTAATGATGAATACGGCTCATGTATCTTAATTATGGTACATTGGTTATTGGTTCCATGGAGCCATGCATGTGTTATATGGATGATTTCTATGCCCTTGCTCAAACCATGCTGATAAATAGACTAGTTTGATGAATGTGTGTCCGCTTTGATTGTAGAGTCCCTTTGTGAAGCCGGCAGCAGTAGAGGTGGTTCAAGGGGATTGTAGAAATAAAGTGTTTGTAGCAAACGTCTGTCCAGGTTTTGTTGTTTATTTGACAGATCAAGGTTTTGGCTACAATGAATTGTTCTGTGGATCCTAATAACACCAGTTTAGTCTTTATTGTTCAATGCAACCTTGACCTTTGATTTAATATATTCCACCTTGACCTTTGATGGACAATATTCCACCTTGACCTTTGATGGACAATATTCCTTTTATGTGTCAGTGTGTCAGCTCACTGTGGGAGAACTGCCTCGAGTGATGCACGTCTTGGGTATTTACTACTTCAGTGAGGCCATGAGCATGGGATGCCACCAACATTAACATGACAAACAAGGATTCGAACCCAGTATGGTGTTTCAGGGTGCCCAGGGGGTGCGACTCTACTTCAAATTGCAGCACCTCTTCCTCCAAACATCAGAGTAATAAATGAAATGTTGCTGCAAAATTAGTTTCCCCAATCTCAGTACAAACATTCACAACCCTTGCCATGTAGACAGAGAAGCCCACTGAAACAAGAGTTTCGATTTTACCTGCAAACTGGGTTATGAAAGTATGCATGGCATGCACACAGACATTTACAAGCACTGTTGTTACCCTTCAACAAAAACCATTACTTTTGTTCAAACAACTACGACCAAGTAATCTGAAATACGGCTGCAACATATACAACATGAGGCGAATGTTTTACCAATATGTAGTAACAAACAGGAATATTTATTCATGAATACTTTTTGTTTAATATCAAGAAATGAAAATAACTAACATGTGATTAATTGCTTGTGTTGAAACATTTCAATAATTTCTGTAAAGCAAAAGAGCATTACGTCGTGAACAATGCACCTTATTAGCCTAATGATAGTGCCGTAAGGGGCCTTGGCAAAATGACAAAACTTACACTACTGCCTAATTTTACAATCTATCCAGTTCTGCCAAGTTGAACCTATCCAGAAGAATTGCACTATAAACAACAAGTTTCCTTTGATGAAAAACTACACAAATAAACAAGAAATTCATTTTATTTCAAATTTATTAATCACATTCATTTCTTCACTTTTGAAAATTGTTTGTCTTTACAAAATGTTTTTAGAATTGCTCGTTTATTTTAAATCAATTACAATGTTCCAATAAAAAGTCATTCAACCCTAAAATGTGTTACATAATTCACAACACTGACACATAGCATCATGAATATACAAATCACACTGTGGATGTAGGCACGTCTATGTACAACAAAGCACTGTTATATATATCTATGTACACTGATCAACAAGGTGCTACCATGGTGCCAGTTGGGACCTTCATTTGTTCAGTCATGGAATCGGCAACATTAGTCTACCCTCGATGAAGAAACAGCTCCTGTCCACATAACTTATCTAAAGGACGTGTTCAGTAAACAACTTAAATACAGAAAAATGTATCCCAATCAGGCAACAAAATAACTTTAAGCTAAAACAAGTCACTTCATGTTTATTTTAAGGTTAAAGAACTGAAACCACATTCCCATGTATGTTTTACTTAAAATATAGCATGACACAGAACTCGTTTCACACAGAAAACCATCTTGAAAAATTTCATCTCCTCACTTATGTTGATGTCATAGATAATGAAGTTTTTAGAACAGTGGATCAACACTTTCATACCAATGACCACTCGTAACATAAAATTCCAGGTGAACCTGGAAGAAACAATAAAGCAATATCGAACATACATTTTTTCCAAAATTCTAATGTTAAAATCTGATTTTAGTGAATCAGGAACGTGTACATTCAGCAGTTTTTGATACATTGTACTGGCATTCACGTACTGTGACAAACTGCTACTGAACTAGATTCTTTTCAAATTGTATGTTTGAAATTTTGAATGAACAAGAAGACTAGCATTATAAGGCAGCTGCCACGCAAATGGCATGAAGAAATGCACACGAACAACAGTCTTCTGCATGTGAATCTGTACTGAATGGTGTGCATTAAAGCAGTTAATCCTACAGTTAAAAATATCCAAGGTAGCATCAGAGATTATATTGGTTGAATGATGAAATAACTACAACCTGTATAAACATAAGAAAATTACAAACCTGTGCAGCATATGTGCATTTTGTTTTTGATGTAGTGATGGTTGCCAAGAGTGACATATTTGATCATCTGTGCATGGCAAATCCCCACAAAACTGATGAAATTCTACAGATAATGAAATTAAAGTTTACTACCCTGACATTACACAACTTGACATTTTTAACATTAACTTACATATTGATGGTGAAAATACCTCGTGAAAACATAATAGGAAAGGTGTGAGCACTGACAAAAAGAATGATGTTGAAACCATGATTGCTTTCAAAATGAAAGAACTTGATAAATACTGTAACCTACATTTACACCTAATAAACCTACGGATATAACCTAAAAAACTTGTTTCTTTTTTTCGCCTGGCCACTTGCTGTACATTTTAGTCAAAATGCGTATGACAAACTACAGTTATAACAAACTAAGAGTTGATTAAATCCGTTTTACAGTAGTCATGGATGAAATGCATGTCAGCTACACATACAAGGGACCATTCATTGTCAAAAAATGACAGAATCAAAATACAAACAAAAACACTGCAAATATTCTATGTCAGTTTTGCTAAAAATATAGCATAATTTGAAACTGACTCACCATGAAGTATATTTATTTAGTTTAGTGAAAATGAAGTATTTCTCTGAAAGACAGAATGTGTTTCAGGCACAGCGAGGTTATCTAGCCTTGTGTAAGTGAAATACTGTAAAATCAACAACATCATATTCCATGTACATAAACGTGGGAAATTAACAAAAACATGCATAATATACATATACCATGTATAAACTCGTTTTGACACAACAAATATTTTACACTTTGAGTATACAGAGAATACACTTCATGATTCTGGTGTTAGAAGTATGCATTGGGAACCATATTAATCTATAGTTTACAAAACTCGCCATCTCTGATTCCAGGCCACGTAGTTCTGCTGGAAATAGCTGACATGAGAAGTTGCTTGTTGACAAGATAGACACACGTTGTTGCAGCTGCAAGGTGACGTTGCTGAGATGACGTAGCATGGACTTCTATATATACACAGTACACTAACAAAATCAGTTCCGCAGGGCTTGTAACCTGAAATAGAAATTATGTGTTGTTTTTCAAAATGTCGAATCATTAGAACGCCTTTTTGAAATAAAAAATATATATGGTGTGCAATTCCATGGAATTTATCAAGCACTTTGTTTGTGCTCTTATATTTCTATGAAATCTAAAATTCCACCACCCATCAGAAAAATGCTCCACCCATTGGTAGGCTTCTTTCTAAGTCATGCATGCCCGTGAAGGTCCGGGTTAGAATATTGACCTTCAGTAACCCATGCTTGTCGTAAGAGGCGACTAACGGGATCGGGTGGTTAGGCTCGCTGACTTGGTTGACACATGTCATCGTATCCCAAATGCGTAGATCGATGCCTATGCTGTTGGTCATTGGATTGTCTGCTCCAGACTTGATTATTTACAGACTGCCGCCATATAGCTGGAATATTGCTGAGTGCGGCGTAAAACTAAACTCACATCACATATCATCGTATCCCAATTGTGCAGATCGATGTTCATGTTGTTGGTCACTGGATTGTCTGGTCCAGACTTGATTATTTACAGACTTCTGCCATATAGCTGGAATATTGCTGAGTGCAGCGTAAAACTAAACTCACTCACTCACTCAAAGTCATGAAGCAGCATCACTGTGCTGACTGATGTCTCTGATTCCCCATCAGTGTCTACAGTTTTGTCTGTTCAGGGATTAGGATAGAGAACTTTGACAATGGGCCAGTTTCAAGATTATTAGCCATTTTCTGAATTTAGAATGGGCCACTGCCCTTCTATCAATAGTAAACTTCAAAATTTTAATGGGCCATTTTGTATTCTAATGTGCAAAATGGCCCATGGCCCCTGCCTTTCCCAATCCCTGCTGTTAATGATAAACAAGCAGTCTGTGAAGATATTTTTGTTTGCTTGTTCCTTCATAAGGACTGACTTCAATATTGTTCATGTTTACAGAGACATAATAGCATTAAAAAAAAAGAACAGAAGATTTACATTCAGTTTGGATGAGCTATTTCACGGCAACCTGTAAACAAGTGGTTGATATGATGAGCACTCTGACCCACCGGGCTACTAAGTCTGACCACTTACTCCATGGTAGCTGCCTATCATGCAGTTCCCACACAGTGTTACATATTATGTCTCAATGTATCATAAGGCATTAGCTGTTGGTAAGGCAGGCGACGACAGTAGAATAAAGGCTTTGAAGCCACTCTCATTGCTGTCTTTGACTTCCTGCTAAAACCTGTAATTTTGACATTAAGATCGTCTTGTGAGTGAAGTCCCACTTGCACAAAGTGATCTTAGCTTAACGTTATGTGAGTTAAGATCATTGTAGCGCTAAGATCGGTTTGTGCAATTGGGCCCTGAGTGAGTTTACTTTTTACGCCACACTCAGAAATATTTCAGCTATATGGCGACAGTCTGTAAATAATCAAGTCTGCACCAGACAATCCAGTGACAATCATGAGCATCGATCTATGCAATTGGGATACAATGACATGTGTCAACCAAGCCAGTGAGCTTGACCACCCGATCCTCTTAGTCGCCTCTTACGATAAGCATGGACAACTGAAGATTGATTCTAACCCGGATCTTCACATGGCAATATTCCAGCTACATCATGGTAGAATGTATTTGACCAGGCAAACCAGTAACTGGAAGCAACATTCCACACCATACGGGCATGAAGCCAAGGAATCAGCCTAGTCACAGTGTCTGACCAACCAGTCCCCATATTCAGCTAATATGACAAGCAGGAGGTAGTAAGGACATATTCTGGCCAGGAGCTGATGAAAAGGCAGTAACATTACTCCCACAAACAAATCAGGGACCCGTTTCACAAAGCGATCGTAGAGCCATGACTATCGCAAGTCTATGTTAAAGTATGGGCATTACGATCACCTTAGCGCTACAATCACTTTGTGAAATGGGGCCTTGGTCATTTAAAAGTCAAAGGTCATTTTGACCAACCTTCTCGAGAGATCGTCCTCTTTGCTCTGTTCCGCGGAGGCCCCGGACCGTATGGAAGCTGTGGTTGGGTTGAGGTCGTTCAGCTGGTCCACCATCTCGAGACCGTTCTCGTCAGCCACCTGATGGATGAGGGCCTGGACCTGGTCTTCGGGAGTGGTCAAGGTCATTGCATTGCCCATGGAGTTCTCCAGAGTCTGAGTGAGGGGTAAAGCAACATGTTGATGTTCACCATAGTATAGCTATATGAATGAGTGAATGTTGTTTGACGTTGGGGTCAGCAATATTCCAACTATAACATGGCGGTCAATAGATAACTGAGTCTGGACAAGACAAATAAGTGTGGAGCAGAAGCAGTATGCCATAGCGCTACCTTGTGAAGACACACCATTAGCAATTTTACAAGGCCCATCTCACTAAATTCCAAATTTTTTACTCTGTAACAACCCTCTCTGAAAGAAGATCTCAGGACCTCACCTCCACAGAAAGTGGTAAATGTTCATCGGGGATCACCTGACTCAACCCACCATGATGATGTCCTCAGATCTTGACACAGAGCAAGTAAATATTTCAGTTACAACAAGATTAAGAAATGAGCCACACTACCCCCAGTTTAGTCTGTCACACAGACCCTGAAACAAATACAGTCGAGCACTGTTGTCTCAATATTCATGGGACCAAGAAAAATTATAGAGTTGTCCAAACTTGAGACATCCGACCAGGGCATATTATCACATATCACTATGAAAGAAAACAAAACGCTTCTCAGTCGAAAGTACAATTCGTTATCAGTTGTGTTTATTCGTAACAGTGAGTACTTCCTAATTAAATCCTTCTTAATTAATCCTAATTAAATAACAAACAAGTGACACCTTCAACTCAATTAGCCCTAATTAGTTTACACTACTGCATCCCTTTGATTCATGCCGCACCGTGTGTAAACGTGTGGAAACAACCTCAGTTCAGAGGGATACTTGTCCATGAAAGGTAGGTGAATATCGAGTTTCTTTGCAAATATCGAGTTTAATAGGGTAATTTTACTTGTTGGGGCCATCAAATTATATCAAGATATCTGAAATATCGCGACATCCGTATCGAGTTAAAAGAGCTTGAATAATGATAAATTATGAAGGATTTTGCCGGGACCGAGATGGTATATCCAGACAACCGAGATATCGAGTTATCAGAGTTCGACACAATGATGTTCAACTGTATATCCAAGAAAGCCCATGCAAGTCTAGATTATGTGGCAAGTCTACCCCCAGTTCTCTTCACATCTTTTGGGAGACATATTCTTCTGTTCCCACCAAAGGGACATAATTGGGAGTTTGACATCAAATAGGAACCATATGTTAGTGATATTAAGCAGCTGATGCTAACAATTTGGTGAAATCTAACAGCACAAGGTTGATGCTGATTTCAAGGATCCTCTTTAGCTTTACAAAATATCTGTCCTCGTCCACATGGAGATTGGTTGAGGTCCATGTTCAAAGGGAGATAATTCAGTGTTGACTTACCGAACTTCTGACATCCAGGTCCTCGAACTGCTTCTCAAACTTCTCCATAATCTGCTCCACCTGGTGAGAAACAAAATGATCTAATAAGATTCTATTGTTCCCAGTTACCATGGAAGATTATCTTCAGCTGCAGCATGGGTTTGTACAATTGGTTTTACAAATATCTCTATTGCATACAAACAGATTCTGGTCCTGGAGAAGTTTTTCCACCTGCAAATGTATTTACAACGAAACATTGCCAATTGGAAAGAAGACATTACCGCGTTACACTCATAGTGAGCTTGACTTCACTCTGCTCTGAACAGTGTGTGACCACGTAGAGTGATGGAAGTCTTGATTTGAAATTGGTGAAATTCACTGACATGATGCTGACATACATCAAACCATAATCAACTTAATCCGGGTGAATCTGGGATTGAAACAAGCAATCACATGTTTCTGGCAAGATTAAATGATGCTCCATGAATTGATCTGTCAACCCGTGTCCCACCTATATATGGGTGTTAGGGACAATAAATGTAATCTTATTGTTTATTGTTTAATGCTGCACACAGCAATATTCCAGCTATATGATGACAGTCTGTAAATAATCGAGGCGAGGCGAGGTGAAGCCACGTTATCTGTCTGTGCCGTCTGCTCCAGCCTGGCATACCTCACCTTGGCCAGATCCATAGACTGCATTGCTTTGTCCAGAGCCTTGGATACACCTGCGATGTTCTTGGTCACCTGTGGAACACAACACACATGGACATCATTGTATTGAGAGCACACTGGAAGAAAGTAGTGCTGGGATGGGTAGAATTTTGGACCTGGGTATCATAAGGTAGAATTACATGATTCAACTCAGGTACGCCTTACAGCTGCAGTATGACACCAGACTGCATAAGATGTGAGGACACCTTCATAGGAAGTTAGATCAGGTTAACTTTCCTAACAGCAGGGCTCGATTTATGAGATGTTAACCTACTCGCACCAGGTGCAACCTAAGATAAAAACCTAGTTGCACCAGCCAAATTCCAGTTGCACTGCTTTTATTGCAATATGTAATGTAAGAAATATGGTATTGAATTATTTAGATGTTTTATTGAGAGTTTACCCACTCAAAAATTGAGTTGCACCAGGTGCAAGTTCAATTAATAGCTAGATTGCATTTTGTAATATTGGGTTGCACCAGTGCAAGTAACAAAGTACTAAATCGAGCCCTGTAACAGTAAAAAAGAATTAGGTAGTTCCAAATGTAAACAATAAAGGCCACTCTACTAAACTGTTGAGGATATTTTATTCACCATGTGTATCTGAAAATCATGATATGTTCACCCAAAAGCGATTACCATCAAAGCAATCTTTGCATTCAGTTTGTTTGTTTGTTGTTTTAACGCCACACTCAGCTATATTCCAGCTATATGGCCGTGGTCTGTAAATAACCAAGTCTGGACCACACAATCCAGTGATCAACAGCATAAGCATCGATCTACACATTGGGATACGATGACATGTATCGACCAAGTCCTAGAACCTAACCACCCGACCCCATAAGGTGTCTCTTATGACAAGCATGGGTTGCTAAAGAAAATTAAACCATGATTCTTCACGGTATTTTTCTTGTCAGTGTTGGTCTTCTTTCATGAAAAATCAAAATTTCGGAATTGAGGTAACTAAAGAATTGAAACCTAATCATTTTAGAACACAGACATCTGACTGGCTCAAGATCCCAAGACTCCTTTGATTTAATGGGTTGAGACGTCAGATTTGATTGAGGTATTGTATCGATGTAAATGACCTGATTTAATGATATTGTATGTTATCAACAAGTATAAAATACTTCCTGACCTCTTTCATGGTGAGAGCCGTCTGCACCCTGGACGCCACTGCATCAACACGGGCCGCAAACCGCAGATAGTTGAGGCCCTCGTTCTTCTTCCTGATGGCGTTCTCCGCATATATCTTAGCGCCCTCTACATTCTTCTGCTGCAGAGCCTATACAACATGACACATCAGTAAGTGACTGAATGCTGTTTTATGCCACAGTCATTACTATTATTTATAACAGTGACCTATAAACAATCAAATATTATCCAGGCAAACCAGTGGTTAACAGCATGAGCCACAAACCATGCCATGACTTAAAGTGTTTGGTGTAGGGTTTTAAATCCCCTTTTGTCAAGTAGTTGAGTACCCAGACCACTCACTACAGTGATTACAATATGTGAATCATCTCGTCCATTCAAAACCAAACACACGCTAAAATTCACAGACACTTTTCAAAACACAAATACAGCTCTGTGGCCAATTGTGGAATGAATGGAAGTTGGATTGGTTGAAATGGAACAGGAACCTGGATATCTTAGTTCTTTTACCATGCAAAGTATTCATATTTCTCAATCCACATTTGAAAAATGTTGCATTGCACATAATAGACATACCATTAACCATATATAAAACAGGAACAGTATTTACCAGCACAACATTGAAAAATGTGTGACTTCAGGTTTGTGCTCTTATCAAACTTGAATGCTGATAAATAAGTTCATTCCAAACTTCAGAAGGCGGAAAAGTTCAATTATTTTTTGGTTGATGTCAACATGAATGCTGATAGATATAGATGTAACAAGAGATGCTATTTCGGCTGTCAACTTGGTCAACTAATATATCTTAATGAGTCTGTCACTTCTAGAGGTGCTCACAGATAACACAGCAGCTGACCAACCAACTTTCACCTATAAGTTTAACAAAATGTCAGTGCTGATATTTACCTTCTTGACTTTATTCTGTTGGATTTTCTGATCTTTCTCAGCCTTCTTCGCCAACCTCTCAAGCTGCTTGGTAGTAAACTAAAACACAGAAATAATGTTACCATGGCGATTGTAACAGCATATTTAATTAACATTACCACTACTAGAATCAGTAATTTCTGAGAAAGTGTGATCACAAACATACAATATCTTACATTTGACCACTCTATGTATGATAGGCAAGTGACATGAGGGTTTACAAACTCAATGGTATTTGTGGACTGACTACCAGACCTTTTTCATATGCAGAAATTAAGATTGAGTGTTTATTTGCCTTATAAAATAACTGGACTTTGCAATCATCTGATTACATGTTTTCCCTATCTATGGGTGATTAAATTTTGAAAATATTTTACATGACCAATATCATAGTTAAAACAAAGTGAAAACAAAATAAGATCCAGTAAAGGTTAACAATCTTAAACTAGGGTTAGTAATGTTAAACTGCACATATATCCATGAATTCAATATGTAATGTGTGCATGTTGTATCATGCTGATGTGTCATGATATTTGATTTAGGGGGTCAGTTTAACCCTGGTGAAATAAATACAGATACAGGAAGGTAAAGATTAAGTCTGCTACTGCACCAGCTGTCCCCCCATGTTATTGACAAGCCTGTGACATATGGTCAGGAAGCAAACAAGTGCTGCTAATCAATGCATAATGCATGCAACCAAAGTATCATACATTGATTAGATCGTGGGCGATAGAGCAGAACAAGCACTGTACATGTTAACATTGTCCCTAGGAATATACCATGTATACTGGAGACAAGAAGGAGGACGTAGGAGAGGACAGGCAGAGGATATGGGTGGGGACATTGAGAGGACGTGGGAGATTTGGGTGAAAAAATACCCTCCTGTTCCTCAGAATCTGTTTTCATGACATGTGTTTTGACTCACAATGAGTTGCATGTTCAGAAGCAGTGACTGGATTATATATCTTCTGACAAAATTCCCACCACCCCTCATCACCCCTCCCCCAACAGAACCGTTAATGGTTAATGGTGGGTCACTAACTATGCTTACTCCATTTGTGCAAAGTTTGTAATTTAAGCACACAAAGACAATCTCAAGGGTCCTGTAGGTGGCAGGAGTGGGCAAACATTGTGTGTACACTAGACATACACTGTCATCCAAAACTCAAAGGACAAATCTGATTGAACAAGTAATTAGGTTTTCCTACGTAACCTGTGAGGTTGAGAGATTAAAGTAATATAGAAGCATATAGCTGTCAACCCCTGAGAGTTCCAGTGAGTGAGAAGCTGGGGTCCAGGGGGGATGCTCTGATGGGGGATGTAGGGGGGTGAAGCCCTCCCGAAAAATTGGTTTGTAGGTTATTTAAAGATGATTTTTATGTCATTTGGTGCCAGTTTATAAAACAAATTCAATAATGCCTGAGTTCAGAGAGGCAATGCGTGAATGTGTGACACTGAGGTAAAATGCGTGAGAGCTGACAGGTATGTGGAAGGTCTGTTTATTGATTAAAGCTGCATTCACAAATATCCTAGCAAAATGACAACAGTCTGTAAATAATTAAATCCGAACACTGGTCGACATTAACACTGCCCCACATTCTCGGGTGTGTGTGTGTGTGTGTGTGTGTGTGTTTTATGACAAAGAATCCACTTAGCCACTAAACCTGCCGCCTTATCCTTGTTCGTCCCCATTAAAAATAATAATTTTAAATCACATTCCTTTTTAAACCTAATTCCAACTTTTTGCACATGCCATGCATTTTATAAGTGTCACCACCTAGATGTCACTGCATTCCTTTCTATATCTCCTTGATTCAACAGCAGTGGACACAGTCAAAACAGAGTCATGTGCTACATTAGAATAAAGTTTTAACTTCCAAGGATTTGTAACCCAAATACAAAAATATCAAAAATGTAATTCCTTCTTCCCTACTCAGTTCGTTAAATGTCATGCGAAACAAAATGTTTCTTAACGGGTCTTCTAACTGAGACACATCTTAAAGGCATATGAGCATCAGGTAAGCCATTTGTCATGATACACTTACCATTCTTACCAAATACTCAGTTAATGGAACAAAATGCACAAAAGACCAAATGAATAATGATGAGTATGTGCAACATGGACAAATCAAAGCAACTCACCTTCAACTGGAACATCATATCTGGAAAATATAAGTCATCCATTTTACAAAATATCTCATCAAAAAGTGAAACAGCATGACTGACAATCTAAGTTGACACATTTACCAAATTTGTACTTAACAATTATCAATACCTGGCAAAAGTTGGCAATTTTACAAAATATCTCATTAAAATACAAAACAGCATGTCTGACAATAAAAGTTGATGCAATTACCAAATATCTACTTAACAATGATTAATACCTCCTAAATCTCTACCCTAAACCTCTACCCTAAACCACAGCGTAAAATTAAACCCACATAAAATGACCCAACCTCATCTAATTAACATGATTAAACATCTCCAGTGTTCGACTGTCTCCAAAACTCCAGTAGGTCAGCAGGTCATGCTGGTCAAACTGAAGGACAATTACGTCCAGTTGACTGACTGCAGACAATAGTCCAATGTCCATCTGACCACAGCCTAAGACCGACACGCCAATTAGTGTAGTCCAAATTTGTGGGGTGTTGCCACTTAGGTAATCCTTGTCTCCATCACACATGTTGTGGACTCGGACTTAGGTAACCGGGTACTGAACGCTGCAGTACAAAGGATGGGACTGTAGTTCATGGGAATTTGTCAGGCAGGACAGCACGGTGCACAGAGGCTGACTAGAAATCTCCTACAAAACTCAACAGTACCATTTCAACTAACAAGACGTCCTGTGAGTATATTAACACAGGTATTAATGTCAAAATGTATCTTTTCCTGTAGTAAATGTTCCCTTTACCATTTTCTCTTGAAAAATTATTCCAGTGGAACCGTTTTTCCAAGGAAAATCTTTTTCACAAAAACAGATGTTGTTTCCTTACACTTCTCTGAGTCTGAGTGGTTTAGGACCAGTATGAAGTTCCTTGTTATAATGATCTAACCCTTACCCTGACATATAAAGGTAATCATGTGGACCATAAATATACAAGTTGATTTCTTCCATGACTGAAACATTGTTCCACATGTATGTGTTTAGTTTCAAGGGGGAGATACACTCACACCGGCAATATTTGTTCGGGGTGGAACTAATTCCATGTTCATAATATTCACACCTAGAAAGTCCTAAACGACTCTCCACAACCATGGTACCAGACGTTAATGGTAAAACCGACTTTGAAATATCAGAAATAATAGATCTAGATCTCATGAAGCTGGTTGATACTTCATGATTTATTGAATAATACCAAACCTTGATAATATGGACACCGCCTTCAACTTAGACACATCCCTAGTCTCAGAAAAAATAAATTTTTGATGGGAACAAACAGTTCCATTAAATTGAAAATTAGCCGTAGTGAGATGGGAGATTCAGAACCTGAGGAAATTCTAGACTTGCTTTATTTAGGGTTTTAGCAGTACAGGGAGTGTGTAGGCAGTAGGGAAAACAATGTTGGACTGTGAGACAGACTCCTTTCCACAGAAGTCATCCAGACTAACAACTCTGCTGATTACTGAATCATGGGAATGGTGTATTCCAACTTGCATTCTTGATATGCATTCCAAGCAGAAACCATCTTGTAAATGAGGGATTCCAGTTTAACAAGGCTTCACTGTCCTGTACAATATACAAATTACTATAATATGTATGAGGCTGTATTGAAAATATCACTCTCATGTGTGGAAAAGCGTTATGAACCCAACTTCTGGACACTTGTATGACCATGATTACTACGCTGACTGAGGGAATGATTCAGTCCCTTTGCTAATGTTGATCATGCTGATGATACACAAGATTGCTTTATTCACATACAGGATGTTTTTCCATCAAACTGTTCTTGTCTGGAGATACATTGTAACCAGACCTGGAGAGATGAGTCAATGTAAGCTACCCTGTGATACACATGCATGATATATATGTTGATTCCTTGCTTCCAGGAAAAAACATGTATATCATCATGATCAGTATTGGGTATATATTTTCAATGTTTCACTAACAAATAATATTACAGAATATGAACTATGCATTATAAAAAATAAAATATGATGACAGAACCTAAACTGTTTTGCACTAATTAAAAAGAGAAAATGTCAATCATTATACTGAAGCTACAACAGAATCAATCCCATGATAATGAAAATACTGTAAAACATTAACTCTCATTTCTTATGTGTCAACAAATTATCAATTTGCACATGTCAGACTGACCAATTGAATGACCAGCATCAAATTAATAAACAAATCATTTCAAAGTATTTATTTCATAATTATATTGAAGGACATATTGTCTCATTTTTTTTATATACAGAATGCAACAACCTTTCAATATTTTACAATTTGTATTCAAAGTTCTTCACATTTTTGGCCCTCAAGCAAAAGTCGTCCCACAGTCTCCGAGAAAACAGCTAAAAGGTTATAATTAGATCTAGTTGGTGTAATAAGTGGTGAACATATTGTATGGTTGTTTACTGTATACTGTTATTAGTGTTAATTATTGTGTCAGTTTCACCATAAGGGTGTAGGGCTATATGTTTACACATGGCACTGTATTAAATTATTATCCTTATAAAGAAATGGCAGTAGATAATGAAGAATAATCCCAACTCACAGTTCATTACTGTTATAGTCGTACAGTTGTATCCGATATGTATCATGTTATTAGGCTGTTAGTACTTAAGGTGTTTACAACAGACATTGTATACAAAGTGGAATATGTAGGTCAGATGGTTACAATTTCAACCTGTTAAATTACATTTTAATGTTTTCTTTACGTGTTGACCTCTCAAATTATGAACTAATTTCGAGAAACGTATATACCTTGCATATGTTGATTGTGAAATACTCAAAACTGAAATAGTGAAAGAGTGACAGTTGACACCCCAAACCGATATTTTTCAACTTTGACGGACTTACCATCCATTTTGTGTTGTTTTTTGTCTTTCCCGTGCGATATTTAAATATATAGACAAGTATACAACGGAGAGCAAGGCACAGAAATCCAAATAAATACTGGTAACACTTATAACTTCGTGAGTAACTATCACAGGTTATGACGTCAAAAACACGGAAGTAGGTTTGATCGTTATTTAGAGTTACCTCCCCTGCATAAACAAATGCATGCGGCTTTGTTTTTATCTAACACGTGTTTTACATATATTTCTTTGGCTCTTTCAGATCATTCCTTAGTTTGAATATCATATGCACTCATATGTCACAGTAACCCCAAACTAAAAGATGATATTTCGCAACAATCACTTCTTTGTTCCGTGATAGGCCTCTTGAGAGGGGTTATTTCAAAACATATTAAGTAAATTATTGTCAGGAATGCTTCAGATACACAATCGATTTTATTTATGATTATGATTTGCAACGATAAATCGCATATATAAATATGAAGTGATTCCGGACAGAGAAAGTATGTAAGTATGCAAGTTTTCCGGACTAATAAACAGGTACTGTAAGTTTGAATTATACAACCGTCTGCCTTAAAACAGATCAGCCAAGCTATAAATCATTAAGGATTTGCAAGGGAAGAAAAAATATCAGTGTTTAACCTTATAAGGAAACTGGCCACAGATACGTGAAGGATTTTTTCTTTCTTTTAAATGGAGACATATTTAAAACATAACTCAAAAGCACATTACATATAATAACAAAAATGTCCGTTACTGAAATATTGCTGAATCAAGAAATGCGATATTGATAAAGAAATGTTACACCAGGGATACTCTACAACATACTTATATAGTCTCCCTGGTTATACGTGGTAACGCAAATTAGTCATCTCATAAAATAGAGGTCCTCTAACAAAGAAGGCGAGCAAATACTAAATACTAAATGTACGTTTGAAACGGTCCCTCGGCTATCAACAAAGCATCAGCTGACGACAAAAGTCACCGTCTTCCGACGCTCGCCATCGCCCTTTGACCAGTGACTGTTTCATTGTTCGTGTTCTCAGTTCTCGGATATGTAACTGGACAATGGTCAGACATGTCAACCACTGTCCATTTCCGCCGCCACGACAACGGAACGTCGAACACGGTAGGGCTAATTATACAATGTCAACGACTGTCTTCCCTGTTGAGTATCGCTGTTAGATCGACAAACATTTTCACAAAACAAGAATATCTAACAATGAAATGATAAATTCTGACGTCGATCAGCTAATCAATGTCCAGTTATAATATTGATATACTATGATATAATATTCTATAATATTAATGTCGTTCTGTGCAAGTGCAATGTTTCAACCGCCTCGCGGGACATTATGATGTAATGTTTACATGATTTATTTTTAGATTTTGATTACTTGATTGTGTTGGTTTAGTATTTTTCGTCGACGCGCGGTGCTGTGAGACAAACTTGACATCTGACAACGAGAATTATCACGCGCCCTGTAACTCTCTCGCTAATTTCTTAGATATGTTGGGTGCGGTCTGTCTGCGGTCACATTAACCTACGTCAGTCTACACATGTGAGTGAGTTAAATATTTAACTCCACATCGACATCGGGTATATAGCGACAACTTGAAAGAAGAATATAAGTCCGGGACCCCAAAATATATGTTACACCTGAGCCACAACAGAAACTTTGGGTACCAATGCATTTTTATTAATCTTAAGTTATATACTCATGCCAATAATGGTTGTCACCCCCTTCAATTTATTTTTTTGGAGAGGGTGTGTGGGGTTGGGTGTGTGGGGGTGTGGGGGGTTGGGGTGGGAGGGGGTGACAACCATTATTGGCATGAATATATTACTGATCTAACATACGATTTGATTAAAACTACTTTACAGAAAAGACAATTATGTTCAGTAATATATTTCGGGGATCCAACGTGATAGCTATGGCTTCTGAAAAAATATTTGGCTCCTGAAAAAATATTTGGCTCATCTGAGTGAGTGAGTGGAGTTTGACACAGCTGTTAGCAATAATATCGAACACAAACAATAAATATCGACACAAAGTATGAGGCTACCCTACTACAGGGATCCTCACCATTAATTGTGTTAGTGAACCTGCTATGGCATTACCCCCAGAACGTGAAAAATTCCTCTCAAAACATCAACAATATTCCCCAAAAGATGTGAGATATTTGGCATGGCTTCACTCAGATTTAGTCACTGACAATTTATGCAGGACATTTTGAAGAAGTCAGGCTGACATTTTCTGTTAGTCGACTGTCACATCAACGTCAAGCCAAGTTATTGCAGATTGCTCCGTCTCTCGCTTCATTGTCTGGTTATCCGCGCACTTAATGTTACATTGTCGGGTCAATAGCTGTCAGTCAGCATTACACTTGGGTAAATGAGCAGCACGTGCCAGATCGTTATGACGCATAGAAAGGGGAAGGGGGATATCGAAATCGGATGGTGGTTTTAAGTGGGGAATGTTATAAATACCAAATATATTTATTGTCCTGAGTGAGGGTCCATTTTTTGTGGTTCTAGCAATAAAATATCAATTATAAAGTTATATGTATTTACTGGAGGGATAGCATATTATATTATCTTGATGTATTTTATATACATTTTCTTTTGTAACGAATCATTGTGGGGAAGAGCATGACACGAGAAATATTTGCCAGTAAATGATAACTGGAAATCGGTAGTTATACTCATTGTGACTATGTTCAATCATGACTTGATTCACATCCACGTGGCCAAATCCAGTTTCTTGTGATACAGGCCATATGGGACACGACCTCAATCTTCTGAGGAAGGTAAAATAATGATTTCTTTATATTATTATCACTGAATGAAAATGATGTTTTTTTGTGATGGTGGGTCAATCTTTATTCTGTCAGATTGTTCATTGTTACAACATGTTATTTGAAGTAAATTTAAATATTCAATTTTTTTCTGGAATGAAAATCTTTAAACTCCTATTCAAGTATTGACAGTCTTAACGGTGAGTGAGTTGGGTTTTACGACACTTTTAGTAATATTCCAGCAATATCACGGCAGGGGACACCAGAAATTGGCTTCACACATAGTACCCATGTCTGAATCGAACCCGGGTCTTCAGCGTGACGAGTGAACGTTTTAACCACTAGGCTACCCCACCGCCCCGACAGCCTTAACACCCACAGTACAATATTATATGTTTTATGAACGTAAAGACGAATTAAATAATATATATCGCTGTTATTTAATCAACTTTTGCTTAAAAACATGTTAGTTTACATTATATTACTAAGCATGACAGTTGCTAGGACTCAGATAATATATTTGTGGATGACATGAAACTATTTCCATAATTTAATCAAGAGGAACACTTCCGTATCTTCTGTTGTTCTTCGTGAGTGTAGTTTCCGATCAGGTTTTACAAGGAAGCTTATGAAAGGCACACTGTATCAATTAGCATTTCCTTTGGCATAACCTTTATGAATATGGGACATCGAGCAAATAGGTTTCCGGAGTAACCAATGGCAACGGTCGTTGACAAAATATCAATGTTTTGGGCGTAAAACATTAGCGCATGTTTACTGACCAACTTATTCCATTATCACAGATGAAATGTGTTAATTTCTTATTGGTTGTCATGGAGTTAGGTAACCATAGTTACAAATATATTAATTGGATGTCAGTACGAGCTCAACGAGCTCATGTACAGTTTCTATGTAGGAATCGTTTGTTTGTTTTCAACTTATACACACAAAGCCTCCTCTAACTACGTTATGTATCAATTTACGTGGAAAACAAAAGGCCATGTGTATTTGTATATGGCATTACCATTAGCATAGCTTCACATGTTGTAGAAAACCCGTGATTGAAGCCGGCACCATCAAATAACGCATGTTTACGTTGAGTGAGTGAGTTTTACGCCGCACTCAGCAATATTCCAGCTATATGGCGGCGGTCTGTAAATAATCGAGTCTGGACCAGACAATCCAGTGATCAACAGAATGAGCATCGATCTGCGCAACTGGGAACCGATGACATGTGTCAACCATGCCAGCGAGCCTGACCACCCTATCCCGTTAGTCGCCTCTTACGACAGGCATGGGTTACTGAAGGTTCATTCTAACCCGGGCCTTCACGGGTAGCATGTTTAAGTTAGTGAGTGAGTTGTGTTTCACGCCGCTTTTAGCAATATTCCAGCAATTTCACGACGGGAGACACCAGGATTGGGCTTCACACATTGTACCCAGGAGTCGAACCTGGGCCCTCGGCATAGCTAGAACGCTTTAGCCACTAGGCTACCCCACCGGCCCTGTTTAAGTTAAACATATTTCTTCTCTAAGTGGCATTTTAGAAGTTGGTGTGATGAAGAGAAACACGTTTTATGGATTGACAACTTATTATTGCAATAGGTGTGACGTTTCGGTGTAGATCATAACACCGTTATCAACAAGTGATACACAACGTTTAGTTATGCACAAGTGGAATATATACATGAAGGATCTTTGATTGTATACAGTTGGTGAGGTTCATGTACAGTATAATGGCATTACTAATACTGTTGAATTTCAACAGCGAGTGAGTATGGTTTTACGCCGCTTTTAAGTGGACTTTACGCCGCTTTTAACAATATTCCATCAATATCATGGCGGGGGGCACCAGAAATGGGCTTCACACATTGTACCCATGTCGGGAATCGAACTCGGGTCATCACCGTGAAGAGCGAACGCTTTAACCACTAGGCTACCCCACCGCCCATGTATTTAGAGGTATATAAGACATATTATACGTGAGTCGAGATTAGCGCCACCTTTCACAGATATACGTGTATCCTGTTATATCACCTCATGTCAGCAAAAACGTCGGAGACAAACCGAACAGACACCGGTCATAAAGGTCTTCCATGTTAGTAAAGACTGACTGCTCTATGTAATAATCGAACCGAACAGACACCGGTCATAAAGGTCTTCCATGTTAGTAAAGACGGTCGTAATAATCGAACCGAACAGACACCGGTCGCAAACGTCTTCCATGTTTAGTAAAGACTGACTGCTCTATGTAATAATCGAACCGAACAGACACCGGTCATAAAGGTCTTCCATGTTTAGTAAAGACTGACTGCTCTATGTAATAATCGAACCGAACAGACACCGGTCGCAAACGTCTTCCATGTTTAGTAAAGACTGACTGCTCTATGTAATAATCGAACCGAACAGACACCGGTCATAAAGGTCTTCCATGTTAGTAAAGACTGACTGCTCTATGTAATAATCGAACCGAACAGACACCGGTCATAAAGGTCTTCCATGTTTAGTAAAGACTGACTGCTCTATGTAATAATCGAACCGAACAGACACCGGTCATAAAGGTCTTCCATGTTTAGTAAAGACTGACTGCTCTATGTAATAATCGAACCGAACAGACACCGGTCATAAAGGTCTTCCATGTTAGTAAAGACTGACTGCTCTATGTAATAATCGAACCGAACAGACACCGGTCGCAAACGTCTTCCATGTTTAGTAAAGACTGACTGCTCTATGTAATAATCGAACCGAACAGACACCGGTCATAAAGGTCTTCCATGTTAGTAAAGACTGACTGCTCTATGTAATAATCGAACCGAACAGACACCGGTCGCAAACGTCTTCCATGTTTAGTAAAGACTGACTGCTCTATATGTAATAATCGGGGTGCATAGTTTCTACAAACCAATCGCAACTATAGCGGTTTTCCATCTGCCGTCAGTGGGCGTGCACTAACGTTTAGTTTCTGAATATATAATTTTGATATTAACAAATAAACCCATTCAGATTGAGAAGGAGCCCCCGGGAGACCAGAGATTCAGAACCTGAGTGAATCTAGACTTGCTTCATTAAGGGTTTTGGCAGGGGAGGGCTAGGCAGTAGGGAAACAATATGGTTCAGGGACTGTTAGACAGACTATCAGTGGGCGCTGTATCTATTTATAGTTCTCATGTTAACCTAAATATGCTATGTTTATTTGTTTTAGTGCAATAAAGTTTGATTGTGTTCTGTCAAACCAGTCTTTATGCATATATTGCAGCTTTACACATTTCACCGACATCAACGCTGGTCAAACTTCAAAGCCACTCGGTCACTTTAGACTATCACAATGGCCCGGTACCAGCTTCACAAAGCGGCCTTAGCCATATAATATAATCATAAGTCTACATGTTAGAACATAAAGTTACCATAGCCATAAATGAGCTTTGTGGAACGGGCCCCCGCACATAAATTTATCATCGCAAAGCTGCATGTTGTTACTTTCGCCGAGACTTATAAAGAGCAGCTACTCACCAGAGGCATGAATTATTTAATTAACAGTCACTACATGCATGAATTAATAAATTAACAGTCACTAAATGCATGTCCTAATTAATTACTTTGCCCGTCGAGTAAACTCGATAGTGCCAATTTTCATGCATTCAATATAGCAGATTAAGAACGTTTTGTTCATGGGATTACTTGTTGGCCGTAATTAGTGTCAACTGGCGAAATTAACAGCAAAATAGGGCAATTGAGATATATACGAGTTATATAATGCACGTTTACAATCGTTAAAGGATGAAACTGATCGTTTTGAATCAAATGAAGTGTTTGGTATGATTTACTCGATCATCAGTCAAGACAAGAAGCAATATTTGTAAATAAGACTAAACAATTTTTCAAATTTAGTTTTGTCAAATGTCGAACTGTTTGAACAGGACAATTAAATGAATGCTGATATGTATAAAAGATTCTTTTACATATTTGTTGTATGGTAACAAATTTATCGAATATCCCTTCTACAGAAACGTAAAATTATTTTAACAAACTTTAACTGGCTCATGGGGAATATGAATTTCTAAATGTCGAACTATTTGAACAGGACAATTAAATGAATGCTGATATGTAAAAAAAGATTCTTTTACATATTTGTTGTATGGTAACAAATTTATCGAAAATCCCTTCTACAGAAACGTAAAATTATTTTAACAAACTTTAACTGGCTCATGGGGAATATGAATTTCTTAACTGTTTTATATAACAACCATTAGTTGGTTATAAGAACCATGTCTCTTAATGGTTTGGACAATGAGAGGGCAAAGTTGCTACCCTTTGATCTGAGAGGATTAGCATTAGACAACAATCAGTCAGGATTAATCGTGACGAGAATGTTAAACGGCAGGGGTATAACAAGGGCGTGTTATTCCCCCCTCGTTTTCCGATGTGCCAGGGCAGTCAAACTGATGAGAACCCAACATGGATGCGTCATCGCAGCTAACGATTTAATTGAAGGTAAATTTGCATATGGGTGTATGGAGCCTACGTTCGCCATCTGTGCGGATATTGTGTGAGAAAATTAGTTATTATGCGGTTTGTTTGTGAGGGCGGCAATGGCGTTGTCTGTATACAGACGCCCATTGCGTGGTTAAGATATTTGGTAGGTCGTCATTTAGTCCGGGGTATGTTATATTTACACCCGGATCATCGTGTTAAATAGCGGAGGTTAGGGGTTGAAGCTGAGGTATTGGTTTACTAGGATGTGAAACCGATATAGTCCCGAGTGGCGTCACGCGGACAACAATGAGTTGTGAACACGAGGATGTTGATTTCTCGTCTGGATTATTCTGTGTCTTTGTTCGGTGGTGATGTCGATTGCACGTTCATGGGATGATGTGATTTGGTGTCCGAGAGACAGTTTTGTGTCGCAGGTAAAACACTGATTCTGTGACAATTCATTCTCGACTGTCCAGGGTATTATAACTCCATTCTGCTCTGCAATATTATGTTTACAAATATTTATGATAAGAAAATGAGAATATATTGTTAGAATTGATCTCCCGTAACCCATGCTTGCCGTAAGAGGCGACTAACGGGATCGGGTGGTCTGGCTCTCTGACTTGGTTGACACATGTCATCCTATCCTAATTGCGTAGATCGATGCTCATGCTGTTGATCACAGGATTATCTGGTCCAGACTCGATTATTTACAGACCGCCGCCATATAGCTGGAATATTGCTTAGTGCGGCGTGAAACTAAACTCACTCACTCAGTACAGTTGACAATTAAACAGGGTGATGGCTACGAGATCAACATGGTTTGCTTGTATTTGTTTGAACATCATAGTTTAAGTGAGTACAGGAGTGTGTTCTATTGTGTGTATTGCACATGTTAAATATGTGTGTATAAGCATATATTACCATGCGCGTGGTCACATGTGCATATATCATTAATTGGCGAGTTTCATATTATGATTTATAATGCATAAAATGTATCTATCGTCTAGTTTATCGATTTGTATATAAACTGTTCTGAAGTTGTGAGAGATATTACCTAGAAGGGACATTGTCGCGTGTTTTTGCGTCAATGCCCTTTCTGGGTTATTTCCAGTTATTGTTGTATGGTAATGAACGAATTGTGACTGGCAATGAAGTATGACAGATGTTATGACTGCCTACGATAGGGGTAAGATGACAACTCTCAAAACTGACCTTTGTTTTTTATTTGTAGTGCGTAATTTTTCCATTATTTGACGAACATTTACTCAATCAACGAGACATATTCGTCTTCTGACTGCAAGTTTGGGGAGAATGTCCACTCCTCGTGCAGCGCCTGGCCAAGTTACAGGTCGGCGGTCTGTGACGTTGACGCACACGTCTTTAATGAGGGAAAGGTCTGGAATCATAGCTAGTTATAGCATTCTATGGATACTATGCTGCTGCAGGTGGACAATGACGACCCGCGTGCCCCGTGAGCAGGGGCGTTGTCATCCTGACCAAGAGCCGTTAACCCACACGCCTTACAAATGGGATAACAATGGACGTCAGTATGATGTTCTGATAGTATTGTCCAGTGACCCTTTCTTGCACATTATGGGACCGCCCTGTCAGTGATGCCATCTACACCATAACCAGTTCACAACCAAACCTGTCACGAGGTCTCAGGTTGACTTTGGCTTGGCGCTCCTTTCCACGTCGCTAGCATTATGATTTACAGTTTGAGTTCGATTTTGTAGAGTCCCGGTTTCGGATTAATCGATCCTGCTTTCTTGTCGCTGACCTTGGACGCCCAAGGCATGTTTGGCTTGTAGGTACCTGTTCCATGTTCTGCTAATAACGGACTGTGAAGCACTGCACGCTGACGTCGACAGATGTTTGCATACAATAACAACGTAGCTCCCAACTGAAACATATGATTATGAATGTCGTAGAACCATGATCTATTTGTATTAACGGGGTCCAACAGTAGAATCAGAAGTAGTAGTAGTAGTAGTAGTAGTAGTAGTAGTAGTAGTAGCAGTAGCAACAAAGGTACAAGTAGTTGTACTGGCAATAGTTCAAGTTGTATTAGTAGTACCTATAGTAATACTCTTTTAATATGATTTGTATGTTGTTTAACGCCGCACACAATTGTCAAGATATATGACGGCGGTCTGTAAATAATTGAGTCCGGACAAGACAATCCAGTGATTGCCACCACGAGCATCGATCTACGTAATAGTATGCGTCAACCAAGTCAGCGAGCCTGAGCACCGATCCCGTTAGTCACCTCAAACAAGTATAGGTTGCTAACGATCAGTTTTAACCCGGATCTTAATGGGTCTATGATAATGATAGAGATATATATATCAGAGGTATATAACAGTAGTAGAAGTGACAGCAATATAAATACCACACATTTGTAGAGAGGATAACAGTAATAGCAGCGTTAGTAGCAGTGGGGTAGACTAACAACTAGTCTCTGAAATGAACATATTTTACAGAGTAAATGCTCATAGTGAAAAAAATATATATATATTGAAAAGGAGCCCTGAGACTTTCTTCATTTTCAGAAGCTGTGAAAATCTAGACTTGCCACATTGTCTAGACTTGCGTGGGATTTCTTAGTTATATTTGCTTCAGGGTCTGTACGACAGACTACAGTGGTAGTAAACATGGTATCAGCATGGTAGCAATGAAGATAGAAATTTACATGGTAGTAACTACCGGTATTGTGTAGTAATGGTAGTTATTGTGCCAAATGCAATCATAATTTACATTTTATGAGGGGCGATGCGGTAGCGTAGTGGTTGAAGTGTTCGCTAGTCACGCCGAAGGTCCGGGTTCGATTCACCCAATGGTTACAGGCCCATTTCTAGTGTTTTCCGCCGTGAACTTGCTGGAAAAAGTAGTGTAAAACCATACTCACTCACTACATTTTATGACAGAGTTTGGGTAATAACAGAGCAAATATCCGTTAAGCATGGTGACGTTAGTGCATACCCATCCGTGGGTTAAATTAAATATATCTATTTGCACCATTTATAAGAATAACGAATATATAATGACCAGTGAACTCATTCAAAGAAAACCCTACCTTCTAGCACATTTGAAACACTCAGTTAATACAACAGAAGTGCTGTTATAGGATTAAGGGTCACTGGTTGTAAAATATACCAAAATGGTGGTTCCACTACGACAAGCTACATATACACAAATGTAAGTTCATCTTGAATGTGCTCAGGAATGAAAGGCTCGTCTGTCTGTGGTTAAACCTGCCAACTGTTCCGAACCCAGTTGAAGTGATCATGAATGATTGGACAGCTGCCCTGATGGGATACTGTAAGGAGCAGGAGTTCCACGATAAGTCTAAACATAGTGTTTGAATTGAATTGAACAGCTCAGTACAACTACATTGTTCAGTGACGTTGCACGCACACATGGAGACACGAGTCTGTGCCCTTCTCGCAACCCTCGGAATTAATGCTTGACACATGCAGATCTTCTTTGATAATCTTCACAAATGTGCAAAAGGTTATCGAAATACACTTCAAATGTGAAGGTGAAGGACACCATACATTGCTGCCATGGTACGCGAGGGAACTTATGTTCTTATAGTAAATAAAACTATTGCAGAACTCTGCTACACAGTATTGTAAACAGTTCAGCCACAAATGAATAGATGTACCATGACAGGGCGGCTGGTTTCGTAATCACAACAGTGTGAGGAGCCGGCAGGACTAAGGTGTTTCGCAGACCAACTTTCCGTCCAAAACATATGATGCGCTAAATTTAGAAGCATGAGAAAGAAACCGTCAGAGAAGCGAAATAAAGCAGACAGGACGAATGCCAGCGAATGCGTAATTCTCGACCGCCATATCTTCTTCTCCCAGTCGTGTTAGAATTACACAGAAATGCCTGAGTGATAGTTGTTGCAGCGACAAAGTTTCCCATTGCTAACCCGTCTACTTGCATGCTGTTTGTAAAGGTAGGTGCCTCGAACATGTAGTGCTTCTGATGTCAAGGTGAATGGAATAAGTATATAAGTATTGTATACCTGGGGATGTTTGGTAGGTGTGAATACGACTTGGGTTATAGTTACAAACAGATGCAGCGTTTGTTTTCCCGTTATAACGTCTATCGGAAGCGGCCATGTAAATGTACCCATAGTGTATCTCTACGTGTTGGCTATGACATCGAGTAATGTTTTTTCACTATGTATGATAAAAGAACGATCGTGTTCCGGTTCTGCTTTTGCCAGGGCTAGTCTGGTTTCCGATGCTCCTAAAAAAACAAAGATGAGTCTCCTTAAATCATGCACTGCATATGTTCAAAACTTAGTGCACCCTCATGCACAAAACAAACAGTTAAATATAGCAGAGTAGAGGCTTCACCATTCAACAGAAATTTTAACTGTTATATAATTATTATTTCTGTCTCGCCCATGTAACGGGATGGTCAGTTTCAACCCTAACCTGTTCATCAAATGATCGTTATCACGGTTCAACATGTTTCCTGCGACGCATGATTTGATAAATACTGGCAAGAATTTCGCGTGTCGGGAGCAATTATGAGCACCTAACTCCCTCGCCTGTCTATAAGCCTGAGATAAGATACCGTTACCATGATTAGCGCCCGCTGGTCCGGTGTATATAAACCTATATACCTTGTACACCTGAAGGGAGGTTTAGTGCCGTGTTTCCCGTTAGCCTGGTTGTCGGTTGGCTAGGACTGGAGAATGTTGCCATGCCGCCCAGAGTTTACCTTTGTAATCTGGGAAATAGCTTCTAAGTTGCAGGTCTGACCTTTGCTGTTTGTGTTTGCCCAGTTAGGTAAGTTTACCGTTATGTAGGTGTGTTAGACATGCTGTTCTTGTTGGATGGCTTGTGTAACCGTTATGTCCGGCCGGACGTTTTACAGCGATTCTCTGATTATGTTTAAACATGGTAGCTCGATTGTTATTGTGAGTTATTGACTTGTATGTAATATATACCAGCGCTTAAGTGCACTAGTGTTCATCACCGTGCGTGTCTGTTTAAATATGTCGTTTCAGACACAAGGACTTGTAACGCAATAACCGGGCATCAAGGTATATACTGTCACTGTCGAGGTCTTAGCATTAGATATAAAGTCTGACGCGGCCTTAGCACTATATAAAATATCCTTTTATATAGTGCTGAGACCCAGTCGGTGACAGTATATATAATGCTAAGACCCCGACAGTGACAGTATATGCCTTGGTGCCCGATTTTGCGTTACAAGCTCCTGCTGTTTCCAATACGGAAAAAAAGTCATTTTCTCGAGTCTGATAAGTGTGATCAGTACCCAATTCGGAAATTGTTTTACTACCCTTCACTTCGAGAGATAGATAGATATAACATATCCTGTTACAACTATATACAATGTATATATTTCATGTCCCCGTCAAGACTATGTAAACGTTTTGAAACATGATGATAACGAACTTGTGAGATAACGAACCCATATATTGCTATTATTGCTCAGTTCCGTTATTGACATGCATGCATCATAACGTTATTAACCCTTCAGGTTTTATTGATTCCAAATATTCTTGGACCATACTCTGAACTTCATTAAATCAAAATAGAGGAAATGAGACGTTTAGAGACGTAGGTATTTTTGTTACGTACATCATTCAACCTTGCAGCATGCTTAACAGGTTAACGCTAATAATTGAGTTGCAATGTAAGGAGCTTGCAGAGCAAATGTCAGCGTCTGTGCTGGTTAAAAACAGTGGACAAGACGGGAAGCGATCTGTTTTTGAGAACAGGTTAATAGAATAATTTTGATAATCCGAGGCATGTTTCATTAATTGCTCCTAGCTCATGCATTAAGAACCATATGTTTTCGGGGTTTTATGTCTCCTTGTCCATTTGATTGTTTAGGTAACTGTTATTACAGTGTTTCATTTTGAAGTGGGAACTGCATTTTCTACTTCACAATCTGCAATCATTTACTTGACACTGCATGTACATTTAAACGCCCTTAAAGTAATGACACGTTTGTACATATACCTACACATTCGTGAAGATCCCCGTTAAAATTGGTCTTCACCAACCCATGCTCATCGTAAGAGGCGACTAACGGCATCGGGTGGTCGGGATCGCTGACTCGGTTGACACATGTCATCGTATCCCAATCGCGTAGATCGACGCTGATACTGATCACAGGATTGTCTGGTCCAGACTCGATTATTTACAGACCGCCGCCATACAGCTGGAATATTGCACAGTTCGGCGTTAAACTACGCACGCACGCACACATGCACGCACGCACACACACACACACGCACGCACGCACGCACGCACACACACACACACACATACATGTACATACATACGTTGTTGCCAGTGTTCACTCGCCAACTATTCCAGTGTAACCCTGTGACCTATTTACACACATTATATGTATACTTTTATCTGTTTCAGATGAAGAATCCTTGACCTGCTGAGTCAGTGACGTCATTGCCGATCCAGGCTAGGACTTACTGATCTTCACCTACCACTTCCCCACCAAGAGTTGTCTTCCCTTCGCCATGCCCGTGTTTGTTAATGACGACTACCTGTTGTTCGAGGCTGTGAAATGGGGCAAGCGAGACAAGGTCCGCGGACTGTTGTCGTCGGGATGTCACCGTAACCTCCGGGACGATGGAGGCAGGACGGCTGTTCACTGGGCGGCTGAGAGGGACTATCTGGACGTCCTGTATCTCCTCATTGACGAGAAATGGGATCTCAACACTGCAGATGCAAAGCAGCAGACACCTCTACTGATAGCTTGTAATTACAGGCGGGAGAATGTGGCGTCTTGTCTGATAACGCTGGGCTGTGACGTTAACGCTGCAGATATGTCAGGCAACACGCCACTTCACCGTGCTGTTCGCATGGATATCGAGACCGTTGCTGCAATGTTGTGTAAATTCGGGGCGGAGGTTGATAGTAAAAATGGGTCGTGGTGGACACCGTTACACGAAGCTGCAAGAACAGGAAACGAGACGATCGTGAAGATGTTGCTAGAACGGGGCGCTGACGTTAACGCCGTCACAAAGAAAAGTTCAACGCCGTTTCTTACGTCTATATTCTATTACAAAATTGCTCAAAAGAATACTTACACTAGTCTCGACAGCATATTAAAGATGTTTGTCGACTCCCGATGTAGACTTAGCCAAAGCGACGGACAATGGACACCTCTCTCAGCGTCAATCTCCGTTGATAACAGTTTCATCGCCGCCTTGCTTATTTACAGCGGCTGTATGTTCGAGAAGCGGACTAAGTTTTCCCGTAGCCTCCTGGTTGAGGCGTTCACCCGATGTGAACCGTTTGTGAGCAGACTGATGGTGATGGCTGGGTACCAGGTGAACCAGGAAGAGGTGGATATGTGTTCGCGGAGAATCCCCTCATTCTCAAGGACATTCATGAGGCTGGTTGAACCCAACACCGACATCAGTAGTGGGCGTTGTGACCTACTACGCTGGTTACGTGAACAGGCCCGAACGCCCAAAAGTCTCTCAGAGCTGAGTCGAGCTTCCATCAGACATTCCTTGAACTTAGGAGCAGACGACACTTCTATTCTGGACAACATTTATCAGCTGCCACTGCCAGAGTGTCTGAAAAACTTTCTAGCCATGTCAGACTTTATTTCACGGATTTTATGAATGGTTACAATTATTTAGTTAAACTGCTTGGAAAAGAAAGCATACACACGAAGACTGGATGGCATAGGTTATTAAGCCGTTACTAGGCTGTAACCAGTCACCGAGACACTGCATATTCACAGTACAAACCACAGTCATGATACCCGTATTAATTACATCACCATCCATACCATTTCTTCTTAGTCACCACGTAACATGGGTGTATATTTTCCTTTCCTCGGCAGTTCATGTTGTATATGGATGTATTGGTAAGTGGTAGACATGACGTTCTTTAAGTCAATAAGATTCGACTCCGTGTTGTCATTACACATATCAATACGTCATGATGACGTCACCTGCGCTTCCCTTATTATTATTGGATGACAATATCTAATGCACGGACATCCTCGGTCATCAAGTGTACTTTATTTCCTGTCTTGTATAATATATACCCTTGACTCATAGACTCCACCATTTGAAAACCTTCATCTCAGTGTCTCATATTTCTATATAGCTCTAGTCAGAGTTATGACGATGAATGGGTCCAAGGCCCTATTTCACAAAGCAATCGTAACGCTACGCCGTCGTATGTCTTTGTTAAAGTGTGGGAGTTACGATCATCTCAACTCGATGATCGCTTCATGGAACGGGACCCAGGAGAATAATACTCTTGATGACCGAGGATGGAACAGATACGTCAGCTATCCCTCCTGTACAAGGCTAGTCTGTAACCTGATCAAAATACATTCCTTCCCCTGATGCCATTTTGAAAGCAATGCATTAAGTGAACGTATTAGACCATGTGATAACTCAAAATAGATATTTTTATTGTACTGTTTATGTTTACCTTTGTTTCATTTGCGTCAAGTCCATGTAGTTTTGTAGGTTAAGTTTTACTGACTTCATGTATAATCCAGGATTAAGATCGTATTGACATAAATCCAGAATCTTCTTTCCCTAAATATACATATACAGCTCAAACTTTGATATGGATCATCCGATATGAACGTAAATTTATCCCTATCAAAAACGGAGTGGTGTGAGCCTAATTGGACATTGACAAGTTCCTTCTACCACCAAACAGTGTCATGGTTAGCCGTCTTTGAAGAGGTATCCTATATACAATGAACGATGAATACAAGTTGTATAAGTAAGTCTTGGTGTCACGGAGAATCATATTGCCACTGCATAAATATAATGGATTGCGCAAAGAGGTATATGTAAATGTCTGACATTACCTTCCAAGAAGGTCAGAAGTCGTTTAGCTTACATTAAGTGTGTTCATTAGTCAGGGAATATTGAGCTTTTGCTCTGGTTGTTGTGCAATATCATCTATTTTATGAGTGTTGTATTGGCTGTGCATGATGTATTGATACTCAAAGTGCAAGGTGTGAATGCTTTAATCCACAGTATCCCCCGTATGCCCGTTATGTTGCATCAGGAATCTGTACCTTAATGGCTGTACGATGCATTAGGGTGATTGTAGGCTCAATGCTAAATTCTCGTCACGTTAATGCAGTGCGCGTCGACCCGTGATCCGGGATAGAATTGGTCTTCAGTAACCCATGCTTGTCGTAAGCGGCGACTAACGGGATCGGGCGGTCCGACTCGCTGACTTGGTTGACACAGGTCAAGGTGTAGATCGATGCTCATGATGTTGATCACTGGAGTGTCTGGTCCAGATTCTATTATTTACAGACCGCCGCTATATATAGCTGGTATATTGCTGAGTGCGGCGTTAGAAAAATCCCAACCAACCAAAACATTGCGCGTCGGTATTTTTTATCAAATAATTAAAATGAAATTTCCAGAGAAATATTAAACACACTGAAATCCTTAAAAGTACTCCATAAGTGACACTGTATCAAATATCCGGGGTCAGTGTGTGTCCGGTTGTGTCAATATTCTTGCTAATGAAGGAATAAAAAGTCTTCCTTCCGCATGATTTGTTTTTCTATATATAAATAAATGTCAAATCTTCCTACTACCCCCGACCCTTGAAGATCCGGGTTAGAATTGGTCTTCACTAACCCATGCGACGAATAACGGGATCGGGTGGTCAGGCTCGCTGACTTGGTTGACACATATCATCGGTTCCAAATTGCGTCGATCGATGTTCATGCCGGATTACCTGGTCCAGACTCGATTATTTACAGACAGCCGCTATATAGCTGGAATATTGTGAGTGAGTGCGGCGTAATGCTAATATCACTCACTCACTCCTACCACCCTCCTCACTTCTGAGAAAAAATGTGCACGATGAATATATTTTATGCAGCTTTATGCGTGATATGATGTCGAACGCCGCAGTTTCCTTATTGGAAGAAACACCGTATTGTAACGTGAGAGTGGAGATGCTTGTATATGTCAGGATGGATCGAGTTCATATATATGCGTGTCTGTTTGTTGTCTAGGATGTCCTTAAAACTTAGTATTGACTAACATTATCGTTTCCTTGGTTACGATAAATAGCCTGGTACGGTTTGTTGTTAGGATGTCAAATTTAAGCAATAAACTGATTTATCTCTCCCTTTTGTGATTTGTAGTCAATCGTCCATGCGGCAGCAATCACGCACGCTTCCAGTTTTGCTGAGGCAGTGTTATGTTATGTCATTTGACACCACGTTGACATTTAACACCTATTGAGTGAGTGAGGGGGGGGGGGGGAGAGATTACACCTCCGTTGGCAATATTCAAGACTTGTCACGACTGAGGACACGAGAAATGGGCTTCACACATTGAGCCTATGTGGGGAATCGAACCCGGTCTTTCGGCGTGACGAGCGTACGCTTTAACCACTAGGCCACTTTAAGTTAAACTAAACTCTCTTACTCACTGGGATAGAACAAAATAAGTTCTATCAAATCATCTCCGAACATTTGATAAGTCTAACTATGTATAGTAATTCTATCCTTCGAAGAGGCAAGTCTAGATAAGCGGACAGTACAATGAACCAGTCTGTTATTTGTTATTTTGTAGATATTATTATTTAAACATTCATGTTTACCTTAGAGTCTTGTGCAAGTCTAACTCGATGACTGTCGGTGCGGCTTTTATCATCATGCTGTCTGAAAAGACATTTTGGACGATTTAACCATGCAATCCTTGGGACATTTTACAGGCGATTCAGTAAAGTGTTGTATATATATGAGCGAGTGAGTGAGTGAGTTGGGCTTTACGCCGCTTTAGCAATATTCTAGCAATATCACAGCGGGTGACACGAGAAATGGGCTTCACACAGTGTGCCCATGTGGGGAATCGAACCCGGGCTTTTGGCGTGACGAGAGAACGATTTAACCACAAGGCTACCCCTCCGCCCCTGTTGTACAAATGAGGTCAGTGTGGCAGCCAGTGACACAGGCCCTCGTGTCTTTGCGAGGATTAAAGATTAAAAAATTATTATTTTTTTAGATGACACCCGACTCGAAATGCTTCACAGTACAATACGTCATGATTTATTGTATTGTGAAGCATTTCGAGTCGGGGGTCATCTCAATTTATTAAATATTTTTTTTTTAAATCTTTAATCCTCGCAAAGACACGGGAACCTGTGGCCAGTGACGCAACGTCAGACATTATCGAGATGACTGCATCCTGTGGTGAGTTTCACGTTGGTGTATATACATAGAGAATATCTGCCGAGTGTGTTGTCGTAACGTAAGTACTGAATATTGTGAATAAAAGAGACAAAATCCTTTCTATATTCACAAACATTCTCTGTTACAAGTAGCGTCGATGGTAGTAACATCTTAGACTTGCACAAGTCTCTAAGGTAAAATTATTAGTTTAATTTCTAAAAAATCACAAATAACAGACTTGGGTTCTTACTGTCCGCTTATCTAGACTTGCCTCTTTGAAGGATAGAATTACTTTACATCCATGGGCTCAGCATTCAGTACAGCCTTGAAGCAAGGCTAGTAAGATCTCAACAGCATCATATGTTAATGAATCGCTGCCAAGTAGTCGCATAAACATTTACGACACGGAAAAATACCAGGGCCTAGATTTTTTAGGCTCGTAACGCTGTCACTTACGACTATCTTAGCACTAAGAGAGCTTCGAAAATCTAGGCCCAGGGAAATAATTTTTTAGTCCTATGATTTCATTCTTGAAAAGCACCCATTTTCATTCACCAGAGAAACGCGAAAAAATACAGTGTATGGGTATACCGGCCCTTTAGTAAAATAGTGTCTAATGTTTAATGTTTGTTTACATGATCAGTCATACGTCGTGATTACTAGACCACCTAATTAAATAATCCATAGTGGAAGTTCCTCAGTATCCTCTTCCGCTGCCTGAAGATATGCTGAACAACATGAATGGAGGTACGAAATTCACAAAGTTGGGTTTGTCTTATGCTTATCAACAGGTTCTGTTGGATGATGAATCCCGGAAATATGTTACCATCAACACACATAGAGGACTTTACCAGTACACCCGATTGCCATTTGGTGTCGCTTCGGCGCCAGCGCTGTTTCAAAAAGTTATGGATCAAGTACTGCAGGCTCTTCCAGCCACTGGGGATTTCTCTTCCAGCCACTGGGGATTTCATTGATGACCTATATGTTACTGGGCTAAATGATAAACAACATCTGAAACACATTGACAATGTATTTGAACGACTGGATTCTCATGGAATCAAGCTGAACAAATCAAAGTGCTCGTTTCTACAACCGTCAATGGAATACCTTGGTTTCCGGGTTGACAGCAAAGGAATTCATCCAACGAAATCTAAAGTTGAAGCTATCAAAGATGCTCCTCAACCAACAAATCTAACAGAGCTGCAGTCTTTTCTCGGATGCGTGAACTACTATAGGAAGTTCATTCCAAACATGTCCACACTGTCTGCTCCTCTGAATAGATTGTTGCAAAAGGGGGTTGCTTTCGACTAGAGCATTGAACGTGAAGCTGCGTTCCAGAAACTGTGTACCCTCCTGACAACATCTGATATACTTGTGCATTATGATCCCAAGAAATCGCTCGTGTTGGCAACGGATGCCTCCAGTCATGGTATTGGAGCTGTCATATCACATGTCACGATCAATGGTGAACGTCCCATAGCGTATGTTTCAAGAACACTCACTTCTGCAGAAAAGAATTACTCTCAGATTGAACAGGAGGCTTTGTCAATCATCTTTGGCATACAACGTTTCCATAAATATCTATACGGGCGACGTTTTACACTGTACACAGATCACAAGCCTCTGACCAGCATTTTTGGACCCAAAACAGGGATTCCTGTGCTTGCTGCTTCTAGACTCCAGAGATGGGCCATACAACTATCTGCTTATACTTATGACATCAAATACAAGACAACCAAGCAAAACGCTAACGCTGACTGTCTGTCAAGACTTCCTCTGAAAACCACTGATCAGCCACAGACTATGCATTCCTTCTTGACCAGTGAAGCCACAGCAGTTCACACAGCTAAGCTTGAGCAACTGCCCATCACAGCGAAGGAAATGGCTGCTGCTACATCAAAGGATAAACTCTTATCCAGGGTGAAACAGTTCACCATTAGTGGATGGCCTTCAGATGCTGATAAGATTCCAGATCCTGTCCCCTATTTCAGGAAGGATGAACTGAGTCCTGAAGAAGGCTGTGTATTGTGGGGAGTGAGGGTAATTGTACCAGATCAGTACAGAGACAGCGTTTTGGAAAGTCTACATGATGCTCACCCGGGAATAGTGAAGATGAAACCTCTGGCAAGGTTACATGTTTGGTGGCCCAACATGGACATGGACATCGAAACTGTTGTGAAGAGTTGTAAATCATGTCAAAATGTTCAGTCTTCACCGCCGATGACAAGAGACAACCCTTGGATTTGGCCTACGAATCTCTATCATAGTATCCATGTTGATTTTGCAGGACCGTTTATGGGTGAGACGTTTCTTATTGTTGTGGATGCTCGATCAAAATGGCCTGAAGTGATACAAATGAAATCGACATCAACAGCGAGTACTATTCAAGTTTTGAGACGTTTATTTGCATCCTATGGTATCCCGGAACAACTTGTTTCAGACAATGGTCCACAATTCACCCTGATGAATATTCTACATTTCTAAGGAAAGATGGCGTGAAGCACATCCGGTCATCACCCTGCCATCCAAGCTCTAATGGTGAGGCAGAAAGATTTGTTCGAACTTTCAAGTCTGCGATGAAAGCCATGAAACCGAACAGTGGTAGTTTTCAACAAAAGTTGTGCAGGTTTATGTTATCATACAGAACAACCCCTCACACAGCAACGAAGACTACTCCTGCTGAGTTATTCCTAGGAAGGAGGGTTCGAATCCGAATGGATCTGCTCAAACCAGACCTCAACTCACCCATGCAGAAAAACGTGTCATCCAACGGGATCTCCAGTCAAAGACACTTTCAGGTGGGTGTTCCGGTCATAGTGCGAGATTACAGGGGTGGTACTGAAGAGTGGATAAAGGGTGTGGTGCTGAAGACACTTTCAGGTGGGTGACCCGGTCATAGTGCGAGATTACAGGGGTGGTACTGAAAAGTGGATAAAGGGTGTGGTGCTGAAGGCCCTTGGTCCTGTCACATACAGAGTTAAAGTAGAAGACCTGGTGTGGAAGCGCCATGTTGATCAGCTAATTAGTTTGGCAGGTGCGTCGGATATTGTTATGTCAGCTCCGACTGAAGATATCAGCACAGAGGTGAGAAATTCTACCCCAGATGTACAGTTAGAAGTGAACTCGAGTATAGATACAAGTGAGGTAACATCGCCAAGTTCTCCAAGTGATGCTATGCCGTCTGCATTGTATCAAACTACACGTACATATATGACACAAAGGATACCTGGGTCTGAAAGTCCAGTGAGAAGATATCCCACAAGAGAACGGAGAAAGCCATGCAGAGAGACTTTCCTATTGAAATTCCAGTAGAACGGCGTAACTGGTGGCGAAGTGACCTGACGTCCAACTAACCTAGTGTCATGATGACCTCGAGACCTGCAGATATAGGTCAATCTAGGACAGTTAAAAAGTGGGATACAAAGACATTTAAACAAGTTTTTGATTCATTTTAAATTGTTGGTAAAGCCTTAAATGCTCCTTTTTTATTTCAAATTCATGGCTTTAATTTCATTTCATTTTTGTAAAGAGGGGGAAAGTGTAGAATATACAGTTTTGTTTGTTTTATATCAATTTGTAGTGTTTTCGTTCATGTCATTTGGCCAACACAGGACACACCATCAAGCAATCTTCGTCGTTTATTACCAGCCGACCACTACAGGGATACAGACGCGAGCGCGTCACACGCATGAACTGCACGTGCTTTTACGGCATACGGGGAATGCGGTGGCCAGGTTATGGAGGCCAGGTTGCTACAAGAAACAATATGGTTGACAGCAGATATAAAACAAACCAAACTGTATATTCTACATTGGTTCTGACAAAGAGTAATTTAGTGAGATGGATTTATTTTCAATAAACTACAGGCGCAGCGCTCAGGGTGATCTGGTTTATATTATACAAACAACGAATTTAGCTTAAGTGTCACTGAAAATGGTAATCACAATTACGCACAGATGAAGAGTCTAAAATTAATGAGCGAATTTAATCACTGAATCTTAACCTTTGAACAATCTTTCTTCCACATTTCCACGGTTACACTTGTTCCTGAAATCGTAATCATATCCCACACAACGGCAGATTCTGTTACGCAATTTCTTCTGATGAGTATGAGAATATTTACTCTGGATTTTGGTAACATCCAGAGTAATTGCTACATATACTATTACTAGACACCGAGTGACCCTTTCGTGACCACTCGTGTTATTCCGGGACAAACTGAATAGATTACGAAAAGGGGCGAAATGCGTGTGGCTACGTCATATTTAAGAATGAGTGACTTTAGTTTTACGTCGCTTTTAGCAATATTCCAGCAATAACCACGGCGGGGGACACCAGAAATGGATTTTACACATTATATCCACGTGTGGAATCGAACCCGCGCCTTCGGCGTGAGGATCGAACGCCTAACCTTTAGGCTTACCCCCCATCCCCCCACACCCTAAGAAATAACCAATATACCAATCAGTAATCACTTTAATCTGGCTAGGGGGTTGATGATGATTTTAGGGGTGGGATGGGGTGGTGGTTCGCCCATTTTGTTCTGGGGAGGTAGGGGGTGTCATCAATTTTGTCCATAATAATATTTAAAAATTTTGCTTAAAAATATGGGAAGGGGAGGGTCATTAGTTTTGTACATGATATGCAGGAGGGGGAGGGGTCACTTACTTTGTACTTACATTTTGGGGGCGGTCAGTCACATTGTACATGCTTCTCCTTAAAATCATCATCACACCCCCACCCCTATGACAATGACAATGACAATACTTTATTACCCGTGAGGGAATTCTTGTGTAAAGTACAGAGCTAAAACATTGTGATAAAATGATTACATTATGTTCATACAATAAATAACACACATATAACACGCTAACAAGGTAAGACAGACGCTAGGAATCATTTAAAAGATTAATATTGGCAGGAACAAAGGATTTCATGGCACGACTGGATTCAAAACGGGGTAAATTATAACGGCGCCCAGAAGGCATACTCATAGTAGATGGGATGATCTGGATCAGATATAATCTTACAGGCTGACTTGAGAACTCTTTCTTCATATATTTCATTTAGGTTAGCAAAAGATACACATGCAATTTTTCTGGCTAATATAACTATTCTGGTGTGACGTTTTTGGTTTTTAAGGGACAAGGTTCCATACCAGCATTGTACAGAAAGAGCCAGAACGCTCTGTATAAAGCACTGATAGAAAAGACACATAGTTGATTGATTAACATTGAAAGATCTCAATTTGCGCAAGAAGTGTAACCTTTGTTGACACTTATTGAATATAGCATCTGTGTTTACATTAAAATTCAGTTTCTTATCAATATATGTACCAAGATACTTGTATTCATTTACGGTTTCAACAGGTTCATTGTTAATTATAACTGGCAACTTGGTGTTCTTCTTAGTTCTGAAGTCAATAATAAGTTCCTTAGTTTTCTTCACATTCACTTGAAGATAATTATGTTCACACCATGATACAAAGTCACTTATATCATCTCTATAATGCTGTTCATCCTCATTCTGTATAAGCCCTACCAGGGCTGCATCATGCGCAGCCATAAAGTATGAACGGTCCCTAAGTCTGGCCCTCTGAATATCGATGTAAACCTCTATGGATATCAGTTGTGTTTAGACAAAAATAAAAAAAACCTTACATCTTTTGATAGTTAGATTTTGACACATGCCTTACGTGAAATGAGGTATGACGTCACATCGGATGTGACGTGTTTACCTGTGACGTCACAGTAATCTCCAACATGGCTACTGAATAGACCGGCAGCAATGGGTTCCAGGAACCTGCTACTACCATAATCTAGCACGAATTATGTCTGGAGCTGGCGGCCCTGCCAATGATGACAGCTCGGTCAGGCGAGGGGAAAGTCGCTCGAGCCGCCGGTTCCAGATTCTTGAAGCACAGGGACTCATTGTAGGCAAAACACTGGGAAATGGCTCGTACGCTTGTGTGAAAGCCGCCTACGACGTAAACAAGAAAGCTAAGGTCGCCATTAAAATCATATCCAAGAGAAAAGCACCCGAGGACTACCTCACGAAGTTTCTTCCGCGGGAGATTGAAGTCGTCCGGATATTGCGTCACCCAAATCTTATCAAGTTTCATCAAGTGATTGAAACAACTACGCGTTTTTTCCTCATTATGGAAATCTCTGAAAATGGCGATCTTCTAGAACACATCCGTAAGAGGAGAGTGATTGAGGAGAAACTGGCAGGGAGGTGGATGAGGAACCTTCTGGACGGGATCTGTTACATGCACAGCAAGGGAATAGTCCACAGGGATCTCAAGTGTGAGAATTTGTTGGTGGATAACAACTTGGAGCTCAAGGTTACAGATTTTGGTTTCGCCAAAAGGTTGTTCCGGACCAAAGGGAATGAAGTTGTTCTGAGTGAGACGTATTGTGGAAGCTATGCTTATGCACCCCCTGAGATCCTCAAAGGCGCCCCGTACAACGCTTATTGTGCTGAGGTCTGGAGTATCGGGGTCGTCCTTTTCACGATGGTAATACTGAGTCATTTGACATGGGTATCGTAGGTTTTCGGATGCCATGCGTTTTGTCGCTATAAGGGAGGCGGGTTGCGCTACAAAGACATTCTAAATATTCCGGTGATGGCTTGTGATTGCGATAAAGTTGTCTTTCATAAATTAGGGACTTGTTTATCGAGAAAACAACGGATTGTTCGTAAGTGTCAACACTACTGTACTCATTACAGCATCTGCCATCCGAAAACATAATACGACAATATCATGACTTGACAGCTGGAAACCTATATACCACTCCAGCTGGCTATTAGTGAATAATACTGAATATCTATCACACTTCCCAGATCAATGTTCATAATGGCAATCTCTTGAAAGTCTCCAATGTCAGATTTTGCATCAGCTGGAATACTGCTGAATGCTGTGATTGATTGGAAGGTTAAACATTTTTATACTGACTCAATACCTTGATTCCCAACAAAAGTAGTTAATCTGTATGTGTTTAAATTAAAGAACCCTACCTAGACCTGTAGTTTATCTAAAAATGAACCAAGCTCATCTATTAAATTTGGCAAAATTTCTGGGGTTTTATTATCTATATTAACCATTGTAATGTGTCAAATGTATACCTTTAGGTGGCAGTGAAATAATATTGTGGTATTGATATCCATAAATTTGTATCAATATTTGAAAACAGTAGGGACAGGTTGAACCAGATAAATCCTGTACAGAGCATCAGGTCGATGTACTCATTATTACTATGATACACAGTCAACCATGGTTGTAACAAACTCAAAGGGACCACCAAGTTTAGTTGTTACAATATAGTTTGATAAACCACTACAATATACCAAAAACAGTTTGTTATAGCAATTAGATCATTATAAGTGCTACACTGTTTACTGGTACAGAATCTTAAAAAGGTGTAAAAGAAATATTGGAAGAAAATACATCAACACCTGAAAAATCTTGAGTATGCCTTTTGCTTCAAGAGATACTTTTGAACTTAGCTGTCTATCATCTGCTTTTTATCCTATCATAGTGTTTAGAACTTTTCTTCAATCAGAAACCAAATCTATTTAGTCATCTTGCTTATTTTTTCATAGTGTTTAGAACCTTTTTTTGACTTTCAACAGAACAAATCATTTATACTCAATGTGGTCTGGTGATTTATCAACCAGTCATCTTGCTCTTTATTTCCAAGTGTTTAGAACCTTTCTTTGATGTTCAACAGAAACCAAATCCATTTGAACTCAGTGTGGTCTAATTATTTCCGAAACAGTCATCTTGCTCTTTATTTCCAAGTGTTTAGAACCTTACTTTGATGTTCAACAGAAACCAAATCCATTTGAACTCAGTGTGGTCTAATTATTTCCGAAACAGTCATCTTGCTCTTTATTTCCAAGTGTTTAGAACCTTACTTTGATGTTCAACAGAAACCAAATCCATTTGAACTCAGTGTGGTCTAATTATTTCCGAAACAGCTATCTTGCTTCTGTTTCCATAGTGTTTAGAACTTTTCTTTGACTTTCAAGGAAACCGATTGAACTCAGTGTGGTCTAGTTATTTACTAAACAGTTATCTTGCTTCTGTTTTCATAGTGTTTAGAACTTTTCTTTGACTTTCAACAGAAACCATATACAATTGAACTCAGTGTGGTCTAACTATTTACCAAACCACCCTCTTGCTCCCTTTTTTCCAAGTATTTAAAACCTTTCTTGATCTGCACCAGGTTTATGGCAGATTGCCATTTGATGACTCTGACCACAAGAAACTGCTGAGGCAGGTACAGGCAAAGGTGATGTTCCCCTCCAAGCCAGAAGTGTCAGAGAACTGTCGCATCCTCATACTGAAGATGCTGACCAAGCCCAGTGACCGGATACCTGTAGCGAATATAAGGTAAACACTGTCCGCAAACCTTGGATCACCTGTCTGATGTCACAGCTGATGTCATACATTTGTCTGGATTTCTGACAAACTTAATATCATTATAATCTGTTTCTCATTGCTAACAAGGCTTCCAAGCCAGAATGTATCTGGTTCTCATCACCCTGGTAGATTGTACATTTTGATGGTAGAATGATGTAACAAGTGAACATTTTGCCGGGACATTGCATGATGTTATAGAGGTAAGAAAAAGGTCAGCCAAGCAAATTGTTGTTTTGTTGCAACCAGTCAGTAAAATATGGAGGTTCAGAGAGCTTTGAAAAATTTATCAACTTGGGAAGGTGGTTATGCTTAGGAAATATTTAAAGCTGCCACAGTTTCACGCTGTATCTTTACAGTTTTTAGTTCATGACAAAAGTAGGCTTAGCAGATTTTATAAAAGAACCCATGATCATATGGTTCCTGACCGTCCAAAGGGATGTAACTATGAACAGTGGTGTCTGAGCTGAAATCATTGTATGGACCAGGTATCTATGGTGACTCAGTGTCCTGTTTATATAGGAATTACTCTAGGATGATGCCACAGTGTTTCAAGTACATGTACTCACAAAAGATGATGCGACTGAATTACTTAAGGTGGAGGATTTGGTTCAGAGAGAACCACTGTAGCCTTGACATATAGCAAGGTAGAGAGTTCAATGGCTAGGATTCACAATCATATACATCAGCATTAACAGATTGCATACCTGGTATATAGCCTAACTTTGAGTGTGAAGTGTTAGCCACTAGGGTGAAGCCAAGTAAAATTCTGTTCTGTTGAGTTAGCATGGTAAGGTCAATAAATGCTACTCTGTATAATCACATCCAAATCTTCTGGAAATGTGGGACAGGTTCATGCTTGTAGTTTCATAAGTTTTTGGCACAAGACTTAATGGGGGCGGTGGGGTAGCCTAATGGTTAAAAGCGTCGGCCTTTTCGACCTGGGATCGAATCCCCACATGGGCACAATGTGTGAAGCCCATTTATGGTGTCCCCCACCGTGATATTGCTGGAATATTGCTAAAAGCGGCGTAAAACCCAACTCACTCACAAGACTTAATGAACAATTTCATAACACTATTTCACTGCTTGAAAACTGGTGACATTTCTTTGTTGACTACTAGTGTTATAATTATGTTGATGTCATCTCTGTTGGAAGTCTTGTGGACTAGTGAAAATAAAAGCTAAATATTTTTTTTACCCTGTTTAGGTTTGATTGATTACATGGATAATCTCGTAGATTATTTCAATATTCAGGTTTGATACATGGTACAAAACCCTGTGTGTACTTCCGGATGAACCTCAGACAAGCCCAAACAAGGATATCCACAGTCTGCCGTCTGCTCCACAACTGCCTGATCTGGAGTCAAGAGGCTCCACTGCAGCAACTATAGACACACTACCAGAAGAAGCTGATACAGTAGCTAAGGTCAAGGCACTGGGTCAGATGCTGTCTCAAGAGCAGAAGACTGGAGGTCAGAATCCTGGCTGGACAATCAGTGATGAGAGTGTCACTTAATTCCTTTGTATCAGTTGGTAGAAAAGTGAAATGATGAGAAGGAGGGATAGAGATGTTAGGCTTTAGTTTCTGGGCCAGATAATCAGTGATGAGAGTGTAATGTCTGATACCAAATTGGGGAAAGGTGGGATTGGTTTGTTTGGTACATGGTCAGTGGTTTGTTCAATCTGTAAATCCTGTGAATTCATATTTGGGGAAATGGGTCCAACTATTTTTTTGTGGTTGAAGATATGCTCACAAAAATGAGTGAAGAGCTGCTGTCTGTAAGTTTATTTGTCTGTTGAATATTCAGAGTTATTTTATAAAATACATGTTGCATTTGTTGCATAGGATATCAAACACAATGAAATCAGTGTTGTTGGTGGTCTGTAATTACAAATACACTTTGAATACCCCTGTTACATACAAATGTAAATCTTAATGAACATTTTCTAAGATATTTGTTGATGTAATTATTGTGGAAGTTGTAATTTTTAGTGAATATTGATTGAAACAAACGGTGGTCCTGGTGGGAATGTAATCCAGTTTGGCAGACTAGTTTTCAACATTGATATCATACAATTTGATAAAGGTTATTTATTAGTTATGGATTTAAAAACGTTGACAACATTAGTCTTTGTCGTTGTACTGTAATCATGCCATTGTCAAAATATTATCCTGAAACCCTGTACAAAGAAAATACAGAATATTCACTGGTATCCATTACACGTGGAGTATTTCTGTTATGGGACATCAAATTAAAACTTTAGAATTACATTATTTTTCTTTTTTAAATGTATATTTCCATTACAATTTGAACTAAAAAAACAAGAGCATGAGCAGTGTAGGAAAGATAGCCTGTCCCAACGTCCGAGACGGGTGAATTTTGTGGAGGACGGGTTAAAAAAATATCTAGTCCGTCCTCGTGTCGGGTCAATTTTAGCAAACCAATGACATATATATAATGATTATAACCTTTTTGAATATTTACTGCCGAAGGTGTTTTATTTATATTTGGAGGACAGGCCAGATTTTGGCAGGACTGGTAAAAAATTTGACCTGCCAGTCCTGTGGACAGCCTAGATTTTCTACATCTTTCCTACACTGGCATGAGTAGTCCTGATGCGACCTATTCCAATAATTAACATGTTCAGGGATCATAATGTGTCCTTGTTTTGACACTAATGTTAGGAGTGAGTGAGTAGCCTGGAAATTTTAGTCCATTTACTAACGATAATTGCTGAAGTACCATTAAAAAAACAACTAATATTTTAACAGTCTATTCAACCCACTTCATGTGTTGCGTTAAGCCAATCATGATAACTGGTACCTAAGCTTTAGACATATATTTAAGAAAGAGAAATAGGTGTACATGCCATTGAACTACAACAGGGTGTGCAACATATCCATATAAAGGAGCAGTATTTATGGCAGCCAACACATCATCCCCATTTTTTCAAAAACAATTTGCGTCAAGAATAGTATTCAGGAGAGGTAATAAATTTTAACATTTTGCATACAATGACTGCAGCACAAACTTCTATATATTTAACATCTCTTATCAAAACAAGTGTCCAATTAATGACATGCTCTAAGACCTACACAGGGAGTGGAGGTATACTTTGTAGTCTATTTCTGATGATGTTAGTGGCCGCAAATATGAAACGCTTGTAAATTCTTGAGCTTTAGAAGTGGCCCACAGCAGCTCATACAGAGCGAGAGTTAGTCAGTCTCACAGTCCCTGAACCACATAATTTTTCCCTACTGCCTAGCCCTCCCTGCAATGCTAAAGCCCTACTAAATAAAGACTGACTTTGACCTTGACATAAATGTCATAGTGTATGAAATATGCAAAAATGGTACTAAAGAAATTGCTTATTGAAAAATATTCAAGGGAAGTCTTGAAAGTCTATGAAGAAAATCCAGTGGATTCAGGTTAACATGTTATCATGAAATTATGTGAAGGTCACCAAAATCAACTGGGCCTTGCACTTTCCCTAGATGAAGCTTGGTGTCAAATATGAAGAAAGTGCAATGAATGGTTCTGAGATATCTCGCTGACCATCTTAACATGAAGGTTAACACACTGAAATCTTCAAAGTGTCACTGTGACCTTGAAAATTCAAATCCACTCATTTTCTGCCACTCAAGTTTTCCACGTGATCTTCTACGTAGTAGCCATTTCTGCGGAACAATAGAGGCTATCAAATGCCTCTTGCGCCTATGAGCCCGAAACGCCCTCCAAAGCCGGTTCTACCCACTAACCAGGTACTTTCACAGCCAGGAACGTTTGGCGTTGGCATGGTGAAGGTGGCGAATGATGAGGGTTGTGACATATGATATCCTTTAGGCAGGATGATAGGGTTGTCTCTGAAACGTCCATCTTTAAGCATTTCGGCCTCCTCCAGCGCGTGGCAAGCAACATGTTCGTCATTATTGGGGTGACTAAGGCTCCTGAGTCCGGACCTGGATTTTGGAAGATTCTTGCCAGCTTGGAGGCATTGGATTTTAGAAACATGCATATTATCCATCTGTGCTTGACAGATAATAGTGTGTTCAGTTTCTTTGATGATTCCAGGGATATGCCAGAAGTTTACACATGTACCACCCACGACACTCTGTGGCGCAGAGAATGATCGTTACAACATGTTTGAGGTAAGAGAAGCTGCTGCCCTCTAGCGGGGGCTGGATCCATGAGGGAGAACTTCTCCGCGGAGGTGGAAAGAGCACAGTGAGCCGGTTTTACCTCCTTGTCCTCTCTATGGCTGCACAAGTGGAGTACTGTAGTGTGTTATTCGTCAGTTTTACACTTTTTGGTCCATTTGCTACGCACTGCCTTGCATGCTCCGCTTGGAATTACACCTCTGGTACCTTCATCAGCTGGGTTCATATCAGTTGAGACGTATGCCCGCTGCCAGGGGTTTATGAAGTCCGCCAATCTTGTCAACCCTGTTAAGCCATGGGCCTTAGGGCCGTGGAATGATTATGGAGGTGCCCAAGCACAACTTGACTGTCTGTAGAGAACCTCATGTCTGGCCTTGGGAATGTCTAACTCCTTCTCGATGATCTGTCCTATTTCTGTTGCGCCAGAAGTGACAAAGTTCAAGTCTATAGGTATCCTGTGTCCATGTTCGCGGGAGCTACAGCTGCTTTCCAAGAAGGAAAGTGTATCTGCTTTCACCAGCTACATTGTATATCTTGAGGGTATGCCTACAGCTGATATAGCAAAATCTTTATAGGAAAAACTCAGAGAAGATACTGGCATCTCTCTCATTTGGCTCTCCCGATGAGTCGAGATCTACATAGCCTGAGATCAGGATTGAGGATGCTGTCTAGAACCTTAGTGAGTATCTCCTGGAGTCCGCTAGGTGGTTGGTGCTACCGGGGAGGATTAATCCCTGTTGTGGTAGTAAACAGGTCTCTGAGTAGAAATATACCCATGCTTCAACCCAATGCAGGCGGCAAAAAGCCAAAGAGATTAAGGCACAAGCTGTTGATGGTGGAAAGTACTCCCTCCGTGGTATTGTCGCCATTTCAGTATCCATACGAAAGGTGAAAGGAGAGTCTAAGCTGATGTCTTAGTATAGTCAAGACTCTTCACACGGGAGATTTGCTTTTAGATTCCGTTTCCAGTTTGAAGTCATCCTTCAAGATCTAGACCCGGAGTCTTCATTGTTGAATCGTTTGAGGAGTTCAGGTTTGTTTGATGCAATCTTGTGGAGTCATAGATTCCCTTCCTGTTTCAACGTATCTGCTGGAAGTCGCTCTAAGGAGAATTAGGCGGACTCAACATCTGGAAGAGGCGATCAAACCATAAGTAGAGCGTAAAAGTTTCATTTGAAGCGAGCTGTTTGGCGGCGTCTGGTACAGCCTGCTTGGTTTTCTCGGTGCATGTATTTTGCAGGAGAGGGTGAACTCCCCAACATGAACTTAGTAGTCATATAATTGATACGATGGGAGGAGGTTTGGTAAAGTCGTTATCCTCATACCGCGAAACCCTCAGGTACCTGCGATGGTGCAATTCTACCTACGCTTTGAAGTAAAACGTTTGTTCAATGTCATGCGGTGATTTACAGCGTCATGAAATTCCGAGAAACCTCATTAGGACTCCGGGGAGGTTGTTTATTAAATCGGGCGGACGTTAAAGGCGGCTGTTCAGCGATATGCCATCCTGTTTGGCAGAGGAGTCAAAACACCTCGAATTTGGCGGGTTTGCTCTTTATTGTACGCATGGTAAATGAGGGAAGAGTACCATGCCTCTTCACCTTTGACCCTAGATGGGGCTTTCTCAGCATGTCCACGAACGATGATTTCTCTCCATGAAAGTTAACATGTGTTCACGTTTTGTCTGCATTCATCAACATGCTGTTTGGCGCAGTAATGTCGACTCTCCTCTCAACTTGAGGTGATGATTGTCAGGCAGTTTCTTTAGTCCTCTCTCCCTGGAAGGGAAGAGGAGGCGGTCCAATTACGAGGAGTCTGTTTTCTCATACCTTCTTTAGCACCATGAATTCTCTGTCTTCTCGCGAGGGCCTGGTTGATTATCTGTTGGGGTTTCTTGAAGATTTCTAGAGTTTCCTGATCAGATATCTCCGAGACTGTTGATGTAAATTAGGGACATGGATTCATCAATATCGTGAAGGTCTATACCCCGTCTTTAAAGCGTAGAAATCTTGTTGGCGTTCACTTTTGTCACGTGGAACTGCACCCAAGGCGCTTTTCACCTATAATAGTCCATCCTAATGTAGCAGGCTTCTGTGCAAATGGGGAGTTAAAACTTCCCGCGATTAAGTTGATCAATCCACGCGATGTAATGCGTAAGAGCAGATCTCTCAACCAGTAAAGCCCTACTAAATAAAGATGGCTTCGGAGTGAGGGATCTTTGACCTTGACATAAATGTCATACCCATGTGTATGAAATATGCAAAACCTCTCCCTCAAACATGGTGCGTCGCTAAAGAAATTGTTATTGAAAAATATTCAAGGCTTTCGTAGTCTTGAGTAAGACTCTGCTATCTGTACTTTAAGAAAATCCAGTTTAGTCCCACTTGATTTTTTTCTCTCGTGGTTAACATGTTATCAAAATTAAATGAAGGTCACCAAAATCAACTGGGCCTTGCACTTTCCCTAGATGAAGCTTGGTGTCAAATATGAAGAAAGTGCAATGAATGGTTCTGAGATATCTCGCTGACCATCTTAACATGAAGGTTAACACACTGAAATCTTCAAAGTGTCACTGTGACCTTGAAAATTAAGTGAAGGTCACCAAAATCAACTGGGCCCTGCGCCTTCCCTGTCAAATATGAAGAAAATCCAGTGAATGGTTCTTGAGGTATCTTGCTGACAAGCATAACATGCAGGTTATTATGCTGAAATCTTCAAAGTGTCGCCATGACCTTGAAAATTAAATGAAGGTCACCAAAATCAACTGGGCCCTGCACTTTCCCTAGATGAAGATTGGTGTCAAATATGAAGAAAGTGCAATGAATGGTTCTGAGATATCTCGCTGACCATCTTAACATGCAGGTTAACACACTGAAACCTTCAAAGTGTCACTGTGACCTTGAAAATTAAGTGAAAGGTCACCAAAATCAACTGGGCCCTGCACCTTCCCTAGATAAAGCTTGGTGTTGAATATGAAGAAAATCTAGTGAACGGTTCTTGAGATATCTCGCTGACAAGGGTAAAAAGTTAAAGTCCCTTGTGACCTTGAAATTAAGGTCAAGGTCACCAAATCTGACTGGGACCTTTCTTATACTGTGATGAACCTAGGTACCAAATATGAAAAGAATCTAGTCAACGGTTCGTAAGATATTCCAATTCGTATGTACTATATCCCCCGCTTCACGCTAAACGAGCGGCGGGGGATAAATATATTCAGATATACAGTTAGTGAGAGTGACCTCCATTTAGTAGAAGCTGCATTCAATGGTGACAAATTCAGTGTAATGAGGACTGCTATTTCTTGCTGCTGCAATATATTTGACCCACTGCATTGGCCTTTATGATTATAAACCTAATCCTGTATGTTTCATTATAATCTGTTAACAATTCATCAATCTTTTGTGCCTATTTACTTATTCCACAATGTAGTTCTGCACAAGCCGATTTCTGGGTTAACCTTCTTTCAACACAATCACTTCAAATTGTGTTATATGAACATGGTGTTCAAGTTGAACTTGCAGTCAGTACCACAATCTAACCATAGCAAGCTCAATACGAATAAGCGTGAATGTAACATACATAATAACAACAAAATACATTATTTTATCATTGAGTTTATTATCCATGAGCACCTGGCTGTGAGAAATGTTGAGACGATTGTTACACTTGTAACCTCTTCCATATTGAACACACTGCCCGTAGATGGTTTCAGCACTGAAGCACATCCTACTGACACAACTTGTCACAAGAGTCCTTATCTCAGAAGTCGTGGACAAAAAACATTCTTCATACTGACAAAGATGAAGATAGTAATTCTTACTTTATCATGTGTTATTTATCAAGTTTTTGTACAAATAATATCAAACTTTAGGATGCAGACAAAACCTCGAGGAATAGATCTCAATCATGTAAATACATATTAATACCAATAGACTCAACTGCAACTTGAGACAACACACGTGAAAGAAATGTGTAAGCATGTGTTAACCAAGGATTTCATAAATGCACTATGATTCAACAAGTAGGACCCCATATATACAGTATGTACAATATACAATATTTACATGTGATCTATCTGAAACTGATTAATAGGCAGTGACCGATTACAATTTTTCATATTCTTTACACACTGACAATATATAACTCTCCTGACACATTTGGCACAATTCAGTGTCTGTACCTCTTGTATCATCAGTACAGCTTAGGACACAATGATACAAACAAGGTCATTTCGATTATACAAATATTAGATAGGGCATCAAGTGGAAATTGTAACATCTGTCATGTAGAAATAGAATGACCATAATCCATATTTGGCAGCCCAAATGTCATATTGAATGAGTGAGTTTGGTTTGGTATTACAGTTTTATTACGGCATCTTAGCTTAATCTGGGAGGGAATTCCGAAGTTTTGTCAATTTCAGTATATGTTTTGCAACAGAATCTAGTTCCAAGGATCAAATAAAATTGGTTGAGAATACTAGTTTGGGAAAAGTTTAAGCCTCTATTTAACCATGAGAAACTAAAAGAATAAGATGAGTAGATATGTCCCATAGTTTCTCATAAATAAAAATGATAAGATTGGATACTACTGACAAAGAAAAAGATCAATGAAAAGAAGCTTGAAGTGTTTGTGTACTAAGCCATGTACACTTTTAACCTTTGTGTGCATTAGAATTGATATCAAGGAAATTCATAGAAAACTCAAACTGAAATTATATCGATAATATAAAGTTGAAGCTGTATGAATGTACAATTTCATAAAAGAAAGATAAGCCATTTTATCTGTGTTTATCTTGAACTTATCAAACTGATCTGAGAACTAGATATTCCTCATAGGGATCTTCTAATCTAAGCTCTGTATCACAGCATGGATTGTATCATTTTATACTGAGGGAACTAAATAAGGGAACACATGAAAGCACAAGAGTTCCTTTATTCTTTTCCAGGCTTCTTCACAAGCTTTGTATCACACTGTGGGTGAGAATCTGAGAATACATAGAGGAACACTGCGATGAAGTGGTGTTCCCTTATTTGTTTCCCTCAGTATATTACTTTAACCAACACTGCCATTTGGATGTCAAAATGTGAGTGTTGCCAAACAGTGATATACTACAACTTCTACAGTCAACCCCGACTATAAAAGGAAACAAACATAACACAACTAGATGTAGATTGGAAATCAAGCAATTAACAAGATATATTCTTGACAATAAACAAAATATAGACAAAAAAAGACAATAAACAGAATATAGACAAAATAAAGGCAATAAACAGAATCAACAAATACATGATTGTATGCATGTAAGATAATATGATTGTACAGTAACAAAAGAGAAGTTTCTGGGGAAATAGTATTCTGCAGAAATTAACATCTGGGATTTCAAATGGGATTCCAGTGAAAATTTTCAAAGATGATACCTGGTAATATAAAATGAAAATACAAAATTGATGTGCCAGACTTGTCTCTTGTATAGTGCTCAAAAGCTAGGATTTCTAAACTACTTAAATTGACTGTACATGTCAAGTCAGCACTGTAAGATTGGATAATTGAGAAACAATATTCACGGTAGCCAAGGCAACATTACACATAGCATATCTTTTGCTATTATTCACTGGGCAGGTTAGTGAGTGAGCAAGTATGGTTTTACAACACTTTTAGTAATATTCCAGCAATATTATGGTGGATGACACCAGAAATGGGCTGAACACACTGTACCCAAGTGAGGATTTGAACCCAGGCCATCGGCTTGACAAGTGAACACAATAACCACTAGGCTACCCCAATGGGCGGACAAATCAATTTCAGTGTTGCCACTGAGCTTGAACAGTCTTAAAACACTTGCATCATAGGGTACCACATAAGGATGTTGGTTGATCGTCATACAAAATGTCCCAAGATGTATTTTCCTAATTAGAAAATAAATAAATAAAATCCTATTAAAGACTGATAAAAAAAATCTATTGCCATTTGTCTCCAGACAATCACAGCATCAATAATACCTATTTGTTAACACAATGAGTTTGCTAAAGACCTACTTTTTTCAAGTTTGATAGGATATTCTGTAACATTAACAAACACTAAAATATGCAGAACACATGGGATGAAAATGAGTCCATGTCCTAGACCTGTACCAGGGCGAAGAAGCAGAGATGGTAGCCATGGTAACATCAACAAGATCTGCTGTTGGATATATTGTGTGGTGGGGGAAAACAGAATTTAAACATGATCATGATGATGAGCTTTGAAATTACTGAGAAACATGAGACAATTATTAAGGGAAATATACCAAAAGAATGACCAATTTCTAACACTTTCTTATTGCAAAATACAAGGATTCTGTGATTCAAGATTTACAAATTTCTTAAATTAATTTAACACAAACTTTTCGTATCATAATAGGAGAATTATAAAAACATATATTGAAATAACGTGATCGTCAGAGCAAAATCATAGCAATATACATTTACTGAATGCCAAAACCCTATGGTAATAAAGCTAACAAACCTGAAAGAAACACAAATCCCATCACAACCAAGTACATATCCCAATAGAAACTGCACCTATATGTTTGGTCGTTACGGAAGCCCATCTGCAGTGCTAATGCCTTCACAAATAATGTCCTATTTGCATGTCTTGAAGAGAGTGCTGTGGTGTTGAGACATTTATACAGAAAAATACCTTCAGTCAGGCCAAAAGTTTTCACCTGGACAACTGTGCGTGATACATTTGTCTTCTGCGTTCTCCAAGCCTTATATAAATCTGTTAACATTTCTAGGTATTACAAAGACAATCAAATCAACATCAGAACACTGATGTACTATATGAACCCATTAAACATCTACCTTTTTTACCCTAAGATAAAGCTTGAGGTTCTCTCACCATGTTGAAGCTTATATACAACAGCGGAAATTTTAAGGATTGTCTACTATATACTTTTATGTAATAGGCATTACAAAAACTGTATCCCTCATTTTCAAACAAAACACATTTGGTTTTGTTAACAGTTACATAGTCGTAATGAAAGACATGAAACATCACATGTTTTGTAAGTGGCCAAGGACAATAGAAACTAGACTACACTGTTTCCTCAGGATAAAATCAGTACATCTGAAAACCTGGAGAAACATTCAGCATTCTGGTACAACTTTTCCACAAGTCTGTGGACATCCATAACCACTGGGCTACCCCACTGGGCAGTCAAGTCAATCCTAGTGAGTTTGAAGAGACATCTATTACATATCTAATACTAAGTTCTAAGTCACTGTGGATATTTCCCAAAGATATGTGGAAGTTCAGGATATATGAAAATAAAGATTGTGTGTGCGTAACGTTTTCACTGACGTTTATGAATACATGGTCGCTAGTGTTATTAGTACATCACTTGTTATCACCACTCTGACATAATATATTTGACACGGTCACTCAACATTAAGTGTGAACAGAATGCTGAGCTTTTGACAAACAGTGGTTCGATTCTCACTGAGTCACCCAAGGGAGATAACTCTACAGACAATGTAACCCTCATTATTGTATTAATATAATAATTTCCACACATTAACACAGTCTAAACTGGTTGTAATATATTCAGTAGATCATGGAATTTCTCAGATCTTATTTGAAATATGAACATGAGATCCATGTTCTAAGGATGTAATTCTTGTGAACATGTCAGAGAAAGTTTCAGGGGAACTTCTATTCAGGGCTTATTGCACATGGATACAGACACAGCCAAATATGGCCTATCACAAACTTTCCATCAATTAGTGATATCATTAACACTTAACACTCAGTAATGTGGATTTCAAATTTCCACCACACAGTTCTGTATGAATGAAAAAAGAGTTTCTCCAGCATGCTTTTTCATTCACAAACTACCATTCACCTTGAATGAGAAAAACATGATGTATATTTTTTGTTTTGCCTTTTGACATGCAGTTTTTCAGCACAAAATAATTTTGGGTGGAAATAACACTATGATGACGATGACTGTAATATGGCAAAACCCATCACAAGAGTTTGCTTGTATTCTTGAACTGGGAGACAGATATCAGTAATTAGATTCACAAATCGGGTTCCAGTTCTACAGGTAATCTGACCCAGGTGAGAATAGGACAATTACAGTTTTCTGATGAGCGGTCAAGCCAAGGCACAAGTCACTCTCCGTGTAGAAAACAACATGGTTCACAGCTCCTCTGCATGATTCAGACACATGCAACCGATCACAATGTTCACAGTTTTCACCTGCAGTTATATCCCAGAATCAGTTGGCATTGACAGCTGGGGGTTGTTGTGGGACAAGGGAGGTGATGAATGTTGACACAAAGCACCACACCATTGCAATAATGCCCTGTCACGCTTCCTGCACTGGTTGGGCGGTTTGTTCGGGGATGTCCGGGGTTGAGGCAGCTTCTCGGGCTTCTTCAGCCTGCAAGGGTGAATAAATGGGTTAAAGAGATACAGTGAGTTAAATTTCACTGCTTATTCACCCTGAAAGTGGTTTGAGATTGAAATCAATATATTTATTAGGCAGTTAAGTATGCTGAACTGAACTGAGATGAAAAGGCCATTTGATTAGGGACTTGGTATGGGTTTCATAACAAAAACACAGGGTAGTGAAATGTCTACTGTAGTACATTATTTTGATACATCCTTCTGAGAAGGGCATACATAGTATATGGTCAAAAACAATTCCAAAGGGGAAAAAAACAAAACCAGTCCTTTCATACTCCAACTCTTCCAAGAGCCATTTCTACATGTGCCTGGATTGTCCCTCAGATGAATACTCTGAATATTTTTCCAAATTATGCTCTGTGTCTCCCAAACTTGTGACAGTCATCAGGCTTAGAGTGAGTTAGTTTAGTTTTACGCCACTTTTAGCAATATTCCAGCAATATCACATCGGGGGACACCAGAAATGGGCTTCACATGTTGTACCCATGTGCGGAATTGAACCAGGGCCTTTGGCGTGACGAGCGAACGCTTTAACCACTAGGCCACCCCACCGCCCCAACAGGCTTAGAACAGCACATGGCACATATCACTAATGAATTCCCTTCCTGCACGCACACACACACACACACAGTACATACTTTCATCAAATATTTTGAACACAATCTCAAACATATCCAGTCTTATTAGGATGAAAATGTTCCCAACAAACACTGCCTTGAATGTAGGATGACAGATGACCTAACTAGTACTAGTATTTTTCTGTCACTCTTGCATAAATGTGACATTCCAATTCAAGCCTCGGAATCTTCACTTACTTTCTCAAACACACTAGACGGAATAAACACTGCTGCTGAAGCAATATATACAAGACACAACAACTACCTGTGGATTCTCCGCTGGATTTGCCTGTTGCTGCTGCTGTGGCTGTTGCTCTGCTTCCTGTGGTACGACTTCTGGTGCTGCCTCAGCTGGCTGCTGTTGTCTCTGAGGTGGATTTGGATTTCTTCGGATATTTAACCAGCCCTTTTGTAAACTGAAAACAAAGCAATATCATGTATAGGAGTATAAAATGTTTGTTTTTTTATCTAAAGTTTTCATTGGATTAGATGATTTTGTCTGTTTGTTTGTTGTTTAATGCCGCACTCAGATGTATTTCAGTTCACATCTGAATTGTCTAAAGGGATTTCAGGAAAAGGCACATAATACTATGAATGTTTATGTTTTCTGAAGATACTAATGCCCTTGCAGAGGTATGTGCATTATGCTCATGTGCGCACTATACCCTGGTAAATATTGCCTGAAAGTCTTGTCACACACAAAAATGGCCCTTTGCTGAAAATTATACCATATTAACAAAATACACTGAATACTGGGGACCTATCATACTCTGGTATTCTCACAGTGAGAAGTAACCATGGTAACTACTTACAAATATATGATGACAAATCCTATAAAGACGGCAACGAATCTGCTGAACGTTGAGTAGAAGTAGACAATGCTGAGAAGGACGAGGAAGCGGGAATAAGATATAGATGTAATCCAGCCAGTCCCGATGTTCCACATCCTCCTCATCCTCGTCTTCAACCATCCCACCCTGGGCATTCATACGCATGTTTGGATTGGCTTGTGCTGGAGCTGCTGGGGCATTGTTAGGCTGGTTCTGATTGGCTGGACGTCCCTCAGCAGCTGCAGCAGTTGCTGGGGTGGCAGGCGGTGTCTGATGGTAGGCATTGTTGTAGCTGGCGAGGAGACAACACAGGAATTGAAACGATGCTTCAAAACATTCTCAAACGTATGATTTATTGATTCTTTATTGATGAGTGAGTGAGTGCCACCAGAGGAATATGACAGGCAAGGTCATAGAATCAGTACCCGTGAAGATCTGGGTTAGAATATTGATCTTCAGTAACCCATGCTTGTCGTATGAGGCGACTAACGGGATCGGGTGGTCAGGCTCGCTGACCTCGTTGACACATGTCATCAGTTCCCAATTGCGCAGATCAATGCACATGATGTTGATCACTGGATTGTCTGGTCCAGACTTAATTATTTACAGACCGCCGCCATACAGCTGGAATATTGCTGAGTGCAGCATAAACTAAACTCACTCACTCACTCACTCATAGAATCAGACTGTTCTCAGTTCTTGCACAAAACCTGAAGTAGGACCAAGTCTGAGTATGTGATGTGAAGAAATGTGATATATATGGATCATACGAACAAAATATGGATACTAATTGTCACAATTGTTAGTCTTTGTTTGATATTTACATATAATCTGCTACATGTGTTAAGCAATTATTTCAGCAAATAAAAATACTGATTTCAAAGTTCTAAAACTAAATTATATCCAGACAGTTTCATCATATTTAAATTCAAATCTCTTTGCATGTACTGTGTCAATACTTGAGACAGGTACTTACTCATTGCATGTATTGTGTCAATACTTGGGACAACAGGTACTCACTATTGCATATACTGTGTCAATACTTGGGACAGGTACTCATTATTGCATGTACTGTGTCAATACTTGAGACAGGTACTTACTATTGCATGTATTGTGTCAATACTTGAGACAGGTAATCACTATTGCATGTACTGTGTCAATACTTGGGACAGGTACTCACTATTGCATGTACTGTGTCAATACTTGGGACAGGTACTCAATACGTGGGACAGGTACTTGCATGTACTGTGTCAATACTTGGGACAGGTACTCACTATTGCATGTACTGTGTCAATACTTGGGACAGGTACTCACTATTGCATGTACTGTGTCAATGTGTCACTTGTGTCAATACTTGGGACAGGTACTCACTATTGCATGTACTGTGTCAATACTTGGGACAGGTACTCACTATTGCATGTACTGTGTCAATACTTGGGACAGGTACTCACTATTGCATGTACTGTGTCAATACTTGGGACAGGATGTACTGTGTCAATACTTGGGACAGGTACTCACTATTGCATGTACTGTGTCAATACTTGGGACAGGTACTCACTATTGCATGTATTGTGTCAATACTTGGGACAGGTACTCACTATTGCATGTACTGTGTCAATACTTGGGACAGGTACTCACTATTGCATGTACTGTGTCAATACTTGGGACAGGTACTCACTATTGCATGTACTGTGTCAATACTTGGGACAGGTACTCACTATTGCATGTACTGTGTCAATATGTAGGTACTGTATTGCATGTACTTGTCAATACTTGGGACAGGTACTCACTATTGCATGTACTGTGTCAATACTTGGGACAGGTACTCACTATTGCATGTACTGTGTCAATACTTGGGACAGGTACTCACTATTGCATGTACTGTGTCAATACTTGGGACAGGTACTCACTATTGCATGTACTGTGTCAATACTTGGGACAGGTACTCACTATTGCATGTACTGTGTCAATACTTGGGACAGGTACTCACTATTGCATGTACTGTGTCAATACTTGGGACAGGTACTCACTATTGCATGTACTGTGTCAATACTTGAGACAGGTACTCACTATTGCATGTACTGTGTCAATACTTGGGACAGGTACTCACTATTGCATGTACTGTGTCAATACTTGGGGTACAGGTACTCACTATTGCATGTACTGTGTCAATACTTGGGACAGGTACTCACTATTGCATGTACTGTGTCAATACTTGGAGACAGGTACTCACTATTGCATGTACTGTGTCAATACTTGGGACAGGTACTCACTATTGCATGTACTGTGTCAATACTTGGGACAGGTACACTCTGCTGCATCCATACTGGTACATCTGCTGCATCCACTGTACTGCTCCGGGCTGTACCCACCATAGCCAGGAGGCATCATCATCGGAGGGGCCATCATGTTGCCACTGGAACACAACCACACATACCTCATCAGGCTGATACAAGAGGAACGTGTAGGGCTTGACCTCTCAGTCATATCACAATAATATCAAGGCTCAATGGAGACACAATAGGAACATCAACAATATGTTTCACAAACTGTATTCAAGCACCGATTTAACCTGTTATTTGTATGACCTGCTTTTTCTAACCATTTTAACACCACCCTGCCATAATGCAATTGTGGTTCACTGTTTTGTTAACCAGAGATAGGACTGTTTCCAGTGTTTTTTATCTGACATAATCAATGTTTTACATTTCAACTTTTCATTGCTTCATAAAAATGTCAAACAGAAATCTGTTTTTCCCTAGAGATATTTTGACAGCTTCTGCATCATGTTACATATTCCCAGTCATAGAATGTCATCATACTATGATCACATCGTGCAGGGCCTTCCAGTATGAGAGTTAGTGAGTATGGTTTTACGCCGCTTTTAGCAATATTCCCACAATATCACGGAAGGGGACAAAAGAAATGGGTTTCACACATTGTACCCATGTGGGGAATCGAACCCGGGTCTTCAGAGTGACGAGCCAACACCTTAACCACTAGGCTACCCCACCGCCCCTTCTAGTAAGAGAAGTGCCTCACTAACAACCACTGATGATAATCAATCCCTAGTGGTCAATTTAGCTGTGGATCTATCTTTTACAGTTACCCATACAAAATCAACAAGCCACAACGAATGTACTATTATGTAATGTCATAGACAAATACGTTTTTATAACAACATACCCAGAATACATTAACTGACAAAGGCAGACCATATCACAACATGGTAGCTCCTGGCAAATAGTCTAATGTCAAAAACCAATACACCAGCAGAAAATTATGTATACTTCAGGTTTAGTACTCAAAATATTAAAGGCTGTATGCCTTCCAAACTTCATTCTTGCTTATTCAATATTGAAATAGATCACCATATACATGAAAAACATATTCAATACAACATTTTATGATTGTCTTTCACTTAAATTTCTGCCAACTGTCATGATATTATGCCAACATTATGATATGTCAAGTAGATATATGTACAGGAACAAAAATTAAAAGCTTCATCATTTTGTTCATAAAGTTTTTCTCACAAATATACATTCAACATGATCAAATCTTTGTGCAAATAGCTGTCACGGTCAGACCATCAGTCCTTTACAATTTTCAATAAAAGTGATTTTTTTTTTTAGGTATACGTGGTACAATGATACAAATTCCATTATCCGGTATTCACCACAACAGCCGTTCACATACAGAGCAACACCTGCCACAGAATCAATACAACATTGTGACGGCAAAGCCTCGCCAATCCACTGCTACAGTACAATCCATCTGATGAAATATCTAGGAATACATGCAAAATAGTACCAGTATAAATAAATGTACCAATCATAAATTTGGCTATTACATGAAACAGAGCTGAACTTGTAACACTAAGGTAGTTGTTATGTCTCTTAATATCTTTGGAGATTTTTTAAGCAGTTAAATCTTCTTAAGTATGCAATGACAAATTAATGTATTAATACACTGATTTGCACTACATTTTTAGGGCTGCAATCCTAATGATCATATATGACAGCAGTGTTCAACAACATTTCTAAATTTTACTTTGAAAAGAATATGCACACAATTTAACATATTCAGCATTAAAGTCAAAAGTTTTTAGCCATTACCTTTATCATGTTAATGTTGATAGTTAAAGATTTGGGGGACCCTACATTTCGATACTATACAACCCATCAAAAGTTCAGACTCACTAGTGTAAAAGTAACCACTAACTCCTGTCAACTGTTCAAACTAGATTTTGTAAAATATTCCACACTGTTTAAAGGTACTGTTAACACATGAACTGATGTATTGTAAAACATATTGTAACTTTGGAAAGATTATTGTCATGAGTTCAATAAACTCGGTGAAAAAATTGGTGAATTATTAACAAAACTTTACACCAAAATGCAGCAGTTCACATGCACGATATTTGCACATGCTTTTCAGCATTTTGATGCACGATCATCGTGCAGGTCATCTGTATATGGTTTGCAGTTGATTCCCTCAAGTTAGTGGAGAAAGTCATCTTCCATGTAACCATATATATATAGATAACATATAATGAGTGCTTGAAGTGAGTCTAAACTTTTGATGGGTAGTATATATAAAAATACATCAAGGAACACAGGGCTCCCTTGAGTTTGAACACTGTGTAGATGTACAATTGTTTGGAGGTGAACAGAGGTGAATCATGCAATCAAAATATCAGGAATATTTTCAGTTTTATTAATGTCACGTAAAGATAGGAACTAACAAACTGTGGTCTATATCTGTAAATGATAATCCACTGTGTTTAAACAGTTAATCATATTAATATCATCATCAACTTTGAATGATCAACTGTCTATCTATTGTCAATAGCTCTTTTTTCTCATGAACAGTAAATATTGGTAAAGAAAGCTTACAAACAGCTGCCTTCTCTGATTTACATGTAACAACCTACATCTGAATAAACATCCTACTTTGCTTTCACCTGAGTTATCACAAATATCTATCAAACAGTGAACCGATGTCAGCTGTCAGCTGCCCACACATCAACTTGATTTACATGGATGAGGCCAGTAAGTTGCTGACTGTGCAACTACATTTACCAACTGTCTAACTCCCACGTGTGTCAAATACAGTCAAGCCCCATACTTTGTTGAACACTAACGGTGTAGTACTAAAACTAAGAGCGTATCTACACACTATTTTAACATTATGCATTGCTATGCATCCTGTATAAACAATGCCAGGATGCTTGGATCATGGCTGGAATGCCCGACTAGCGTTCAGCATCATGTCAGGTACAGCAAGTGTACTGGTATAAAGTGTGAATTACAATGGTATTGATAGCAATGATACACTATGTGTACAGTTATAGAGCATGTATCACATTGGTGCTGATACACTATGTGCAAGGTATACAGTGTGTATGGCATTGATTGTAGTTAATATGGAATGCGATGAGACTGACCTATTATGCGGAAGAATTGAAGATTTGAATAATGGAAAGATTTCACTGACTCCTCTATACGTCTTGTATGTGGACCATACAGAAAAATTATGAAGGGTCTTAGATCAACAATACAGTGACGTCGGGATCAAGGGAGGTAACTCAGAGGATTAGATAGACATACCACTAGGAATAGCTATGACTTAGTGTTTTAAAATTTCATTGATTTTCTGTATGTATCTGTGGAACCACAGGAATAAAGGCTACCATAATCCAGAGGGAACGTTTACATTATATTTGTGTGTTACAATGGTATTGGTACACTGTGTACAGGTACAAAGTTGTACATTGCAACATGGCTGATAGATTGTGTGTACTAGTGGAAAGTGTGTATTACACAGGTATTGATACACGTGTGTACAGGTACATAGTGTGTATTACAACACGGTACCATTGGTACACAATATGTATAAGTATGAAGGGTGTATAACAACTGTTCTGGTCCATCAAGTGTACCACAAGCCTGTATGTGCCACAACCAGAGGTAGACTCGGCAAATGCTTACCCAAGTTGGAGCTGCTCCATCCCCGGCATTGTGGGCCCACGATACCGAATACCTTCCGTTGAATCTGTTGAGTGACTGGAACTGGATGGGGTAGCATCTATCTGCTACAAGGGGAAAACACATCAGCTATAGAAAGCATACATATTCAAACTTAAAGAGCATGAAAAGAAGTTTGACTGTAAACATGCTAAACATAAAGAAAAACAATCAAAGAATGTTAACATTTAAAAATCAATTTTGATCATTCTAATTTCTTAATAAACACAAAAAGTATCTCAATAACTAAGCAGTAAAACTGAGCAATCACATCAACTTGCAACTGAAACCACCCTTGGGTTGTGTTAGTGAAACACCCAATTGTAATGATTCATAAACTGCCTACTTACTGTTTCACTTGTACTTTCAACATATGATCCCTCGGATCCACCAGCACAGACGAGGTGGACAGTGTGAAGTGACGCTTCGTCCAGCTGAAATAACAAGGCAGGTCTAAATACACAAAACTCAACACGAACATAGCATAATCATTATAAGATCAATCTTTAAAGTCATCATTGGAATTTAAGTCAGAAACAAGTTTTCAATATCAAACAACCTCAGCATGTATGCATAAACCATTGTAAAATATGCCATGAGTATACAAAACATTAATGACATATTAAATATAAATTTGACTAAATATGATCAAACTGAACCAAAGTTGTTTTCTTGTCTATTATTATTTATGCTGGGGGCAGTTTTGATCTGTTTATGTCTTTCTCTCATTTCTATTTGTGTGATTTGTGCTCAATTTGGATATGGTCCAATGGTTAGATAAACATATCTTAATGCTGGAGTGGTTTCTTGTCTTAATCACACTGCTCAGGGGTGACTGAAATGCGACTTCTCAATTCAAGCATCAACTGACACATATCGGTTGGATAAAATTTTGGTAATGCTTCAATGGTTCCACCTTACAGGCATCCCCCATGCCAAAGTCTACTTAATACAATATCCATTGTCAAAACAGAAGGGTAATATTGACAAACCTTAAGGATAACAACTTCTTTATTTCGTTAGTGTAACGTTTCCTGCTTGACAACAGTATAAGAATCTGTATCGAAACGTCACACTCACAAATAAAAGAAGTTGTTATCCACAAGTGTGTGATTGAGTTTAGTTTTAAGCCGCACTCAGCTATTATCTATAAAATTTGGCTGAAATGACGGATAATCAAATACAGTGTCAATAGGAAAATTATTAATGATTATCTATATGAAAATTGTGTTATCCTAACATTATACATTAAAGTTTGTGCAGAAAAAAAGTTTCACACAATATACAAATTTAGGACTTTATTCATGGTATGCTTCATGTCACCAGTCACATGTCACCAGTCACTAGTGACGGGAAATATATTCATTTCTTTCTGACGTTTTGCTCAAAGTTACGTCTCCAATATTTATTGATAATCAATCAATATTCAGTGAATGATTATTGATCTCTATGATCTATATCAATAGCCTGCCCTAGTCAATATTGTACTTCCGACCTACTAGAACGCCACTTGAAGTAGTGTTGGGAATTGGTTGAAATCTCACAATTGATGATTGCTTCATTACCAACGAGAAATCATCGAAAAAAATTGGTTATCGTCATTTCTCAGATTTTTCTATTCAGGTTGTTATTGCAGATAAGTATAACATGATGAAACTTGCTACTTTAAAGTGATGACTAATATATCATGAACATAAACTACTCAGAGTCTTCAACTATTATTAAGTCATTACTTTTCAGTTATTAAAGTGAGTTTTCTAAGAATTAAACACATTTTCAGGCCCTGACAACTTCGAATATATGTTCCATCGACAAGAGTTTCAAAGACTAAAACAGTAGTTCCAAAATCGTTTGTGTTCAATTATGAGAAAATGTGATTGATTGCTTGGTCGTTTGGTCACTGCGACCAATCTTCGATTATTTCAATTAATCGGAACACCACTAACTTGAAGAAGTTAAAACATAAGTGGAAAATCTCAAAATTCACAAGTTATCAAAAGACTACTGTATGTCATTCTATACACATATAAACTGATGACATGGCTCCAAGTGACATAAACATAGCAATGGGTATATATATATTCACATATCTGCAGAATACAACCTTAGGCCATATGATAAGGTTTCAGAGTAAGGGTGAAATGATGATAAGTCAGAGCTACAGATAACTTTGGGGGTCATTGAGTTATGTACTCACTTTCATCTCAATTGGGTATCCTAATTTTCCTTTGAGTAACCGAATAAAATGTACCCACCTCACTAAAACTCAATTGGGTATTTTGCCATTTTCCATTAATTGTAAAAATATAAAAAAGTTTAAATTTTGGTTTACATGTTTGTAACATGAAAAACGATAAGAAAAACTGCAAGTTGCCAAGTTAGTGTGCTGAAATAGAACCTCTCAATATACCTCAGTTATTTTATCCATCCTCAGTAACCTCCATCACATTTTTGTGTGTAGGCATGTGAGATCATATCTATTGAGTATTTAAAGAAATTCATGCGTACTTGTACGCACTTGACTTAACAGGAATTGAGTTTTCACATAAATATTTGTGTAATTTATGCGGATATGCAGCTTTTCTGCACCTCTGGAAGTTATCATTATCAGGAGTATGTAGACATAGTTAATGTCCGAAAACTTTATTGGATGTCAGACAATATTAAGCATTGGAAAATATTGAGTGTACCAGTTTTTGTATCTTATTCTTACAAAGCACAATTACTGTATATTTTAGAAGTAACATGCACAAAGGCAGTCATCCAAAAACAGTGTAAAATATGTATCATCACCACTTCTTAAAATCAGGGCTGAATTTCTTATAATTAATATTTTTAATAAACAACTGTGTTTTGACTCACCTGTCTGAGAACCTCTTTAAGTGTGAAGTGATCTTGAAGTAACTTGCCAGAGTAGATAAGTTTCTGCAGACTATGTTTCTGCAAATAAGACAAGTATGAAATAAATACAAATGGTTAACACCAGATAAGGCATTCATCATACTGTCACTGTGTGGCAAGAAATAATTTCGCATCTAGAAAACCCAACACATGAACTGATCAGTGTCGTTGTTACACCAATTGTTATGAAACTGTTTTGATATGCATTAGTTAAGGGGTTAAGATAAATATCGACCAGAATCAGAAAAATTCCTCTTGTAATGTTTCCCAAGATGTCCCCGTCTTTTTCACTGATTTTAAAAGGATGAAACAGGTCGACTTAAAACTCTTTCAAAGAAAATTTAAACAAGCTGAGTACAAATTACATCAAGTTGAAAAGCTCCAACACATGTCCAAGGACACCTGTAATGTATAAGCCCATGAATACCCATCACAAACAGGATGATCAATATCGCCTACAGTCTTGTAGAGGCAGCAGACTTTTCAAGGCTAGGATGTTTTGACTATATGAACAAGTTAATTTCCCACAAGAACTAGGGTAGGAATATTCACAAATTGCATCTTCTAATGACTGCTAATATGATTGGTCCTCATCAACTTATTCTCGTCGTGAGAGGCAACTTATTACCCCGAAAGCAACAACCAAAACCCCTAGTCAGTAAATTGTCTACATCAGGACCTCTGTAACAAAGACAACTACATTCTGTACTCATTTTTGGTCTCCTTACATCCTTAAACTAGCTCTACCTAAGCCCCCCCACTGAATGTTGGGATTTGGCCAATTAGCCTGGATTTTTTTCTTTATTGGTACACTGCGAAAAAACTATTGAATCATTTTCAATTATTTCTTCAGGCATGTTTAGACAACATATTAGAGAAAATAACATAAAAAAAATTGTGTTTGTTGTTAGTTCAGTTAATTAGCTGTTTGTTCAGTTACGTTATACAGCTGGGTCACAACAGAGCCTAGGGACAGACACACCAACTTGCAGTTTGAGACAAAGTGACCACAATACTGAGTGATAATTTCAACAGGAAACTGATAGTCTTGAACCTCCTTAATGATCAATATGTGGCATAAAGAATTGCATAATAGAAGCCTGAAAACACTGAACTGAGGAATCACATCTCTGTGGAAGGAAATCCAGTCTGAAGCTCAGAGAAGATATAAAAACATTCAGGAACTGATGTGGTACAAAGTGGAACTTTGCTCAGACAAAAGAACCAGTTAGAAGTTTTCTTTCTTTGTCTTGACATTCAGTAAGCTGGTTCTGTTCTTATTGTTTGTAGATCATATATAAATTCCTCTACTATAATGCAAAATGAAGCATGTTTACAAACACAACTGAGAACAAGGTAAACAAGAACAAGCTTTTATGACAGGCAGATGGCCATACAGCAAAGATAGGACAAGGTAGATCCTACATGCTGGAGGCCAGATGTGAAGACAAGACAGCATGTTTGTCAAATGACAAGCTCAGATGATACTTTGGCTCAAGATAACGATTGGGTATTACAGTGGATGGGCAGTTAACAAGGCACAAACACATTGAATTGTATCACCGTTGCTAATCCCCTCAGGGCAGACAATCCAGCCAGCCATCAGGAGGGTAATTGGAGGTGCACCGAGGATTCTTCTTCAGGCTAAAAGGACAGCCCATTGATGCCATTCCAAATCCAGTCAGCAACTCTATCTCAATATTACCAACTTTAACGCCTGTTCATGGAAAGTACAGGGCATTCATATACAGGAGACAGCTTTTGTAAAATATTTTCTGCAAAAAGGTTGGTTTTGGAGAGATTATGCAACTGGTGACTGACATAAAAATAAAAATAAATGTCTTCCAAGACTTGGCATGTTTTGTATCCCCTCTCAGGAAACTTTAAGGCAGTAGAAATTTTTAGAAGGAATGGCTGAGTATGTGAATAACGTGTTGCACAACTGTTATACAAATTAATTCAGACTGATTCCACTATGTATTCCTGTGCTTTAACTTTGTTAACACAAACTGCTTACATAACTTATCAGTGTACATAAGGTTATGTATATGTTCTTCCAAAGATATCCCCAGCATAGAATCAGAATAGAATCAATGTAGATATATTGGTTTGTGCTCACTTCAGTGCCAGAGTTGGTAATGATGAGAATCTAATTGTGGATTGGAAAGAGATTCCACTAATACCAATCAGTGACCCAAATGCAAGTGCTGATCATGATGTCTGTCAACACAAGTCTCCATGGGACAGTAATGTAAACAACTAATAGGTTAGAACAACTTGAACCATGTAGATATGTAGATGTTATGGGTTAGTAACAGGGGGTACTAGCTCAGTGGAACTCCTAATAACACCGCCAACATGTTACACAATATCACACAGTCTGATAATCTATTCTTTGTGGACTAGAACTAGTGCTGGTATTGGCATATGATACATCACGATACTAAAATTTTAGTCACGACGATATATTGCCAAAGTATCGTGCACTAAAGCTGCGATACAATACGAATCCCGAAATAAGGGTGGCGATACTATACTAAAATCTTTAATTCTAACACCAACTATAAAAGACCTTAAGATCAAAACAAAACTATATTTTTAAAGTATTTTTGTCAAATTCTGCCAGCATTTTCAATGTTCACTCGGAAACGAAATAATTAAAGTTATGCACAGAATTTGTGAATGTTAATAACATGAGAGCGCTATGTCTGACACAGCTCTTGACACATGAATTTCTGAGAAAACGTTAACCTTTGAAGGGGAAAATAAGTAAGCATATATTTTAATCATCAGACAAAAGTACATCTGTTTTCTTGACAGATATCGTGATTCAGCAATATATAAAGTTAAACATCGATGTATTGTGGCCCATTTGAAGTATCGTATCGGGATATACGACACTGTAAAACATTGTATCGATTCACTGTATCGGTGGCGAATGGATCGATGCATCGATGAATCGTCACACCACTAACTAGAATCCCATGACACTTCCAAACTGCATCACATCAGAGACTGAAAGAAATACTGAATCACCTCTCTTGAGAAAATGGCATTCAAAATATCTGTCATGCTGGAATTTGAATACGTAGTACAGGCAAGGGATTGTAAAAGGTTCTGGTGAAAGATAAAAACTGTTTACAACAGTTTGTCAAGTCCAGATTTATATGACTACTTTAATAACTGGTTAAAATCAAATGATAACTGAGAGTATTGAAAATATTAACACAGATATTGATATCTGAAACAGCTACAGATGATTGCAACTAGCACATAACTGAAGCTGTTTAAAAGCCCAAAAAGATGAAACGAGCATGATAGATGGTGTTCTAAACGATCTAAATATTTAATATAAATGTTGTTGTTGAAGCACGAGCTCGTTCCGGGAATAATAATCTAACAAATGATCAATACTGTGTCCTACTATGTCAAAGTAGTACAGACATGCTTGTTTAATTGATTTCTGGAAAGCTTTCATATGTGCATATGCTAACTCTGATACATGTTAAGTTTAATAAGTTTCTCAAATTAAATAATGCATCTGTCAATACATACTCACGAAGACATTTCCTTGAATGTGAGATTGTGATTCACAATTTGCATGCATATGTTTAAGCACAGTGCACAAACTGGATGATTGTAAGTTTGTTGGAAGCATGATACTCATACCATGGTTTCTGAATGAGAACTGCCAAGAGCACGCTGCAAACAGGGGGGACATAAAGTTGTTAGACATTATATCGTTCATGGAAACACAATATTATTTCTTTGAAGACATTATCTACAGCAGGGCAATCACATGCCACATGCCTGTAGTCCAAGTGTAACAATACAGCCAGAAGACAACCTTATTCAGTTGATGCATCTATTGAATAGATACCAAACTGCCACATTAACAGCTCAGACAATTCCTGGGTTTAGAGAAGCTGAAGCATAAGCAACCAGTCAAATGAGCACAGCATTCACCTTTAAAATCCAGTGATACAGCCTATTTTGTTTCCATGTCATCTAGGTGGGCACACCTAGCTTTGTGTACACCACATCAGAGTTTCAGAAGACTAGGACAATATACAGATCACAGGTGAAACCAAGTGAATGTTTCAGCGATACTTGTGTTACTCAACATCACCCGTTGGGAGTTGGATGTTACTCAACATCACCAGTTTGGAGTCAGATGTGTAATGGTATGGCTTGGCATCACAACCCATCATTGTTTTGGGCACTTTAACATGTTCAAAAGGCATATGCTTCCAAGATGATATTGTCCAAGATCATGTTCTACCCCATATGCAAATACAGGATCACAGCACTACAGCAGGATAATGACACCGACATGTTGCATGTGTAGTATGGCTGTTGCATGGCTGTGGTGTGTGGTCCTGTGCATGCTGCATAGACCCCTCAAAATCTGTCAAAATCATATCTCTCATGGATAAGGTCACAAATCAGTTGGATCACAGTACTACAGCAGACCAGAGGACCCGGTTGGAAAGTGGATGTTGGCATAACGACATTACGCATAATTTACATGTGGCAACATGTGTTTGTGTTCCTTTTTATCCGGCATCCTGCTATGGCTGTATTCACTGTCATATATATATGGCTGTGGTGTGTTTGCTTTCTAAATCCTGTGCATAGAGCTTAGGTCATAAAATCAGTTGGTATTCAATCAATAGAGTACTACAGCAATGTGTAGTATGGCTGTTGCATGGCTGTGGTGTGTGGTCCTGTGCATAGAGCTTAGGTCACAAATCAGTTGAAGTTGAGCAATGTTGGTCACTGAGACTAGAGAGAGTTCTTGAAGCTTGACTCCTGAGAGTTTTCCCACGACCTAACCTTGGGAAGTGAATTTGTTAAAAAAAAAATATACCCCGTTTAGGGTGTGTCATTCTGTTTCCTGTGTTACCAATTATGGATTTTGTCAATTACTTTGTTGTACTAAACATGGTAAAATACAAATGAGATGAAGACCAAATACTGTAATATATAACATGATTTAAATGAAGTACTGTTAGTTTCTTTTGCTTGCACAGGTTTATTCTCAATCTACCACCCCATGAACATGATCATGATGAAGGGGTTTAACAGTAATCCATACAGACGAGACACATCAGGGATTGGCAATACATGCAGGGTGAACTAAACTCAACCATGTCTATCACTGCCTTTTCCAACTGATATACTGGTGATACATTTGATTAATATCATTAATGAGCTAGGTGTATAGAGAATTAACACAGAGATGTTATGACCAGCTACCATTAAATTAAAGATATGTGACAAAAATATGAAACAAAAGTCAGTGGAATGAATGCAGTGGATGTTACAAATATACCTCTGTTACAAACTCATTTGACTTGTTCTGGATGACCTAAATATATTTCCCATTCCCCCTGCCACCTCTATTGTTCTACCAAAGATTACATTTAACCACTGTTAACTGAACTCCAGTTTCCAGACAACAGGTGGTGACGAATCGAGACGACTCCTATAGAAATAAGATGTGTTCCACGCAATAGAGGTATTCATGACTCACTATACTGGTATACCTGATAACAATACCCCCCTATACTTCAAATTATATATCAAAGCATCAACAAAATATGTGAAAACTTATCTTATTAAGGCAAGTTGCATTAGACAAGGCTGAAAGTTAAGCCCAGTTCTTTCCATACTTTTTATCCATGAATTTGTACATGAAATAGAGAGCCCTTTGGTTAAGAAGAGGTATACTAATGAAACAAAGGTTTGACAAAATCATTAGTTTGCTGATGTCACCCTTCTTGATGACAGTGTAAACACTGTAATTGGACTCACAATAAAATCAGATGCTATAGAATAATAGTGTAATAATAAAGGTCTTGAAGTTAATTTAGAATAGACAAAGGTAACACTTATTTTGAGAAATGGTAGTTCCATACAAAATACAGAAAGTTTGTTTTGTAAAGGTTTGCAAATTAAAAGTTACATCATACTATACATACCTGGACTAACTAATTTCTTCAAAGGTTGAACTTCCTTGGACTAATGTGATAAATTAGCAATAGAAGCAAGTACTGATTAAGTTTAAAAGTTTTCCATTTTCTACTTCTGCTAAAATATTTGATAAGACACTTCTATTCTTGCAATGTGTTCATGTGGTTCTAAATTCTCAAGAATTATCAGATCATATACACAGGAAACATTGCAAACATTCACAGATATTTTCCTAAAAGTTATCAAATTTTCCATAAAAGAAGACCTAAAAACAGAATTTTCAGACAACTAAGAAAACTCTTGTATGTGCTTTATTTTGCACTCATTGTATTAAATATTGGTGTACATAATTTAAGTTTATTCAAACTCCTTTTACTGAAGATAAGTAATAAGCAATAGGACTGACATCAGAAATATCTGTCAACTTCAACTTGTATGTACATGAGATTCCCTTACAACTTTATGTAAATTGACTTCCTAGTTCTTAATACTCAAAACAAATGGTTACATTGTCTGTCTCACAGCTCCTGAACCACATTATTTTCCTTTCCGACATGCCACTAGTGACGCAAGTGTAGATTTCTTTGGGTTCTGAATCTCCCATATCTGTGGGTTTCCTTTTCAATTTAAATAGAATTACTTGCTTCTATCAAAACTATACAGATCTTAAGTGTTACTCTAATGGTAACACTATTACTACAGTATAGATCCATCATTACCATGCTTTGTGCACGTACAAAACGTTTTTAATCAGAAATAGAAAATTTTACAATTTTCTTTAAATACATGCATTTTACAAAAAAGACTGAACAAATGATGAAATATGTAAATAAACTCTCAGACATGTTGCCTTTATCAACGAATTCACTGTCACTTAGACTAAATCCAGTTACTCTACTGGCCAATCTCAATGTGAAGAATGATCCACAACCAACTACGTAAGTATTGTTACTGTTAGTACTGATACATAGGTACGAACAGATGAAACATGCTTCTGGTGACAGTGGTGATGAGACAATTACCTTGTCCTCAACAAGCAGTGACAAGCAACAGCTGAACTGTTGATAAATGTATGGTATGCAACCATCTGTGCTTGTTATTGTGTATTCTCTGAAACGATGATAAGGATGGATCCCCAACCCCAACCTACTGCTATTACCCAGAGTTTACAGGACCAAATACCAGCTATAACAACAGGTGATTACCACACATATTACATAACTGATAAAGATCATCTCAAAACCGGTCACTGAAAATGAAAGCCGGTACAAAGGTACATTACCATTGATTAATCAACCATTACGCTGTACAGTGCCCAAGAGGAAATATAAATATGGAATTCCTTGTGGTGTGATACTTACGGGTTTACTAGGGTAAACGTTTTCTAAATGCTCTTTCAATTTTCTTACAGTCCATTCCAGGAAGCAGTCGACTGTTTGGTCAGCAATTCTCTGATTTGGTGCTTTGACAATTAAAGTCACTGGGTTATCACCTAAATCCATCATACTTGTAATAAAGTATGTCCTTGTCACCTAGATATTCTGATCCGAAAAAATGGTCACAATTTCATCGATTTCGGCACGCTTGTCCTGAATGATGAAAGCCTGACACCGACGACTTCTCACGAAAATTGGTGCCACTGGGTCAGTAACAAGATCGGAGGTTACAATTTCACGATTGCTTCTGCAATTAATATCACTGTCACGCAGCTCCAGAGTAACGTTTTGCTTGCCCGTTGGTCGAACAACGATCAAAACACACTGTAATTCAGCAAATTAGCTAAGAAATTGATGAATACGCTGTCACACCCGTGCTTGTTGTCAAAACTGCTGCTGGTTCCCCATGACGTAAGGTCATGTGACTTCTAAAGAAAGATGGCGATATCTCATTGGTTTACATACTCGTTTCACATTTGTTTATATTAATTTGCGATAACTGAACAACGATCTTTCTTATTTATGTATGAAATATTAAATGACCAAACCTCAATAAATAGAGTATGAAAATGAGATACATTCAAAACGTTCTTGATCACGGAAATACACGAGTTTAGACGGAAGTGCACGTGTACGAATGTAAACAACCAACGTGGTTCACGCAGCTCGCAGTGATGGTAGTTGGAATGTTGAACATTAAAGGTGCTGAGTGATGTTATTTGCTGTCTGTTCTTTTGAAAACAAAAACAGTTGTTAGTTTATATTTCAAAACCGGTTTTGTCAACTTTGCATATGTATGTAGTACGATTCAAATTTTCTAAGTTTCTACTTGCTTCGACCACGCCCCTTTCGCCCACGCAAATGTGTTTTTCCATCTGAATTTTGTATGGCTTTTTTTCAATAATGACGTCAATCGGGATTTTTAGTTGTTGTGGAAAGGACAAATTTGAATATTTTCTTCAAAATATTTTCATATTCTATTGTGACAAACGCAGAAGCTCAGTGTGACCACTGTTATTAAAAAAAAAGAAACATAAAAGTGCGACATATAATATTTTACATTCGATGTCAAAAGTAGCTGGTAACGCCGTCGGTTTTAAACTAAATTTGCTTATGTTGAATTCCAATGAATCCCGGAAATTGAACAAACCAAACTATGCTAGCCACATAAAGAAACTGTGCATTGTCAAAATATTATCCCAGTTGATAAGTACGATAACAATGTCAAAGGTACATATAAACTTTAATGGAGGGATCATGAGACCATAACAAGTCGGAGAATTTTAATTGAAAAGTCAATCACAATGATGTCACGAGTCAGGGGGACAGGGGTCAAACGACCATGTCACAAGCTCAATAACAGGTATGTCCACCATCGGCATTGAGAACAGCAGTGCATCGACGACGCATAGAGCCTATCAAATGTGCAAGGAAGGCTTGTGGGATGTCACGCCAGATTCTCTCAAGTTCTTTTGCAAGGTCAAGGACGTTATCTGGTGGATGAGGAAGACGGCGTAGACGTCGATCCATCTCGTCCCAAACATGCTCTATCAGGGAGAGATCCGGTGAATTTGCAGGCCAAGGCAGTAAGTCAACGTTGTGCTGTTGCAAGAAATCCATAGCAACCCTTGCCGTATGAGGGTGGTATTGTCCTGTTGGAATGTTAACCCAGGGCCATGACGTTGCAGAAAAGGAATTGCCACAGGTCGAAGAATCTGATCACTGTAGCCCACACCAGTTAAGTTGCCCTGAACAATCACCAAAGGAGTTCTTTGGCGTGCTGTTATTCCACCCCAAATCATCACGGAACCACCACCAAAGCGATTCCTCTCCAAGACACAGGCCTGTGCATAACGCTTTCCACGCGTCTATAGGCATGTTGACGTCCATCACGGACTCATCTGTAAAAACAACATTTCTCCACCAAAACAAGGGTCTGCGGACATGATTTCGGCACCACATTCGGCGAGCTTGTTGATGACGTTAAGTCAGGATAGGCCGTATGGCGGGACGTTGTGTTCTGATCCTGTGATGACGTAAACGTTGTCGAACTGTGTTGGGATGGATACAGCGAAGTCCTGGGATGGTTCGGGCAGTCATCACTGTAGTCTGAAACCTGTGGCGAAGATGTGTCACCCTTTTCCATCTGTCCTTTCTTGGCGTTGTTACACGTGGACGTCCAGAATCGATGACATCATTTGTGTTCTGGTAGCATCTCACCAGTGCAGAAATGGTGTTCCGGTGGCAGTGGAAATGTGCAGCCACTTGTCGTTGAGACATTCCCCCACAGACCATCCCAATGGCCTCATGACATCGTGCAGACGTGAGCCTGGGCATGCTATGCGTTTCAATAGCCATTTAATTTTTGGAACGATCGCAAGGGCAGGGGTTAAGCTTTCCAAAGTGACAGTATTGTGTGGCATTCATTTGCTCTGTTCCTCTTTCCCGGAATGCACGTGCAACAACGTATTGCACGTCTCAAGGACGAACCCACTGACGTCACGGAACGTGGCACGTGCATGCATGTTGGATACATGTCACTAATCTCTGAGTTTTTATCCTTATGTGTCTACACAGGTTTGATAAATTTAGATTTTAAAGTTTTGTATGCACAGTTTCTTTATGTGCCTAGTATATTTATCTTCTAAATCCATGACTTATACATGATTATGTCTTTTAGATATAATCAGTAAATTTTGTGGCTAGTTTCCATAAAGCTGTTAAATATCCTCAGATAGGAAATTTATATTTTACTTCTCCAGGTAATTTTACAGCCAGGGTAGTGAGTAAGGGAGTGAGTATGGTTTTACACCGCTTTTAGAAATATTCCAGCAATATCACAGCAGGGGAAACAAGAAATGGGCTTCACACATTGTACCCATGTGGGGAATCGAACCGAGTCTTCTGCGTTACAAGCCAATGCTTTAACCACTAGGCTACCCCACAGCCCCCAGTCAGTGTAGACCCAGTGCAGCTGGATTGCAGTTTTCTTAAGGATATTTTCTGTTTTTGATGTCATTTTTATGTTATTAATGACATCAAAGATACATATATCCATATCCATAGGCTCAAGATAAGCTACATATTTGCATATAATATGCACAGAACTCACCACAACTGGATTAGTTTTGAGTAACAGGCCTACAACATGTAGATGCAAGTAATTCAAACCCCAATATCACAACAGGGTGAGCCATTACCAAATGTAGCCTTTCCAGCTTGCCTACATGAATACCTTTACTCATAGTAATATATAGTTAATACTGATTGAATACAAACTTCTACACATTTTATTGAATAATGCACAAAATAGCATGTTTTGTTTGTTGCAATTGATACTATATCCCTGTTGTAAGCTCCAAATTTGACAGGTTAGTGTGGACAGGTTTCCAGGAAACATTTGAAGCAGAAATATTTCTAAAAGATTTCACTCACTGGTTTAAACATTTATCATAGACGTGATCCAAATCTCTTGAATACTTAAAGAAAGATATCAAATTTGCTTAAAAATCATCAGGAGCCAGGTAATATCTGATTAAGGTGGAAACTTGAACATATCGGTTGGCAACTAATGGAAGTGTCAGGGGTAATGCATCATCATTACTGGGTAAGGGGCGGTGGGGTAGCCTAGTGGTTAAAGCGTTCGCTCTTCACACTGAAGACCTGGGTTCGATTCCCCACATGGGTACAATGTGTGAAGCCCATTTCTGGTGTTACCCGCCATGATATTGCTGGAATATTGCTAAAAGCGGCATAAAAAAAATTATTACTCACTGGGTAATGTCTTTTATAAATGTGTAGGCATTCCTAAAAGTAAATATCTGAAAAACAGCTTTCAAGGTCAGAAGCAACAAGGTATTATTTTGTTCTTTTGTTTGTTGTTTAACGCCACGCACTGTAGTAATCAAGCTTGATAAGGATGGTCTGTTATCGACATCATGAGCACCAACCGAGTTAGTCACTTCTTATTCCAGGTATATTCACCTCTTTTGACAAGCATTGGTTGCTAAAGACCAATTCTTTACCTTATCTTCAGAGGTATCATTGTGGTCACGTTGGATGAAGGTCACATGAAAGAGAGCTCAGCCAATCAGAAAATGCATTTATGTGTGAGGCAAGATAATTGGAAATATACCATGACTTTCCACTTCAGCTGACATAGCAATTTCCAATACATTCCGCCAGAGACCATGTACATGTACTAACATGGGCTTTGTTTCCACCGTATTGATTTTATCATCTTTCACATATTTCAAGGTTGTTACTAAAATGATCTAAAGTTATTGATCAAATCTGCTTCAGACGATTCAGTGATCAATATTATAACACCAAACCACACAATTCATTTTGTTGCCTCTTGTCAAGCATAGGTTAACTGAGACCTATTCTGTTGCCATGAGTCACTGGTATTTGAAAGAATGGCATGACATTACAGAACCCTTCTTTCAACTGCGTAGATCGATGCACATGCTGTTGATCATTGGATTGTATGGTCCAGACTCGATTGTTTACAGACCACCGCCATATAGATGGAATATTGCTGAGTGCGTGTAAAACTAAACTCACTTACTGTTGATACTGGCTTGTCACAAGAAACACCTATCACTTGACAGCAGTTAAAATAAAGAGAACCTCAATTCAGAGACATTCAAAGGCATGACTGAAAATTGGTGTCATGGCATGACGTCATCTCTTATGCACTGAACAGTATCAAAGATAGCTAAAATATTGGCATACAATCTCAATTGGTGCCATTTGTATTGCTGTAATTCCTCACGATTCCTTGAAACTTCAGCTGAGTGTCCCAAAGGTTTCAGCCGCACTACATACACAGTGACACGAGAAGTGTCCATTAAGATTAAAAACAACACAAAATATTCCACGCACTCTTTATTTGCTCATTTCACTGCATAGAAATGTAAGATATCAACATTCATGTAAAGGGCGGTCATTATTATAGGAGACTAGGCTGGGGTGTTTTGGGAAGGACATCTAATAGAAGGAAAGTCCATGAAATATTCATATGATTAAATCACTTCTTATAAAAATATTGTGTGACCAATTTGGATCCTTGGGAGGGTTAGGGGAAATCCATGACCAAGATATTATTGAGGGTCACTCCAAAGGACATACATTCCAGGAGAATCAGCTCCAGGACTTCCCTGCTATAATCCAATGACTGGTCCCTATACATATCTGTAACAAAATCCCAATGTTTACAATGGCAAATACATCACTGGTTCAAACAGAAACATCCAGGTAAATACAAGGCAGATACAGCACCAGTCAAACTATACCCAAGTCAGATTTATTCCTTTTGGGTTGATAATTAATGGTATCCTTCATGTGAATTATACAAATGTGGACATTACACATTGATTTTGATTGTCCTCTTGGTTTATTATATCACAGACACTTATAATGATATATATTTAGGGTCCATGGTTATATTCCAAGTTGTCTGATGAAGTCAGAGAGACTTTTATACCTACATAGTTAATCCTCTTACTCAGGAAAATGTTGATCCTGCTAGTCTATGTCAAAAAGTTTCCTCCAGGTAATGAGCACTAGTGCCATGCTTGTTGCTATGGAAACTCAAAAATAAATAAATTCATAAAATGTCCTTTACTATTAAAATGCAGAGATAGGTCTCCACCAGACACAGAGATTGAGTCCCTTCTAATATACCCTGCAAAACATGCTGTGGGGTTTAAGAGGGTAGAAAGGTATTACTAGGCTGAACTAGTGACTGTTTCAAAAAAGTATTAACATTTCCAAAATCACAACACACTTATTCAGTTATTTTCCACATGTTGTTTTGCAGCATGTATTATACATAAGAAATATTCTCTCTGAACTTTGACTTAAAGGAAGACTATGGTTTTACGCCACTTTTAGAAATATTCCAGCAATATCACAGCAGGGAACATCAGAAATGGGCTTCACACATTGTCCCCATGTGGGGAATTGAACCTGGGTCTTCAGCGTGACGAGTGGACGCTTAACCATTAGCCTACCCCACTGCCCCAACCTAAAGTAAGAAACCAGCAAGGTAAAAGAAAACTGTTTATGATGTTAGATGATCAAATTTATGATGTTAAGTCATAAAGATGTTGTCTTCTCATACACACCACAAACAAATTAGTAGCCCTCTATATAAGACAGTGTAAGCACATGATAATGTGTTAGTAGTGTAGGGAAAAGAACAGAAATGTTTCAAATGAATTTCTTAAAATCCTGACATAAAAAGATACATACTGTTACGGAAATTTGATTTCCTGTTCAATGTTTAAGAATTGACTTCAATATGATAGGTAAAACTGTCAAAGCCTGTTACACTGTTTCTATGCTTATAATTCTATAAACACAAAAACGTATTGAAGTTATTTCTTATCAATAAATATGTCAAGAAAACAACTTTACAGACTGCTTTTTAACAAATTAACACAAATAATGCAGAATATACTAAATCAGTGACATCGTTCACCATAATATTAAAACCCATGCCAAAGCCCACCTACCGTAATTTTCAGCCAATCATGACAGAGTATTCCACTAGTGGGCAGAACCTAATTGTTTTGTGTTATAAGGGGAACAACAAAAAACACTTGGTTGGTTAGGCAATTATAGGACACAACTGTAAGATAGCCAGCCAATGAATCTATTTGCAGGAAATGAAATGGTTCATCGGAAGTTTACACTTCCCTCATGGACCAAAAGGAAATGTCAAATTACAAAATTTCAGAAATCTTTACGATTCTTTAACTTAAGATTGCACATTAGCTTGTAGGAATCTTCACCAAAATGTTGTTCTATGCAATAAACAAGGAGATGTTACCCATGACTTCAAGTTGTATGCTTTATTGACTCACCAGCTTCAGGAATGCAAATCTAACAATTTACAGATTTGTACACAGTACAACTGGGACACAAAAATAACTCAGGAACAGAGTAAGAAGGTTGATGCTTTTGATGTGATACAAACATTTTCTTGTTTATTTCCAGTATGTTTTCTTGTAAAACCTTGGTCAGGTGCAATCAAGATACAATCTATTTCTAACACAGTGGCCTGAAAGAGTAGTAGGTGCAGGATTGTTGTAGCAACAAGAAACTTGTGTAGCTCATGCAAATTGAGTTGGTGCCCATTTGAGTCTATATCTGTACAGGGGACAAACTACAAATGAATTTTTCTGACTGATATTTGACATAATTCACATGTCAATACTTACCCCAAAATGTTCAGTTTCTAAGTCTAAAAAAATCATGATTGTACAATTTGAGAAGAGATCCTAGTGTTAAATAGGGTTGCATGATGCTTTACAGTGTTGTGCCTTTAATTCCTTACTTTTAAGAAACACAAAATATTCAAAATTTTGTCTAATATACATCAATTAAACTTCATTACCTGTAACCTTCAAAATACAATTGCAAATGATGCTTAAAAGGGTGAAATATACATTCAAGAAAAACCTATGGGTTTTTGTTCAATTACAAGTCAAACAGCTACATCCCTTTCAACTTCTTGTAATATTTTGTTACTGAAATTTGTTAATATAATCAGCAGAAAAAGAAAATAACACTTTGGTAATTTGGAGTCAGTGGATCAGCTATTTAACAAATACACATGCCTTGTCTTGGCATTGGAAGATATTTTTAGAACTGAAAATCTACAAGAGAAGTCAGCCCTTTAGCAAAAGCAATGCCAGTCTAGATGTCATTTGATCCATGTACCAGGGTACTTTTACTTACTGAATAATGTAACCATTACATGAAGTTTTACAAAAGGTCTTCCTGAAGCACCATGCTGAACTCAGCAATATTACAGCAACATGAAGGTAGTCTGTAAATAACTGAGCCTGAAACAGATCTTCCAAGGCATGTTCCACAAGGATAGAATAACCGGATTAACAAAGAACAGGAAGCAGAAGGACTGGAGACCACAAATATAACAACCCTAACATAAGTTGATAAGAAGGAAGTGTCTAAAGAAGGACTTCAAAAGTGATGCTAAAATAGAATTGGACAGAAAGTTGCATGCATTGCTGATATCTACATATCATAAAAGCTTTTTGAACTGGTAAATATTTTTTTGGTCTTTATCTGTGATAGTGACCATTTTTAGAGTAAAATAGGACAATAATAGCAGAGATGCCAACCCCAAAGTGTTGCAAATAGTACTTTCAAGGATCAAATCAGTAGTTTGACCATAAAATTAGTAATTAACTAAATACTTAAAATCATGATGGACTCTGAGAAAGATAATATGACACTAATCAAGAGTGAAGCCTCAATTTCACATACCTCCAACAGCAGATTAAAAAAATTATCAGCATTACGTTTCATCTTGTCTCTTTTTGGTGAAAAATTGAAAATGTATTTAATCGACGAAAATAAATATTTTTGTCAATATATCCGAATTTTAATGAATCTTCTTCAAATTTCGTAGAATTTCCAATGCAATCGTATTGGCGTAGTTTGAGGCTAAACTTCGTAGTGACTACGATAAAACCGTAGAGGTTGGCATCTCTGTAATAGTTGTCATTTTTTGTCCCAACCTGTATAAATCCTGTGACTGCCATTGTCATGAGAACCACATGTAAGAGGAAAGATGCTTATTCCAATCTTACAGAATACAAAGTTATCATGGTCCCATTAACATCATGTTAAGACAGTGAGTTATCGTCGCCAATGATACAACAAATCTTGGCTTACTAGAACCATTACTTATCCTGACTATAACATCAAGGTTAATCCAAGTCTGTTATCATCTACGGACATTTTAATCCAGTCACTCACAATCACCTCATCCTCATCAGTAATTAAAAGACAGGAATATAGGTACATATTTACCTTAATGATAAACTAAACAAGTCATGAAAACCTTCATACAAAATCAGATGCTACTGATATAAGCTGACTGAATTAATTTGTACATACAGTCAAATCCCGATGAGTCGAATCGCTGGGGACCAAGTAATAAATTCGTCTTATCGATGTATTCGAGACATAGGTATGTCTATGAGGGTAGAAAAAAGACGATCCAGTCCTAATTCCTCTACCTAAGCATTTGTTTATCTAATGATTTCCCTATCACTAATAGGGGCACCTTATCAGTTCCAGTCCGATTAGCACAGACAGTGATTTCCGTAAAATCACTAATCTGCCTTTTGAACTCACCCGTCAATGGCGGAAAGGTGTGAGCTGCGCTGGTTTGTTAATTTGATCAGTTTGCTACACCAATCAACTTCTCATTGACTGACTTCGGCTTATGTATACAAGATTGCTGTTGTTTGAATCGCATGGGACCAAATTTCCTTCTCGAGTCATCGTGTGTATTTATGAGACGAATTCGTGTAACCGGTATTCAAATGATGACAACTATAACAGGGAATGGTCGGGACCGACAGGTATTTCGAGTTATGCATAATATTCGAGACACCGGCATTCGACTCATCGGGATTTGACTGTATATACAAATAAGTTGGCAAGCACAGAAATAATACTATTTGTCATGTTTGCCTTAATTTAAATACCAATGTACATAAATTATGCTTTCAAGTCTTCAGTTGTGGGAGTTGGATTATTTCATAGCCTAATTTTATATGTTGATATACACCATATATTCCTATATCCCCATTCTCTGATACACACTTATGATGTAAAACTGGTTACCATTCCAACACAATACCAGTAGTAACAAACTCATTTTGGCAAAAAAGGCCAACAGGAGTCACTAATTTGTTTAAAAAACAACTGCCATTTAAGATTAACAGTATTATATGACTACAATCTTGTTACAAAGATGGTCATCTTGCTATGATACTCTATATTCAAATTTGTGGTTTAAGCTCAGTCAATCAAGCATTTTATTCAATATAGTTAACAGGTGGCAACTTATCAAAAAGATATTTTTACATGTATATCCCACCAAACAAAAGGTAGATTGTAGCACTTCAACTGCCATAACTCCTACTCCATAACTTCGTCCTGATAGTTGCAGAATAACGATCAAGCAATCAAGAGTCTGGCTATATCTACCATACAATTACCAAGCTTGTGAACATAGTTAATCCCCATCCTTTGTTATCAAGCATATTATATCTCCATAAAGAATATTCTTTAAACTGACTCAAACTTCTCAAGAATATAAACAGATGTCTACACTGTTATTTCATTATTAAAATAAGCAGCAAATAATGCCAGTTCTAAAGCTGTCTTGTTACAAGCCATATCAAATACAGCTTGGACTATGTCCAGCCCCATCTATTGACTGTCTCAATCTCAGGAGAGCATCTTTCCAGCTGAAAGTTCTTCTGTATCAATTAAATTCAAATGAACAAGTCTCCCTGTCCATAAGTGTATTGACTGGTTTGTCCATTTCAAGTTCACAAGCAAGAGAAATGATATGCTACAGAGCTTGATTTGAGGAAACGAAACCTAATTGGAAGTGGTGCAACCTCAAGTAATAACACTGTTGCACCAAACAAAAAAAGGTTGCACCTGCAGCTCAATATAACTGTAGACAATGCTTGAGTTTTGTATGGATGATTTATAACATCATTTTAACAAAACTATTCAGTTTGGTCAGTTCCCCTGATGAAGGGATCTGTAATGGTCCTGAAATGTTGTGAGGGAAATACAAAAGAAGTTTAATCCATAAAAAATATCTTGGAAAACTATTCAGGGTCTGATAAGATCATTTCATCTTACTACATAAAATTTCATGACATGGACAGTTACAGTCACTCCATTTCAGTCTGTGAAAGCATCAGAATCACTGCTCCAAGCCACTTAATCATCATTCTGTCTTCCAGATGAAGCCTGAACAGGAAAATGTTCACAACATTGGGTTCGAGTTGGTATAAATATGAGGTTTTGCAGTTTCAGGCTGCAACAATGTAAGTTGTAAATCAAGCCCTGGGCTGAGATGGTGATGAGGCATTTGGGGATGTTGACATCATATCCAGGAAAAGTTCTGGGTGTATATAATAACAATATGGAGCCATAATATACTGTACAACTGAGGATGGTTGATCACAGTTTTGGATCACAGATATTAGACATCACAGTTCCTGATGTCCAGTCTTCTCTATGCATGTTGCAAGTCGCTGCATCTAGGAGTAGATAGTTATAACCTCACTGCCGCTTCCATGGACCATCAACACTCGATCCAACCCCTCTGTCAGGGCCTCCAGGAAAGACATATCTCAGTCTGGTTAAGGATTTATTGTCCATAAAAGGATATATCATTTTTGTTGGTGTGTTGAAACTGAGAAGAAAAATTTGATATGATAAAGACATGCATACATGAAGTAAGCCTCTATTCAATTATACTAGTGGTTATAATGTTCACATGTCATGCAACAATTCCCACATTGTATCCCCACATTGATACAATTGTATGATTGTACAAATGTAAAAAACATTTCTAGTGTCCCCAACTATGATATCCCTGGAATAGCTCACTCACTACCTAAATGCCTCTCCATCATGTGGGATAATAATCCTATTCACCCGTGAAGATCCGAGTTAGAATTGATCTTCAGTAACCCATGTTTGCAGTAAAAGGCAACTAACGGGATCGGGTGGTCAGACTTGCTGACTTGGTTGACACATGTCATCATATCCCAATTGCGTAGAATGATGCTCATGCTGTTGATCACTGGACTGTCTGGTCCAGACTCAATTATTTACAGACCACCGCCATATAGCTGGGATATTGCTGAGTGCGGCATAAACCTAAACTCACTCACCTATTGACTTTGCTGGAACAATGCAATAAGCTCACTCATTCCCTATATGCCTCTCCAGTAAGATAATCATAATCATATTCACAATGATGTAAATGGATACAGTGTGACTGCCTGGTCTCTGATGTTGGAGGTGAGGGAAGGTTGAGGATGACAAGTTGTGCGTCTCTGGATTTATCCTTGATATGCTTGTTGAGACTCACAGCCGTGTGCATCCTCTTGACATTGCTGGAATCTCTGGAATAGCAATGTATAAATGTCATAAGTGAATCAGTGAAGGAGCTAGGTTTAACACCACTAGTATTCCAGTTACATATTCAGAAGTGATGTATGTCCTAGCAGTGTACCACTTCTGTGAAAACCATGAGTATGGGTATGGTGCTGACAAACCTAGAAACATGGTAGGGGTGACCCGGGTTCGAAACCCACTATCATAAGTTTCTGTCATGCCCAGACACAACTCTGCACAGTAAACTGACACCTCAGATAACTTGGCCACATGTGGCCCTATAGTACTGTCGGAAATGCTTGAAAAATGCTTTTTAACCTTAATACTTTGATAAAGGTGATAAATGTACTATGTTGTCAATATATCAAGTCGCCTATAGTGTACCTATTTTAATTTCAATCGATGTAACATTTCCATGCATTTAAAGGGCAGTTTACAGGAGAGAATGTGGTACCAAAACAACAACTTGAGATTTTTTCAGAGTTTAACATGAGAAATCTGAAATAGTCTTTAAATTTATGCTAATAATACAGGTGGTGCAAAAATATAAATTAACGTTTTTCTTAAACAAATAAAATGTTTAATGTTTGTGTTACCTGACTTAACTATTGTTTCTTCATTGAAGAAAAATTAATATAAATGTTAAGTCTTAATAAATAAGTTTCCCGTCATGCATGCACATCTTTATCACAGCGTTCACTATGGCAAACGATTTGCAGTCGATTGTTGCAAAGCTTTATAAAAAAATTTTGTGCTTGAGAAAGACAGAGGTAAACCTTTCATTATTTCAGAAAGGGTTTATTACAGAACTTGTAGAGCTGTTGGCATGTCTTACCAACAAGTTTACAATATTGTAAACAAATCAGACAAGACAGGGACCGTCTCAAAAGCAAAACTGTGAAGCTATATCAGTGACTTCGTTAAATCTTTGGCCAATGTTCACAACTGGATTAAATTGACCGAATTACATCCATACTTTTGCAAAGAAATGTACTATTGACATGCAAAACGTTTATTAAAACGTTGCACATTTCTACAATCAATCGATAAAATAACACAAGTGATGGGATTCTTTCTAATGCACAATAATTCGTATGTTTATTTCAAAACACACACACACAAACATATATACTTGTTATTTAAGTAACTGTAATACCTCTGATATTTACATAAAAGTCAAAAAGCATTTTTCTAGCATTTCCAACAGTACTTTAGTATGAATGTCATGTGATACCTAGTCTGTCTCACAGTCCCTGAACCACATTATTTTCCTTACTGCCAAGCCCTAAATAAAGCAAGTCTAGATTTACTGAATCTCTGGTCTCCCTGGGGCTCCTTTTCAATTTAAATGGGCTTGTTTGTTACTATCAAAATTATATATATTCAGAGACTAAGCATTAGTCTATGTGATACCCTGACTATTCAAATCAATTTGGAACATCAAATGCATGTATAATATGACTGTTACAATTCAGTTATGTATTTCGTGAATCAAACAATATTTTTTCATGAATTCAATTCGTAATTTGCGATCACTAAAATATATTCATGAATTTTTAAAAGAAAAAGATTTTTTTTTAACTTGAATCCAGGTGTTATTTATGTAAACAAGAAATGGAAAGTGGAATATATCCTAGCCAGACAGGATAAAAACCAACATTCTTACATATATAATTTGACAGTTGTCACTGGTAGTTGTTGTGATAAATTAACACTGTCAACATGGTCCAAACATGTCAAATGATTATTTTGATATTGTTTCACTGCATTTATTGAATAACACATAAACTGCTGACTTGTTATTGCAGCTGTCATCCAATATTCGTGAACTGTATCATATTTGCCTCCTAGTGGATTGCAGCCCACTGTTATGACTTTAATAAAGAGTGAGTGAGTGAGTTTAGTTTTACGCCGCACTCAGCAATATTCCAGCTATATGCCGGCGGTCTGTAAATAATCGAGTCTGGACCAGACAATCCAGTGATCAACAGCATGAGCATCGATCTGCACAATTGGGAACCGATGACGTGTGTCAACCAAGCCAGCAAGCCTGACCACCCGATCCCGTTAGTTGCCGCTTACGACAAGCATGGGTTACTGAAGGTACATTCTAACCCGGACCTTCACGGGTACTTTAATAAAGAGCCTTGGTGATATTGAACATGCAGTTTATGTACAAACACTGTAACAACATGCAAGTATCAAGTACCTTTCATGTAGCATTATAAGAGTAGGAACATCACAAATATGTAACCAAACCATAAGTATATTTGAATATATATCAACAATCAGGTGTTCCACTCATGAATCCTTTAAGGTGCATGGATGCGTGTGTGTGTTAGTTGTTTAATACTCAGCACTATTTCAGCTACATGACAACAGCTTGTAAATAATGCAACCTTGCAACAAATATCCAGGGATTGCTATGAGCATCTGGTTATGGTGACTCTATCAACCAAGTTAATATGCCTGACATATGAATGGCTACATTTTGAAACAATAGTCATCAGAAGATGACAAATCCCCTCAAATTTGAAAGAACAAATCATCTGACAGTTACTTAAAGTCCAACTTGATGAGAGAATTTCTGTCTAATCTGTCAGTCCATATAAAAGAGTAGTTATTGAGCTATCAAAACAATAACATGGAATTGGGATTCCTAACTTTGTACTTCTATGTCAGGTACAAACCAATATCGAAGTGAAAGGAAAAAAATACAAATTCTTAAAATCCCTAATAGCAAAAGACAGCAGTGAACAACCTGGTCTTTTTGTTGCACACAATTTCATGGAAGAATACCTATTATGTTTAGAGATATGGTCTGAGTGAAAGTCAAACTTGGAAACAGGAAACAAATTCATTTCCATAAAATTAGATGAAAAATCTCCGGAAACGAAATCCACCTACTCCTGTTGAAACCCAGTTCAAATTGTTTTCAAGGAAAACAAGAAATGGAAATGGAAACCAATATGCCAAAAATCCGCAAGTAGCAAAACGTACCACTTCAGGAACTGTTTGTTAATCTGCCAAGTATTGTTGATAGATATTGTGAGGTTTTTAAGTTATGATCCGGAAACAATGTCGAGTTGCTGAGTTATGATGTAACAGGTTTCCATATGACTAGTTAATGTATCAAGTAGATGGTCAACTTCTTTACTACAGAGGTAGAAGTAAATTTAATTACTATAATGATACACTCTATCTCATAATTATTTATACATCTTATGACTAAATATGACGAAATGAATCTTAAAAAGTGAGTGAGTGAGTTTAGTTTTACGCCGCACTCAGCAATATTCCAGCTATATGGCGGCAGTCTGTAAATAATCAAGTCTGGACAAGACAATCCAGTGATCAACAGCATGAGCCTTGATCTGCGCAATAGGTAACCTATGACATGTGTCAACCAAGCCAGCGAGCCTGACCACCAGATCCCGTTAGTCACCTCTTACGACAAGCGACTAACAGGATCGGGTGGTCAGGCTCTAATGTCACCTTCTAATGTTACGTGCAATGCAAAGTGCATGCAAAAAGCTGTTCTCTTGCATTGGGTTCACCCTCTGATTTCAAGGTCTTAATGTCTTTCATTACCCAAACTGTAAATAACTGATTTGTCCTTAGCTTTTATTGGCATTATATTGTAAGCTCAACTATTCCCACTGTGCATGACAGAAGTGGGTCTGACGGCCAATATTGTGTTTGTGGTTGTACACGTGAACGAGTGCTGGCCCCACACAATTTTGTTTGTGAAGCTGTGAAGAATAAAGAAACAAAGTGCCTAGGATGGTTTGGTGGTTCTTTAGATTGGCATTAACAGCTACAGCCCAATACAAAGAAAAACTTGACACTGGCAAATGAAATTTTGAACTATGTCTACAACAGTCTACTTAGAATGGTGACAGAAATGTCACATGTTCTCTACGTACGGTGTGGCATCTTCGTCTGACTCAACATCACGGGGGTTTCTCATTCCACTGGTGCTACCTCCACTGAAGGTGTAGTGAACTCTCTCTTCCGGTTCCACAGACAGGGTGCTGCGGGACTCCAGGTTGAACTGGACCCGTTCAGTAGGAAGCTTAATGCTACTTTCCCGATGAATCCTGTCCATGATAGACTGAGCCTCCTGCAAACTCTGAAACATCAATTTAAATAAGAGGAAGTCATCAACACCATTGTCATGTAAGTAATTCTTTAGTCACAAAAGATTTTAAGCAGGAAAGACTTCAAGTTGTTGAAACAATTCAGTTTTGCATTTTAACTTATTTTGTCAATTTCCATGGTCGAAGATGTTTGTTAAAGAAAGCGTTGTTTCAGTTTTTCCTCTTCCCAGCAACTCATATTTCGTCCCATAATGCAAAACACTACTGTAAATCATGAAATTAATGCGTCACGAATTTAATGCGATTGCGGGGGTCTAGTCTAAAATGCGTCACGAAATTAATGTGAGCTCAGGAATCTGTGTTGATGATAAAATGGCACACCCTGAATCTTTGGTGTTGTTCTTTTTCAACAACTTGTTAAGCAATGAATGGAAAGGAGCTGACAATGTTTTGATTACGCTGCCATGTTTGATCACGAGATTGCTACTACTTGTCTTATGACAACATGTATAAACGTAATCCGACAAGACACAAGTCATCTACCAAGGTACAAGAAACACGTGGCTGGAGAATGTCCGGTCTGGCTGATGTGCTTGAGTGACTTTAAACAATGACCAGTGGTATATTACATGTGGTTTGAGATACCTGTAATGAGGAAGTGACCTGTATTGGTGTAATGTGTAGTGTCAACAGATTTACGTTTTCTGTCTTTTATTAAGTAGACATGGCCAGACTGAAATGCGTCATTATAATAATGCGAGAAGAGTACAGACGCATTTTTCTCATTAATTTCATGATTTACAGTATTTATCATCATGCATTGTGAGGCTGAAAAATGAATCCACTCTAAAACACTCTTCTGTAGTGTTCCTTAAATAGACTGATGCACCAATTCACAGGTGAATATGTACTGCTACATACATGTTTCTTTTTCAAGTTCATCTGCTGCAGCATCTTGGTCCTTTGTTCCATCTGTAGAGTCCTTTCATAGATGTAGGCAGATATATCATTGTCATACTGTAACAGAGCGAATATGCATTCAAAACTCCATGCACTTTCAAATTATATTCAAATTTCGGAGCACCTTTCGAATACAGCACCACAACTTCTCGTGAGGACGATCTCTGCCGTAGGTCACGTGTCATTAAGACAAGCAACCAGTTTGTGAGAACCCGTTGGACGCGAACCCGCAACCTTCGGATTGTTAGCTTGACAGCTAACCGACTGAGCTACGTCCACACTGTTGCACAATGTGCAAATTTATCGAGTCATTCCTGTGACGTCATGGAAATGAACGGAAAGAGTCGAATAGGTCACGGACAATTACGAAGGTTACGGGTAGACTTGGTGTCTCGTGATTTTAATCTACGGACACCTGCCGAATGGACCCGATGCCATTTGGCACACTCGTCCCATTCCGTAATCTACAAGATAACGTGTGGCGTGGAATGAGCCGATATGCCTCAAACTGAAAAGGGTTGTTGACGTCAGGCGTCACACGTAGATTTCACGGTGCATGCATGAATGACGCGCTTTTATATAAATCGGTGATTTTGTGACAGAAAAGTGATGTAGGGAACACTGTAAGGATAATGTGGATCGCACTAAGGAGTGAGGGAGACATGAGCATGTGTAGTGACGGCACGAGGGTGAGTTAGCCTTCGAATCATTACTGAACAAATGTTGCGTGTGAAAGAGGCTTCAGTGCAAATTCCAGGCCAATTTCCATTAGCCCAAAATTTCTACATTAAACCATTTCATAGTGTACTTTTGACGTTTTTGGTTTCCCGTTTTTGTGTGAAAAAAAGTATTAAAATGCAAAAGGAAAAACAACAAATGGTATTTACGTATTACACTGGACATGTACCTATATACTGGATTAGGTCCCTAACCCTAAACCTAAACCCTAAACCCTCAGCCCTAACCCTTACCCTAATCCCTTGAAATTATCCTAATAAATAGAATGCATTGACCGAACACGCAGTATTAAAATGCAAAAGGAAAAGAAACAAATGGTACTCACGTATTACACCAGACATGTACCTAACCCTAAACCTAGCCCTAACACCTTGAATTAATCCAAATAGATAGAATGCATTGACCGAACCGGCACAAACATGACTGACGTGTCCAGTGTAATGCATTATTACCGCTTCGAAAAATAAAATACTAATAAAAAACTTTCTATAATGGTGCAAATTACTGAATGACAAAAATATATATGTAAATTTAAAAAATGCAAAATACAATAATACACAAAACATAACACCTCAGCACCCCGTAATACAAGTAAATATGAGTGTATTAGTGAAAAAAGAAAAATATTTCAAACTGGTGCTTGCAAAACATTGCGCATCCGCTGGTATACAACTACTGGAAACTCTCAACATCATTGGGTTTATGCAATGACATAGCTCGTAGAGATGAAACACCAGTGAGCGGAGCTTATACGCTCTCGCTGAGCCAGACAACTGTGTTGCCATGCAGGCATCATAGGGCATTGTTTCAAGAACGTGCTTTCGAACAAAATCACATAACATTACGTAAAAGGGTATTATGACGTATTTTTAAAGTTTGAGGTGCTGTATTCTAAAGGTAGGCCCAAATTTCAATACCACACTGCATCAATCTTCAAAATGTTAATGCTAAAATGCTCTATGGTCACTACTAGCATCTCAGAGTGGCATAAATCCTAAAGCTGTACATAATTTTTGATAATCTTTTATGATACTATTTATCAGATCTTAAATGTAGCCCACTTCTCATTATTCATCAGTTTACAATGACTGATAATGCTCTTCAAGACTTTTCAAGCAAATTACACACGAAACTGAAACATTTTTGACAATGTGTACCATTTCAACAACTTGTACTTCTGCATTGATCCTCAAATGGTAGAGGTATTTCTTGAGATCCTCCTTCAGCTGGATACTGTTGTCCTCAAGCTCTGGACAAAGCTAAGGGAACCACTGAAGATTCTGCACAATTCTCAGGGATAGACATAAAGAATGTTTTTCTGAATGAAGTAGACTTGTGGTTCACAAAATTCATTTCTGGGAAGCAACTTCAAAGATGGGTTCCAAAGTTCAGATATTTGTCAGTTCTATTATTTGTATCAACCTGTGGTGATTGTGAACTTGAATTCTTTTAATCTGAATTGTATTATTTCTGTAGAAATGGTCACTATTTACAAATTTCGAAATATTGAATGATGGGTACATAGTAATATCCTCCGTGAGGAACATGGATTTTCAAGACTTGTGGGTGCTTCATTGATAAATCACCGCCTCATGATTCACTGCCATATTACATTCTGTATGAAACTTGTATCCAATAAACAGGATTCACACAGATACGTGTCTTGAAAACCTTTGGAGTTTTGTTCAGAAATTAACACCAGTGTCCAAAATTATGAAAACAATGTTTACACTGATTTACTTTTTTCAATACCGGAAAAGCATTTTCTTGAAACATATCCAAAGCGTCAAAGACACAACATGAATATCTTTTAACATGAGGTCCTGGAAATTATACTGGTGATGATACAGGCAGATGCATTGCATGCAATGTTGATCACAATTACTATGTCAAAAGGATACGAGCAACTGTGAAGATCCTGATAGAACATTTGCTCCAAGTCCGATGTTGTTTCAGAAGAAAGGGAAGTAACATCAGAAGGCCGCCATCATGTGGAGTAGGTTAAGGAAATGATCAATACACAATTGCTACATATTCATCATCATTCTACACTAACTTGTATGTTAACTAACATGCTTCCTTATATCCATACAGGGGGGGATGGAGTACCCAGTTTTTAAAGCGTTCGCTCTTAACACCAAAGATCCAGGTTCGATCCCCCACATGAGTACAATGTGTGAAGCCCATTTCTGGTATCCCCCGCTGTGATATTGCTGCAAAATTTCCTAACGTGGTATAAAGCTGAACTCAATCACTCATTATATCCATACATAAACTGTCACATATCAACACAGTGGCAGTACACTGAAAAAGATGTTTGTAAACCATGTACATTTATATAGAAGACTGACAATTTCAAAATACTTAAAATTTGTCACAAAGATTTATAAAGTGTACCCGGTACTTTAAAGCACGTTCAAAACATGAACAACCGAAATAATAAGCAACTTTTGTACAACCTGGACATGCAATTTGAAGGTGTCAGTTACAGGCTGTTCCTCTGTACTGAATTGCTATAATCCCTGATGCTGTACAAAGTGACATGACAAGGATATGTACAATCCACCATATGTCCAAGGTGCCTTTGAGTCTGTCAGAGTTTTCAGGGAAGTGGTCGATGCCTTTCAGCACCATCAGAGATAACTCTGAGGCATTTATGTTCTTCAGGGTTTCTGGAAATAGTGAGATGTTCTTCAGTTGTTTCTCATAATGTTATTACCAAACATCACATAATTAATTTCACAAGTATATTACTCACGGCGGAAAATCTCAATTTCTGAGACTGATCTATCTTGTTCAGTAGACTGACCAGTAGACTAAGCTATGATAAATACTTTGATGTCATACTCTCATTCTTACATTGTTTTTTTTGCCACCATTCTTTGAAATTCATAAGGTAATGGTAATTATGCATTGCATACATAGCCACACAGCTTCTTTGGGCCTTGGACCCATCATTCATCTGCAACATTAGGAAGTCACCTACCCAGGAAGACTCTGTAACCTTTCTCCCGTCTCTGCTCACTCCACTCGTCTGGCCATGCCAACATCACTGTGTTGTGACGCAGGACACCAAGACCTGCATTCTGGATTCTACAACATACAGGCTTATTAATCAAGATCACTTATAACACCGGCACATTTTAATTTCAAGAGTGGCGGTGGGGTAGCCTAGTGGTTAAAGCATTCGCTCATCACACCAAAAGCCCAGGTTCAATTTCCCACATGGGTACAATGTGTGAAGCCCATTTCTGGTGTCCCCCACCGTGATATTGCTGGAATATTGCTAAAAGCGGCATAAAAATAAACTCACTCAATTTCAAGATACAGTCAAATCCCGATGAGTCGAATCTCTGGGGACCAAGTAATAAATTCGACTTATCGATGTATTCGAGACATAGGTATGTCTATGAGGGTAGAAAAAAAAGATGATCCAGTCCTAATTCCTCCGCCTAAGCATTTGTTTATCTAATGATTTCCCTATCACTAATAGGGGCACCTTATCAGTTCCAGTCTGATTAGCACAGACAGTGATTTCCGTAAAATCACTAATCTGCCTTTTGAACTCACCCATCAAAGGCGGAAAGGCGTGAGCCGCGCTGGTTTGTTAATTGGATAAGTTTGCTACACCAATCAACTTCTCATTGACTGACTTCTGCTTCTGTATACAAGATTGCTGTTGTTTGAATCTCATGGGACCAAATTTTCTTCTCGAAGTCATCTTGTGTATTTATGAGTCGAATTCGTGTAACCGGTATTCAAATGATGACAACTATAACAGGGAATGGTCAGGACCGACAGGTACTTCGAGTTATGCATAATATTCGAGACACCGGCATTCGACTCATCGGGATTTGACTGTATATAAAAAATGTGAATGGACCGTTTCAAATTATATATTCTAATAAGATAATCATAGTTTGCTTGATGGGGTTTGCAGGATATTAATAGTGTTGTTTTTTTCCATTATTTTTATCATGCCCTTTAGTGATCCACTTTTGCAAGTATTCAAGGTGAGATATGCTGCCTTTTTGTCATCTGAGATATTGTTTTGATAGTACGCAGGACTCCCTCAATTTCAAACACTGCAGAAGTGAGGATCACTTACACATGACAAATGCCCTCTTCTAATGTGTGGGACATGATTACATCAGAGAACCCTCGGATTTTGCTCTTCTCAATCCAGTCATCCAATGTCTGAAAGCCGTACAGCATCCATTGAATATAATTATGTTTATACATTACTTCCGTATAATGATTAATGATTTTATTGCGAAAGATTCACATGTCCTTCAGTTATTTGTAAGAAAGCATTCAGTACCTTCCTGGCAGTTTTGATGTCATCCACATGTTCAGCATATTCTCCTTCAAGGACACTGTTGACCATTGTTAGGCCTTTTCCTGAAAGCATTGTTTTTGCAATAGACTGTTTGTATGCCGTTCAATGCTGCAATCAATATGACAAGAGCCTGTAAATAATCAAGACTTTAACAGACAATACAATGATTGGCATTATGGTCTATATTCCATGCCTGGTCAATAGTCCATGCCACTGATTTACAATGATACACTATCAACCATGTCAGCATGCCGGACAACCCAAGATTTTTAGACCTAACACCCTTCACTACAATCCCAATTATATTAAGAAACATCTGATAAAATTACACACATTTATAACATTTTTTAATGAAAATTATCAATATTTCTTGTGAAGGTAAAACATACCTGCTTTCAGTTGACATGCAAATGTCATCAACTTTGGTGATTTAGGTGTGAAATCCTCATCTAGCTTGACAAGGAGCAAAAGCTGTGGTCTGGAATGTCAACATGAGGAGGGCATCATCAATATCCCCCACAATGATAACTTCAACAGAGTTTGTGTTGCAGGGACCGACAAAGTGCTTAGTTCTCATCTTGTTATCTCCATGTCCAAGTTACCTTATATAAAACTATCAATAAATTAAAAGTAAATTCCAAAACCCAAGAACAATGCTTAATTTCTGTAGCAATCACGACTCACCAAATCATTCAAGCCTTGAATTGGATTTGATTTTAATTTATTCTCGAAATGGCAGACAGTGACATGAGTGCTTTGAGTTTACCAGAACCATTGCTTCACTTGCAATCCTGCTCAGAGTTTAGCTTACACATGGACTTTTACTTATGTTAGTAGATACCGCTAACTTACCCTGCAGATGGGTAGTCTTGGTTTGACAAGAAATGATTGCTTTTTACCATTTTGTTCACTGGAAATTGACTTGCATGTAACTATTTAAACTCACAGAATTATGATAGTGATACTAGTTTTCTTACAAGAAACACTATATAAACTTCAAACAATAACATATAAGCATCACATTTAACATGACAACTGACAGAAGCATTCAGTTTGTTGAGGCCTTGAAACTGCCTGTACTACTAACCGCCAGTTTTTGGTGTGACTGGAAGATCCCTTCATCCTGAAGAGGGCGTGCTGAGCTGCAGACATAGCTAGGCCTCTCATACCATCTCCCCACTCCTTCTCAGCACTGTGCAACATAGTAACCACAGAATCAAGATCAAGTGTCAACATCTAAAATAATTATAATTACTAACAATGTTGTCTTTAAATAGGCTATCCTGCGCAGAACTAAACACCATTAAATGCACTATAGACATAAACTTTTGAACTAAATAAAACTTAAAGAGGCGTTCACACAACATTACTACATTAAAAAATAATAATCTGTATGAATATATTGTAGCAAGAACCCCTTTAATAACAAACTTTGGTCAAATTGTAACTCACTGTTTGGTTGATAACTGTTACATTTTGTGCAGTTTGTTACATATCACTGTCTATTGTGTTGAGTTTATGATTGAATCATGACATATTCATTTGTAATATGCAACAGAAAAGAAATACATAATTTAAAAAGAAATTGTCTCAACATTTACTTTCTTACTTGAAAATGTCAGTTTTAGTGGTGGTTCATGACCCTTCTAAATATAGATAAATCAGATGATGTGAAAACACATTTTCTTCTAGATCCATAGACTTTTTTTCCATTCATTCCTATTTCAGGACTTCAATATTTATAAGCCAAAATGTCAAATTATATCAGAGTGTAAGATAAGCCAAAATGTCAAATCATATCAGTGCATGAAATAAGCAAATAAACTTCATGTTACCAGCCAAAAATGGATTTTACCAGACTAGACAATCCAAAGAAAATAACTCTATTTTTAGTTATGAATAATTTAATCTTTTAGTTTCATATTCCTGTTGCCTTTCTTTTTCTGTTTTATGTTTTCTGTCTTCAGGTAAACCTAACAACTTATGAAGCATAGCAAAAATATGGCTTCTTCAGTTACCATCATTAAGGTGCAGATCCATCGTTAAGTGTCACATTTCATTGACACTGAATTGTACGCGCAGTGCTTTGAGTTTGCAGAACTCTGCACATCGATAGGTGTCGCTGTTTCAGTGATAATATATGTCAACGCAGTGCTTTGAGCAATGCGATATGATAGTTCAATGTTCAAAAAGTAATTTTCAAGTCTAAATCTAACGCTCAATTTGAAAAATAGATTTTAAGATATGATGAATGTATGTATGGAATCGGGCGGTTGGATGGGCCTTATATCATACACTGATCATATGCAAGACACATAAATGTTTAGATTAAAATAAAATAAGAAACAGTATTACTGCAATTCCCACACTAGGCCAGGACAGTTCAATTACTTGTTTACCGATGAAGCTATCAATTTGACACTTGATACCTATGGCCCTAACTTTGAAATTGGTTTCATCCTAGTGCATCTTAAATGGTGAAATAAAATGAAGGGAAAGTGTTCAAACTCCTGGACTAGTAAGTGTGCTAATTTAATACAATATAAATAGTACATACAGTACTTACCCTTTGTATTCCACATATTTGTAGACAGCACACGCCAGCACCATGGCAATGAGAGCATAGTACCAGCTGGATATGAACATGAGGCTGAGGCAGAGACCAAGCCCCATGAGGGACAGACTCCAGTGGTAGCACCAGAACCGAGGGCGCCAGTGGGGGAGACGAAGTAGGGTCTGAAGAGCACATGCCAAGTTGATGAAACCATAGCACATGAGGAAGAACATGGTCACAATTGGAGCAACATAGTCCAGTTTGGCAATAAGGATTCCCAATTCAGCTATGAGAGTAGAGAGAACAAGTCCCCTGATTGGTTCACCACCTTTGGTAGTATGGCTGAAGAAATGCAGGAATGGTATGACATTGTCCTTGGCTATAGCCTGTAACAATCGGGGAGCACCTGGAAATAAGGTTTTATAATCACAAAAATGACGATAGCTAAATTCCAAACATTCATTTACAAGTTGTAGAAAAGCGTGCAAAGTTTCATTCATGTAACTTCAATAGTTTTTGAGAAAACCTGTCCTCATGCACTAAGCACGAAGTTGAAAAGCATGGAGCAAGAGTCTTTACTCTGTTAAAAGGAATTTAAGACCAATTTTCCATTTTGTTTGAGAACTTGACAAGTTACATCAGTGTGTAAGACATTTTGAGGAAATGAGCACCCATTATAAAGCTAACAGAGGAACAAACTCTGTTCCTATACGACCTCCTCACTTCCGGGTGGGATATAATAAACGTGATATACACAAATTTCTCTTTTAGTAGTGTTTCATAGTTACATTTTCCAGAACATGATGGAAGCAACATTATATTCTGATTATGGTACTTATAGTTCTTGAACAATCTGCTGATTGCAATGAGTGTTCAAACAACGGCCTGTTCCAAAAAGAGTGTGATACAGCAATACCCAAGGAATAACTAACGACAGTTGTATCCCTATGATCAGTTTGTGGAATGGGACATAGTTCTGCACCTACCTGTCAGTGCTTGAAGGCCTGCTCCTACTGTTGACTGGAAAGAGCCAATGAGGATCACCCACCTTGTTGGCCAAGCTAACTGTGCTATCACCAGATCTCCATTTATACTCTCACCAAACCTGCAAAACACATTCTTGTTCATACAATTTCTGTGAGAGTCTGTGTTAAGATTGGTACTCAGCAATCTATGGTTATCACAAAGGGCAACGTTTGGATCAGTTAGAAGGGATAAGTGCTAGGATGGAAGCATGTCAACATACCCTAAAGGTGTAGACTGCTACCAATCACTGGTTTGTCTGGTTCAGATTTGATAATTTAAGGGTAGCTATCAAACAGTTGGAATATTGAACAAACAAACCAAACCTTGAAACAATCACAGCAATCATCTATGATTGATGTTCATCTCCAGCTAACATCCTTTTTCTTGGTGTTGTGGTCAGTTTATTTGTTACATCTCAGCCATTGTTGATATTTTTATGCATCCTTTTCCCCAACATTTGTCACCATACATAGATGGGATCCTATAATGATTTGTGGTGGGGCTTAATTTCCAACACAAACAAGTTGCTGTGTGAAATTCTAGGACTGAATCCTTGTTCAAGAACTAAAAGATGTACTTTGCAGTCATTGCCATCCTGTTAATGAGATTTTACCTTTTTCAAGATGCAAGAAAACCCACTCACTTGTCCCTAAGGACCGGTCCTTCTATACAAGCAGCAAAGAACAACACTGATGACAGATCTTATAGATGTTAAGAATGACCACAAGGAACACCTGTTTCTTATATTGTGTGTAAAGAACGCACTCAAATATTATCCATGATCATTTTGAAAACAATAATACATCAATGTAATTTATCCAAAATTATCTTATTAACAAAAGCAAAATAAACTATTTTTGACATAGAAGCTGTTTTCCAAATCTGTAATTCTTGAAAACAGATCATAATCAAGACTTGCAATGTACCTCTCCTTTAGACAAAGGAGGGGGTGCCAAAATTTGAAAACAATCCAAGTAACAGTTTACTAGATATTTAGTTATTATTTGTACCAATATGTCTCTGTATTACTGTATATTCTTGGTATTACTTATACCCCTGATTTTCTAAGTTGCAGAAAGGATACAAATCAGCGAGGTGGATCCAACTGCCCATAGCGTTCCCTTTGGAATGGATTTCTGGGGATCTTTTAAGTCACCCGAATAGTTGGCACCTTGTTCAAAACCTGAAACATTTCACTACAGATTTCACAGATTCATCACATAAATATATAATTACAATTTCTTGACATCATTCAGTGAAACCAGGCATTTCCTCATCATTGAGTTTCTGTTCTTACTATACCATTCAAAAAAAGTAGGGGATATTGGATTTAAAAGATTGATAAAATACAAATGATGAAGCCAAGGAGGTAACAGATGATGAAGGGATATCAAGGGAAAATGTGACAATTTATTCCATTCCTTTGGAAATGTTTCATCTGTATGGATATATATTACTTTTTCTCATATGCATTGGCATTGGCTAGTGGTATGCTCGAAAAATGTAATATCCCCTACTTTTTTTAATGGTATATATAATACAGCACACCATGAACATATTATCTGTAATTGCTCAATTTATAAAATCATTATGTTTACTGGGGTCATTTTCCAGAAAACCATGTAGTTAGTGGCGAAAAAATCTTAAAAAAACACAAAGAAGTATGATGAAAAGGTAAAAATAGAAGAATTTTATTTGTTAATACAACCTCACAAATACTGCTCAAATGGTTTTACTTCATTTTCGTAAAAAGCATTTCGTAATTAATCCAAAATGAAAAAGCAAATCAAGATAAAGTTAAAAAGGCTGTGTGCATGACCTTTCTATTTATTTCTTCATGCACACTGTAATTAAAAGTACATGTTTAAAATCAATAGTCAAAGTGTTCATTATGGTCAAAGTGTTCATTCATCACACCAAAGACCTAGGTTTGATTCCCCACATATGTGTTACTTTTGAAGCCAATTCTAGTGTCCCCTGTCGTGATATTGCTGAAATATCTGATGTCAGTTTGTGAGTTATTCTATTACTGGGTTTCTAGAATGGCCCGTGAGTGTAGTTTAATACAACATTGAAAACTATTTCAATTGCAGGTGTAGACATGTACCACTGTGATGACTCCCACAGACATGGTGTTCAAAAACCAAGACACATGGAAGTCTTGTAAGCTGACATACATGGTAATAAACATTTACATCAATCCTCATGCAGAGCTTGAGGTAGCAACCAATTCTGGTTGTAAGAGGCTATTTAATGTACTAGGGGATCAGGCTTGGTGACTTGGTAGATAGGTTAGCCGCATACTCTGACCGCATCAGACACTGCTCATAGAATCAATCACTGAATTGTCTGGTCCACACACTATCACTTACATATCGGTGAGTGCAGCATTAAACAACAAGCACAGACACATGCATACAAGCTTTCACTCATTTACAACAAAGCAGGTATTGTCAGTATCTACCAGTTATGGAAGGGAAGTATATAGCCAACAGGATCATGAAGGAGGTGGCTATGTCAGTGGTGATATCCCCCCTCTGCTTGTTTGCTACAGTACTGCTGTCTGGGTGGACACCTGCCTCCGTGTAATGGGAATACAGGTTATCTGAAATGAACAAGGCACTGACTTAGTTCAGCATGAGTAAGTGAACAAGTTCAATGCCGTATTGCACAGTACTTAAGTTATGTCACAGCATGTAGTCAAGTGGGGTCTCAGGCTTTTACCACTTCAGTGAAACCAAGGAACACACGTATGGTCATGCTAAATCTAGAAACACAGGTAAAACCTTAATTTCAACCCACAATCGTAGGTTTCGGGCCTAAGAAACTCCGCACAGTGATTGCTGGAACCTTAGATGACTTTGTCACACAGGTACCCAATTAAGGTCACATAGCAACATTAATTCATTCATTTTGGTACAATAAGCGTGTTCACATTTCAATAACATAACAAGAAAGAACAATAATAAATTACAAACATACTCCAAACCCCACAACAATTAATTCTTTAACACATTTGTCATAAAATTTCATTTGAAACCAATAATATTACATTTCCCCCAAAACGATTTCACCCATTATTTGCAAATAAGAATGACAATACCCATGAAAACTCCACTAGTAATGCCTGGAATTCCTGGCACCACCCTGACGTCATTGTTGAGGAAGTAAGGATCACACGAGGTGTAGGAGCTGTTGACATCTGTACAGAACATGTTGAATAGTGGTCCTGTTTCATTCTTGATACACATCATGGTGCCATTCATGACAACTTTACTGTAGGGCAGGACATGGTCTCCCAGCATACACACCCTGAATTAAATCACAGTTGTCATAGAGTCTTAACTCACAATAATATAACTAGTGCTGGTTATTGTTCACAATATGCAGATAAATAATCAGAGGTCAATAATCGATCAATAATCGATTGTAATTGTAAACTCCACCAGAAAACTCATGTGGGCAATCATAACATTGTGCAAATCGGGCACTTATTAATACTAAGATCAAGAGGATCCAGGATACTTCATGTTGAGATGCGAGTATGTTCACATTTCATTTTTAGTCAGGAAACTGCATCTGTTGTTTATGTCAACAATAAAAAACATACTTACTAAAGTTTAATTTTTCCTTTTTTTTATGAATATCAATTAGTTTCATATTCATGTATGTTTTATACTGATCTGGATGAAATAAAAACCATAAATGTTTCACCATATCCACTGTTTTAGACATACCTGATACTGTTATCAGTGTTTGATACAAAGATCCCGATGTATATGCAGATAACGGACACAATGACAAAGGCGAGAGTCAGCGAAGACACTTTGGTGACGAACCTCACTCCAACCAACACCACCAGGGCAATAAGCAGCAGCAGGATTGTTCCGTACACCCGGAAGTTATTGTACATATCTGCTTCTGTGCCCCCTGTAAATATGGCAATCTCTGGGGCCAGATACGTCTGAAAATAACAACCACATTTACATATGTCATATACTTTTTGTACAAACTCTATCATACAGTTCCTTGTACATACACATGGATCGATTTTAGAACTAAAATGAAGGTGTGCAGGGAGTGAGTGAACATAGTGTTACACTGTTTTCAGCAATACCATGTCAGCAAACACTGGAAAGTATGCTTTGCACAATAAACCCTTTGTGGGAGTTTATTAAGGATTCCTCTACGCCCCTCATGGGGATGTAGGGGTTAACTTTCATGAAAAAATCTACCCTATATTTTACAAAAGTTAAAAAAGAAAAATGCTGTGTATTCTAATTAACATTTTTGACGAAATAATATTTCAAGGTTCTATTTGTTTTAAAAATCAACTGCTAATTAATTGAAAGCATATTTAACCTAATACCTATAAAACAAAAATATACCGGAAGGGCCTTAAAATTGTTCACCAAACATATGTTCATATGACACTGGATTCTGAACTAGACTCTTTCACCACATTAACCACTGGGATGCCAGGTTAGAATATAGGCAATGTATGCTGGTTGTTACAGGCAACTTAATGGATCATGTGGTCAGGCTTGTAACCTGATGGCATGGATCACTGCTCACTATATCAACCACTGGATTGTCTGGTTCAGAACCATTACCTACATGTCATTGTCACAAAGCAGGAACACTGCTGATTGAAGCTTGAATCAACAACAATCATACCATGATAAAATATCATGACCCCTACATCATAATACTGTATATATTATGGTGTCGGAATCTATAATAGAGGCCCTTGTACACACAGCTCTGTTCAAGTCTATTGCCTCCTCCTCATGTGAAGCAGCTGCTTTGATTTCTACCTTGACATTTCCCATGTAACATCATGACGCCTCTACCTCCACGATATCTCATATGCCACGGAGTTACTCCTTACCACAACCACCACTACATCTGGCAGGTGTAGGGATTACATTCATGTACAGAGGAACAATATGCCTGGATCTTGGCACATTATCATAAGTCAATGTATAAATAGATGTTATCATCTGATGTACGCAATGGTTTGGGTATTCATACTGATTAGAAATTATGAAAACCAATCTTTTCTTACACCACACTGTAAGTTTAGGCAATTAACAACAGGTTATTAATAAATCATAATCATACACAGAGGTGGTTCCAGCATCTAGAAAAGAAGGGTAGGCACGATATCCAACTTGACAACTTGAGTTAGTATGATAGGTTAAACACTGTTTTCAGAACCATTCCTGTGATATCATGGTTGGGACACCAATAATTGGCTTCACTCATTATACCTAGGTGCTTCTGCATAACATATACCTTTTACTACTAGCTAAATCCCAACATCCCAATTGTCAATCCAGACATGGTTAACTCAATTCCAGTTTAATATATCCTGGATAAAAACATAGTCACACCTCAAATGTTGTTTTCCTCTAAACTGATCAACTGAAATCGGTAATAAAAAATTATAATTAAAAGTAGAACAGAAAAATGATCATACTGATTATAGGGTCCCAAGTTCACCCAAATTAAACGCTATAGTACTTTAAACTTCAAAGAAATTTAGAGTAGTTTGGATAAACAAGAATATTTACTTTTTACCATTGTATACACTGGAATGACTGGTTTGGGGATAAGTGACTGGTGATGTGAGATTGTGTTGTGTGGCGTGGCAAGGGTGTGACATACAGATATAGCACCTGACTAAAGAATAGCAACATACCTCTTCTTTCATCAGTGTTAGTTCATAAATAATCAGTGATAACAGACAAATAGTGATATTTCTTTATATTAAACCCTGAAGAAGGTACATATATTAAACAATTTCACATTGCACCTAGTCTCTGTGGTTAATCTACAACATGATCAAACTTTCAACTGACCAGTAGAATCTCTATTGATCCAATGAAGTACATGGCTACAGAGACTGAGAGACCCAGATAGAAGAGAATCCCCACTGCTCCACCGAACTCTGGTCCCAGGGACCGTGATATCATGAAGTAGGACCCTCCGCCCGTCACCACTCCATTGGTGGCGATAGCACTCATAGAAAATGATGTCAGCAAGCTCTGCAACACAAATACATGAAACATAGCATTGTGGACTGTTTCTGGCTACACACACCATTTACAAACATACACATGGAAGATACAACATGTAAATGTTTAACAAAATCAGTGTCTCCCAGCAAAGTATCACTTCATTCAGTTCTCCCTGTTCCCAGACCGCCTTGATATTATTGGAATATTGCTAAAAGCAGCATAAAATTAAACTCACACACTCCCTATTCCCAGCATATTCTAATGTCCTATAATCAAACTGCATACTGTATCTGCAACCAGTGCATTGTGGGGTTGAAAAATATTTATTTATTACAGTGAAAGAAAATCCATCTTCCACGATATAGATGACCCATAACCTATGAAGCTATACACACAACAATGCTGTTTTGTTTCCTAACCAGAGGTCTGGAACAAAATCTTTTAAGTCTACTTGCTTAGACTTAACACTTAGCATCATGTTTGTTTGATTACTGTGTTATTACATGTAATAATATTAGTTGAGCTAACTAGACCAAACAGAATTTACTGGAATTGACTTTGGACAAGTGGCTAAGTCAAGAATGGTCATGTGGTCATTTTCTGCTCATGTTCGATCCTTTCAAAGTAATGTTCTAAACATTACAGCCAAAACTTTCTACCCAAATATACTACCATCGTGGACTCTCGTTCTGCCTGAAATGGACCCTAATTAGAATTAACCATATGGGTCCCCTGAAAGGGTAATCTGTATTTTCATGTGGGTGAAATGTTCCATGAGAAACCAACCCTGCATCATTTGCTGGCAATAACATATTTCTCACCACTGAAGAGCAGATGAAGACGATGCTGAACGCCTCGAGAGCCCCAGCCGTGCCCACTATCCATGATAACCTCACAAAGTAGATCACACCAAATATGTTCTGTATGCAGGGTAGGTAAACTCCAAGAATAGTGCCAAGATTGGCTTTCTGGAAACAACAGAAAAGCTCAGAACAACGGCTTGCTGATATCATGATAAATGTCAGTCTATTTCAATATTCTCTTGGCTTTGTAACACACCTGGTTGTGTGTAGAATATGAATGAGCATATAACTTCATGGTGAATTATAATGTTAGGGCAGAGTTCTACACAAATATCATAAATATGCACATCAGCCTGAGTTATCACAGTTCAATGGAATTTTGGAATATCTGTAAAGATATTTCTATATCTTAAATACTTTGTAAAAGAGTTAAACAAATACAAAAGCCTCTTTATTATGACATCCTAATTGACATCCATTAGATCCATGAGAATCATACCATCATGTATGTCAAGTTTGTAGAATAAAAAAAATGAACAAGGAAGAACAATTTGATGTACACATACTATCACTTATACTGTCCATCAAAAATAATAAAGATTTGTTCTTGATGGTAACAGAACCAAATTACATACTAAATACTAGGGCTGTTACGATTCCTAAATTTCCCATGAATTCAATTCGTTTTCCATGATCACTATAATTGAATATTCATGTATTTGATAAAAAGGAGTGTTATTACTTGAAAATGGGTGTTATTTATGAAAATGACTCGTAAATGAAATATGCAAAATGGAATATATAAAAGCCAGACAGTATAATTCTAAAATAATTAACATTCTTATATAACGATATTCAATTTGGCAGCAACATGGTCATTGGTCATTTTGGGGATAAATTAACACTGTGAGCTTGGTCAAAACATGTCAAAGAATTTATTTTGTTATTGTTTCACTGCATATAATGAATAACACTTCAGCTACTGACTTTGTTACTCTATTTGTAACCCAATATGCATGATGTGTATCATATTTGCTTCATAGAGGATTCATTGCAATCCTGCACCTGACACTTAATTGACTGGTTAAGAAAATACTCCAGTCCTCATGTTATAGACTGCTATAAATGTAAGATGATGTCACTGCAATCACAACAGACAACTCAACAACTGGTTCATCAAATAACTTATGAAATATAACATAAATTACTCAGTCATACTAAATTCAGAAAAAGGAAACAATTCTTCAAAGACATACTGACCTTTGTTTGTTTGGAGCCAATTTCTTCATCCGGTACAGGTGCTATACCAGCCTGATAGTGGGCAATTCCACTCAAGAGATGAGACAAGCGACCTTTCTGCTTGATGTTGTCCTGACACAAATTAGTGAAATGTTAGAATCTGTCTCCTGTGAAAATTATTCACTTTGCACCACAGGCTATTAATTATTATTCAGTAGTTTTTACATTTGAATTGAATTGATGTACAACCTACCATAAATGTGTAATATAACTTGAAGAAAAATTGTTTTCGTTCCAATTGCACAATCATAAATGAAGTAAAGTACCTTTAAGATTCTCTTTGGCCTGGACCACAGCATCTAGTATAGATCTAGTAGACCACTAGATTTTTTATGTGCTTATACTCTGGACCACTGACAAATTTTGGCAAAACTAACACAGATCTAACTCTTGCTTATATGAAATAGCAAGTATTTGGATATTGATAATCATACTTACTTCATATAGGGCCATCTGACCTGGTTCCCCATTCTCCTGTACACCATTTTCGGGTGTCTTGTTAGTTCCATCTGAAGCTACAGATACAAGTCACATCAAATACAAGCTCTTATGTATTAGTTAAATGCTCTTGTGAGCTTCATAATGCAACTGATGACATGCAAAAGATCATGTATTTCTAAAGTATTTGATGAAATGTTATTATTTACTTGGCGATGTGGTTGTTTTTCACAAGCCCATGGCCAGATAATAACACATATGGGCAAAAGAAGTATGAAATATTTAATGTTCTGTTCATGCGTTTTGACAGACAACCTTTTACATGAAACAGAGAGCTCAAAATGAGTTCTGCTCAGATTCTTTATTGGCAAAGTCTACGTTTCAGCAAGAATATTTCTTTGACACAAATAACAAAACAGGTTAATGTAGCAACAAAATGTCCGTTACTCTATTCGGAAAACACTCCGGAAGAACACTGCATTAAAAAAAGAACTTTGCAAGTTGTGCACAACCATTCAGTAAGTCCGGATTGAATCTATCCTGTGTATCCTATATAATTAGACATTACACAAGTACGTTGCGCTTGTCGATCTCATTATGATATATAAGTTGATAGTACGTCAGCTATTAACACTACTACCCTACCTGTATTGATGCATGAATCCACATCATCCACGTTAATTTCTATAGTGTCTATATCGGTGTGTTTTGGTCTGTTATCTTTTGCTGCGTCCTCACTTGTAACACCATAGTCTGACTTGGTAACTTTGAACCGCGTCCCTGGCATACCTTCTCATTTGATATGAACGTAAACTGTATCAGTAAAACTTCCGGTAACCTCGTATATTTCCACGGTTCAAACGAGAACCTTCACATACAGTATTTGTTAATCCATCGCTTCCGAACACCACAGAGTCACTAAACACAGCAGGATGGATGAAGGAACAATAATCACGTCTGCTTCTGCTTTGCGTTGCGATGCCTTGCACAACAAAGTGTTTACATATGTGGAGTCAGTGGAACACTCACTCTAACACATTTGACTTTAAAAATGAATAAAAATGCGGCAAGTTCCCAGTCCGAAGAATTACGAATGATACTCCATCAAAGGGACATGAAAACAATAGACGTAGGATGTAACAACATTTGATGTCTGTGGTTTGTTCCGAATGTTCTCGGAATGCTAAGCCAAGTTGGCGAACGTTATCGAAAGGAAACGCAATCGGAACTTCTCGGACAATGTGGTTTTGCATCGCAGAGAAAAAATAGCCCGTTTAGTCAAAGTCATAATTATCGGCCTATTTGATAAAAAGTCTTGTAGAATCATTTCTTATTTATTTGCTTTTGTTGGCTGTTAAAAACTTAACTTTTGAAAAATCTGCGTCTTCATTCTGAATGCTTACAAACGTCCAAAGGTTACCTCACCTTTTGCTTTTGGAAGAAGTTTCAAACGTCAATAGGATTTGAATGGGTTCAGTACATGAAAGTTGATATAGATCTATGCTTCGTCTCTGGAGTCGTAGGCACTTACAGCTATGGAACTATGGTAGAGGTTAGGAACATATCAGGTCGATGTTTATTTTCGTATCTCACTGTCAGTTCCTGAATTATATGTCAACCCAACTGAATAGGTTTATTGAAGTAATACGCGTTCACACTCCCGCCTTGAACAGGTGCCGGTATAAATACACGTGGGATTCCATTCTGACATGGGAACAAAGGATTTCTGCAGAAAACAGAAACAGCAGACCCATCTCTACGTAGGATGCCAAGATTGCAGAGGTCAAACCGAACGTCAAGTACATATACCGCGTTAACCATAGTTGTTAAAACCTTCAAGTATATGTTTAATTTTGCTCAGACCAAATTGTAGTGTATGTGTCACGGGTTTATTTTTATACCATTAATACACCACTCGAATCTCTGAATCGGATATGAAAAGCTTACTCTCTTTTTATCACGATCTTGGATCCGGATTTAGGTTAGATAACTGAAGCATTCTCCATTTTATTATGTTAAATTGTGTCTCAAATAACCGTAGACATATATTGCATATCCAAGTAAACAAACAAAATGCAACACAAATAAATGGAAAAAAAGAAATTGTTGTTTAATCCAAAAAGTTATATCATTCCAGAGTTCCATGTTTTTATGCATTTGGAACACACCAGTGGCCGTATGCACACGTCGGGCGTAAATTCTAGTCCGGGCGTAAGTAAAATGTGCGCCCGGACGTAATGTTAACCGGTATGCACATAGTAGACGTAGTTAAAGTTACGCCAGTCGTAGCGCTCTATATTTACGCCACCTACCCAGCAGGCGTAAGCCAGGCGTAGCCTTGTAATGGCGGCACTGGATGCCGAGTTTTTTATCAGGCGCACATTTTCAAAAGTTTTTAAAAGTGAACGTTGCGCGAGAATTGCGCTCGCGTGGTCCTGGATCTGCGTACGGCTATAAAATTACACAGAAATGTAGAATATTTAATTTCATATCCGTTGGCATAAATATAAGTGCGACTACCTCGGCGGTTTGAGAAATAGACACTGCTAAATGTTGTCTAAAATTTTGTTACGCGTTAAGAAACTGTCAATTTCTCCGCTTTTTGTCGTGCACCGATAAAAGCACTCTGCTATGATTTTTTTAATTTGGCATCTTTACAGAAAGTGTGAGCGAAGAAAATACAGCCTGATATCTGAACGACATAAGTGTATATGAATTGGGTTTATGTGCTAATGCATAACGTTAGACGCTCAACATTAAAAATGACTCGCAATAAGTGTCAAAAATGGATTTTCTTCTATGACGTCAACTGATAAAATCGGAATTTGTCTTTCTTTACAAGCGCAGCCTTTCGAGCACAGCGTTCGTTTGGACTTTTGACACTCAATATCTTTCGTTTCATTTTATCCAGACAGTTGATATTGGTGACAAAGACCATTAGTAATTTGATTCTAAAATGTATGGGGAATTCAGTGATGCATTTGTCGCAGTTAAATGTGATATACACGTGATGTAATTGGCGTCTCATTACCGTCCTCCGCGAAACTTGATTTTGTAAACACTAGCCAATATGACGGAAAGCGCACTTCCGCGTTCGTGTTTACAAGTGTATTTTCAGAATTATCATTAGTGATTTCATCAAAACCTGATATCAGTGATCATTAATATGCTATTTTTGAAATTCAATACATCTGAGTAGTAATTATCCGATTTGAACATTTGAAAACATACACCAAATAACGCTGTGAATCGTGATTTCGTAATGTGTCAAATATGGCGACATTTATGGTGAAGCCCATTTTGAAAGTCCATGTTATTTCTCCATCAGGATCCATCGGTAAAGTTGGGTTTTCTCGGTTTCCTTTGGCTTTCCATGATTACGGCTGCAAAGGGATGTACTGCGAAGTTGTTTCGCGCCTTTTACCGGGGGTTTAAAAACGTTCGAAAATCTAAAAATAGCACACCGCGCCTTGACGTAAATCCGTTAAGCCGGGCGTAGTAACGCCTAGGCTTAACCGACGTTGTGCATGACGTGTAAGAGGAGGGCGCTGCTAAGCCCGACGTAGTGTGTTACGCCTGACGTTAGCTACGCCCAACATGTGCATACGGCCACAGGGATTAGCAAAACATATAATATGTCTCGGAATATTTTATATGTTTTGTTTTGGATTTGAAACTGCTTCCATCGTCTGTTTTAAGACCTTGGTATGAGTGGAAAACCCGAAGTGATTGAAGTTTTAGATTTTTACTCTCTTTGTGAAACCCACGAGCGTAACAGGGCTCGATTGTGGTCAGGGAGAGATACCCTCCGTTTTCGAGCCAAAAACCAGCGGACCTGGTCTAGACTCTGAAAACGTTTACGCAACGTCTTGACAGAAACCCAAATGCTCTGAGAGTTGATGCTTTTGTAATATCTCTGTCGCTCTAAGATGGGATTCAGATTTAATTAAGGCATTTAGGTTTAATATGAAAGTGTTTTTCTTTCTTTTTTAAAATAAAAAAAACACACACAAAAACTTTGAAATTGGTTCATTTCCCAGGGATCGACTGACCTGCTTAGATTATAATGATTACAGATCTGTACTTGGCAATGTCCGCTGTTAATGATACTTCGAACATAGATGATAGTTCTTCTAAGAAACTGCGCTAGCAAATTTGGATCATGCTTAACGTGAATGTTTGTGGCCATAAACTTACAACACTTCTCATAGCTTGATGGCCAAATATTGCACAATACATGCACGGGTAACACAAAGTTATAGTGGCCGCATACAACAAAGTACAAAACAAAAGCCACTACCAACAACAAACACAATGACCTCGATGTGGTAATGGTATAAACACTAAGGGCACAGGCGTGATTTGAGTTTAGGGAACAGATGTAGCAAGATTTAGTAATTCAACTGCTGCCACCTATGAGGTTGCACTTCACCACTGACCAGTGAGAGAGTGAGTTTAGTTTTACGCCGCACTCAGCAGTATTCCAGCTATATGGCGGCGGTCAGTAAATAATCGAGTCTGGACCAGACAATCCAGTGATTAACAGCATGAGCATCGATCTGCGTAATGGGGAACCGATTTCATGTGTCAACCAAGCCAGTGAGCGGACTTTCAAGAGTTCACCACTGACCAGAAATATCTTATGTATCGAGGATATATTGATCTTATATTTTCCTAATAACCTGTCTTAGTTTAAGACTAAGGAGACACCGATGTTACACGTATTTCAGTGTGGGACTGGACACAGTCAGGCCACCGTACAGGCTCATGCACCCATGCACCTACTCTCCGCCACCAACGTTTATAACTTTGCTGGATATGTGGCTTGTGAGATGTACACGAGATAAATTTACAGCCACTGTGTCTGCGTAGTTAGAGCCAACATTATAAGGTTTCCATGTATCCTTACTAGGACTGGTTGGTTGGTTGGTTGGTTGTTGTTTAACGCCGCAAGCAGCAATATTCGATCTAGATAGCGGTGGTCTGTAAATACTCGAGCCTGGACCATGCAACCCGGTGATCAACAGCATAAGCATCGATCTACGCAATTGGCATACGATGACATGTGTCAACCAAG